CGGGAGCCGAGGTGAAGACGCGCTTCAGCCGCTGAAAGGCGTCGGCGGCGTCGGGTGTGAGCACAAATGGCTCGCCTTTACGGTCCTTGCGCGTGAGCGCGTTGAGCGGGAGGACCGTCTCGGCGTAGTGGTCAATAAAACGTCGGTAGAAGTTTGTAAACCCGAGGAAGGACTGGATGTCCTTGACCGATTGCGGAGCAGGCCAGTCCGCGATTGTTGAGAGTTTGCTGGGGCTCATCTTGATGCCATCCGAGCCCAGCCGAAAGCCGAGGTATTCGACTTCAGACCGGTCGAACTCGCATTTCTTCGCGTTAGCGAAGAGCCCAGCGCCCTCGAGACGCTCGAGAACCATCCGGACGTGATGGTCGTGCTCTTCCTGGTTCTTGGAGAAGATCAGGATGTCGTCGATGTACACAACACACACGACGTCGAGGAGGTCGCGGAGGGTGTCCTGGATGAAACCTTGAAAAATACCGGGTGCGTTAGTGAGACCAAATGGCATGACTGTGTACTCGAAGAGTCCGAGGTGCGTGCGGAAAGCGGTCTTCCACTCGTCACCCTCGTGAATGCGGATGAGGTTGAAAGCATTCTTCAGGTCCAAGACCGTGAAGACCTTGCATCCCTGGACTCGATCAAGCAGATCGTCCATGAGTGGGAGCGGATACCGGTTTTTCTTCGTAATGGAATTGAGACCGCGATAGTCTACGCAGAGACGTAGCTCGCCAGTCTTCTTCCGTACAAAGAGGATCGGCGATGCAGCCGAAGAAGTAGACCTGCGAATGAATCCTTTTTTGAGGTTAGTCTCGATGTAATCGAAGAGCACTTGGCGCTCATGTTGCGACAGGTGATACATCGGCCCAAAGGGCGGTGTTTTCCCCTCCTCTAGCTCGATAGATGCATCAAAGCCAGGGCGATGAGGTGGCAAGTTCTCCACCTCAACTGGTGAGAACACCTTCGCAAAATCGTGATATTTCTCGGGCACCGACTGCAGGAAGTCGTCAGGTGCTGCCGAGTCAGGCGGGGGCTCGGGAGGAACAGAATCCAGGGGCAGAGTAGCCGAAGACGGGTCGGGCTGAGCATCGAGCTGCATAGATGCGAGCTGATACCCTGGAGTACCCTTGGGGTGATACCAAAGCAAGGCTGTCTCGTTGTGTCGAGCATGCTTGCGGAAACGCATAGAGTTAATGAAGGAGATGTCAAGTGAAGGAGTGGGCGTAGAGTCAGGAGCTGAAGGCAAAGCAGAAACAGCATTCCAGACAGACGAGAGCACACTGGTTTGACCGGAGCCAATTCCAGATGCTGGAGACAAAATGGGGGAGCGAGACGGACTCGAAAGGGATGGAGCCAACGACGATGCAGTCGAGGCGTTCAGGTACGACACACCGTGCACAGACGGGTTGCACTGGGCTCTGTCTGAGCGGACAATGCTGTCGGTACAAGCAGGAACTACCATCCTGCCGTTAAGACCGAGGCCTAGACCGACAGTCGTAGTGGAGCACATATGAAGCGAAGACACAGAAGTGTCTACTCGGGCAAGACCGAAGCCTTTTCCGAGTGCAGAGACAGGGTATGATGGGTTGGCACCACAGCATGACAAAGCAAGTCGCTGCCGGGCCCAATCAATCGCTGGATTGTGGCGTTGCAGCCAGTCGAGACCAAGAATTACAGGAAACGGAACAGAAACAAGCCCAAGAGAAATTGCTTCAGAATGTTTTTGAACAGACAACGACGTTACGACGTCGTGGGTGATCAGGCCAGACGCGATCGGTCGATCATCTACCGCCGTAATAGGTATCGGCACGTCTTTGAGACGACGCGGGAGAGCGTGACGGTTTGCGAAGTCGAGAGAAATGCATGAGCCAGTCGCACCGCTATCAACAAGCGCGTACGTGCGAACTGGCTTGCGATCAGGAAATGAGAGAGAAACCGAGACGAAGAAGTGGTCCGAGGACCGCGGGTTAGCATGAACATGTGATGAGAGTTGGAAAACGGGTGAACAAGCAGGCTTGGGTATCCACACGCCGTTCACCGAACGGACGTGCGTTGGGGCACCCGCGGCGACGGGAGCCTGAGTCCCTGAAGATGCCGGAGGCCCCGGGACGGGTGAAGGATCTCCGGCTAGGCTTTTCCCGCAGAGGGAGCAGCCTTAGCCTGCTTCTTGGCCTTCTCCGACATGTTAAGACACTCGGAGATGGTGTGCTTACCCTTGCCGCAGTAGAAGCAGAGGCCATTCTTGCGGCGATACTCCTTCTCGGCTGGGGTTAGCGGGCCGCGTCGAATGGCGTCGATTTCCATCGGAACAACATCATTGTTCGACGGCGTGCTCGCAGGCGCAACGGGCGCCGGAGCGGACGACGATGCTGGTGCTGACGACGAGGAAGCATGCTGCCTCGGAAGTGGGTGCTTTCCGGCAGCTCTCTTGTTATACTCCCTGGTCTCGACATCAAGATCATGGATCTTGTTGTCAGCATCAATGACAATCTTAGTCCACGCCTCAAGACTATCAGGGCGGGACACAGTGACCAGGGCCTGCTTAACAGCGGGCTTAAGACCCTGGTCGAACATGGCGATCTGCATGTAGTCGGACACGTCGACATAGGCGAGGAGCTCCTTGAAGCGGGAAGCGAAATTCGCCGCGGAGCCAGTCTGCCGGAGCTTCTGCAGCTCGCGGTAGGCCTTATTGACCTGGTTAGCGTCCTCGAAGCGCTTCTTAAACGCGTCTTCGAAACGCGACCAGTCACGCAGCAACTCAGGTTGCGTGCGCTCGACGTCGTTGTACCAATAGAGGGGTGAACCATCCTCAAGGTACATGGACAGCATAAGCGCACACCTATAGCTGTCCACGACGTTCTGGAGCTCGAACGTCGCGCGGAGTTCGCGCAGAAACGGAAGGACATGGTCGGACTTACCTGAGAACATGCGCGGCGCGCGCGTCTTGACGTTGGGACCAGAGCCTCCACCACCGCTGTTGCCTTGCGAGGACACGGTGACGTTGACGGGCTGAGGTGACGTGGCCGCGACGGTGAGAGCCTCGACGCGCTGGGTCATCGTGAGGAACGCATTGCCCATTTGCGCTTGGTTGTTCGAGAGCTGTTCGGCGTGCCGCCCGAGAGCCTCAAGCGCTCGGTAGAACGCCTGGGCTGGGTCCTCGGGAGCCGGGGTAGGCTGCGGTGCTGGAGCTTGGGCGTCCTGCTGGCCGTCGTTGCCCCAGCCGTCGAAATCCTGACCTGGATTGAAGCTATCCATAATAGGTTAAGTAGTAGTATAGCCCTTACGAGCTCGGATAGACTAGAAGTAGCGGAGGGATACCAATAAAAATGATGAGCTGGCACTTGGACAGCCCAACGGAGACTACTAGCGTAGTTAGGGGTGGTCTTGCCAAACTGTGACGGGCGTGCCGGGGGCTGGCCGGGTTGAGTGTCGAGACGTAGGCGAGAGCGAGAGATCGTGCAAGTGTGTAACGGATATTCCCGTTACGGTATGTCTCGTCTTGTATGTTTGTCATTGTTTGCCTGAGGGCTCGTATGGCACGCCTGTGCACCTACGAGACCTCAGCCTTTTACCTCGTCACCGCCTTTGTATGCAATCTGTAGACAGTACCTCTTGAATAGAGACTGGGTGCAGCGCATACGAGGCACGACGAGTAAGGCGCCTTACACTTTTTTGCGCTCCAGAAAAGCTTCTATCTCTCTGGGGACTATCTACTCTAGGCAACAAACTCTCGAACCTCGAAATTCGACATCAACAAACTCTATGCTACTTTGATCATCCTCTGGCCAACTCGACAACTCGACAAGATGTCCGAGTCGACCAACACCCCGTCCGCACCTTCGCGAGGCAGCCGCGGGTCCCACAGTGGAACCCGCAGCAAGCTGAAGGCGTTGCGTGCGGAAGTCCGAGCAAAGCTCGCCGCAAGTCAAGAGCGGATCAACAAAGCCCTCGAGGAATCCAAGCAACTCGAGGCCGAACTGCTGGCAACGGTCGACGCCGCTCTGTCCGAGGCCAGCAGCCGCAGTCGGTCTTCTCGCACGAAGACCACCCGGACTGAGTCTTATCACCGCGAGGACTCAGCCGGAGCCCTCACAGAGCAGGCGCCGTCCGACCGTGAGGTCGAACAGGCACCGCGCACTGAGCGGCTCGAGCCCAATGTCGAGCCCGCTCAAAACCGCCCGGAGACCGACTCTCCACCTGCTTCGACCCAGCCGATGAAGCTCGGCACCACTCTGAGGAGTGGTGAGCGCGCCGAGCTCGACAACGTAGCCGTAGTCGAGCTCGTGCCTGGATTGAACGAGCAGCGCCAGGAGCTGACTCGTATCAGCACCCGGGAGGGCATAGGCACACAGTACTACAGTAGTACTGTGTGCAGTGGGAACGAGCCCACGCGTGTAGATACGCTCGTCGCGTGTTCAGAGATGAGCCGCGACACAAAATATATATATTCGTCGTCGAACGCCGTGCGCGCCACGACGAGCAGCCTGCTCGACGCGACGCGCGACGCGCTCAACGCTACAGGCGTCGAGCGCCACGAGTCTGTGGTGAGCGCCCCGAGTTCTAGCGCCCACCGCACTACGCTCGACCGCCACCACCGACCCCTCGTCCTCGCCTCCTCCCACTCTCTGGGCAGCCACCTCGAGCGCCCGTCTGGCGAACCAGACGCGCGCGCCGCCCCGACGCGAGTGCGAACTCGCGTTCGCGAATGGCTGGCTGACTTACCGCCAGTCCAGTCAGTGGCGACCGACGACCTGGTACCTCCCGGTACCAGATCGCCAATTCCTCCCTCACCGGCTCCTCAACTCTCCCTTCTGGTCCCGCGCCTCGACTTGGGAGGTCCCCTCTTCGAGTCCGATGACTCTGGCGACCGTCACAGCGGCTCTGGCGACACGCAACACAGCCGCATGACCCAGGACTTGAACGACGCGCGTTCAAGTCCAACGCCGAGCCGCAAGACTGAGCGGACCATGGACAACGCGGAGCAAGGAGAGTGGAAGGAGGACAGGGGGCAGAGGAGTAGCGAGGTTGAGGAAGGAACACAGGGACAGAGGGAGGAAGGGTGCGGGGCGAGCAGGATGCACGAGCACGAAGGCTCGACAACCACAGGCACGTACTCACCGTACGTCCCTGCATCGCCGCCTCCGCTTCCAGTGCCCGCGCCAGCACGCGTAACGACGGACGAGAGGTTCGTCGTGCGTCCTATTGACCACGAAGACGGCACTTCCGCCTCCAGGTACGACTGCGAAGTCGTACCGGATGTTTCGCGGGATAGCACGTCTGTGCTACGGGACGACCTCGCGGTCGTACCCTCCAATCTCCGAGGCAGTACGCCCAGGATACGGGACGACCTCGTGGTCGTACCGTCCATCTCGCAAAGCGACACGGCGGACGCGCAGCAGTGCACGTCCGACGTGTCCCATTCATCCATCACCGACCGATGGATAGCGAGTACGCCGAGATTGATGCTCGACGTACACGCTACCGACCAGCATAAAGGGTCGAGAACTGAAGGTACGCCCCTGATGGACGTACCCACCTCGATACCTCCTACCTTGCCCGCATCCGCACCAACAAGCGTAGCGACGAACGTTCAGTTCGTCGTACGCGTTGTTGGTCATGAAGACGGTGCGTCTGCGCTACGGGACGACCCAACGGTCGTGCCTCCCATTCTGCAAGGCAGAGCGCATGCGGTAGGAGACGACCTTGCGGTTGTACCTCCTAATTCGCGAGGCAGCACGACGGACCTGCAGCGATGCATGTCCGAAGTGCTCTACTCAGCTTCGACCGTCCATTGTGCAGCGCGTACGCCCAGCCTACTGCTAGACGTACCCGGTGGCTATGACCACTGCGCGTCGACCGTCCCTGACCCTTCGTCTGGCAGGCCCATCGCTCGACCAACTGCGACGCCACACGGCCTGCACGTCCTCACGGAAGTGCAGGCCCCCAGTTGCTCCGATGTAGCTGAACCTCCTGAGGTTCAGCTGGCCAGGTCGTGGGACGACCTCGACGACATCTCCAGCAGCCCCCAATCGCGCGCAGCCGACCTCCGAGAAGACTTGCACTCCCAACCGGAAGTACAAGCCCCCGGTAGTTCCAAGACAGCTGAACATCTCGCGGTTCAGCTGACAGGTCCACGATACAACCCCGACCGACTCGACGAAGCGGCGGACCTCGGCCTCGACTTCGACCTCGACCTCTCCAGCAACAGCATCCACCGCTCTCTCCGCGATCTTGGTGCCCCGACGAGCGCGCTGCCCGACGATCGCGTATTCCCGAGCAACGCGCGAGCTCGAGATCGCGACCCGACTACTGCACTACCAACAGTGCAGCGGCCGGCGCTTACGAAACCCGACACGCCAGACCGGTGTCCCGACCGTCAACCCGGCGAGAACTTTACAGTTCTCGCCGAGGGCTCGCGTCTAGGGAACCCCACCCAACGTTCCATCGACTTCTCCGTGGTCTCCGACACCCATGGCGACTACGACGGGCACCACGAGTCGGAGATCGCACGCGAACTCTGGGGAATGCGCGTAGGACCGAATGACGGTCAGGGCGGGGACGAGGGCGATATGAGCGAGGGCGAGGAAGTGCGAGAGGTAGATGAGGAGGGTCAGGCAGAAGGAGGAGAGGGGGAAGGGTGCAGGGCAAGAAGAGAAGTCGAGCGAGTCGAGCGGGATAGCTCGACGACAGGTACGTCTTCGATAGACGTATCTCTTCCTTCCCTACCACCATCTCCTATCCCACTACCATCGCCTGTGACGACCACGACAACCAGTGCGGTTGTCGTAGCAGTCACCGCACGCGACGATGGTACAGTCGGCCCAGGGGGCGACCTACAGGTTGCGCCCGGCACGGCCATACAATGCGGTATGATCGGCAAGCGAGTGTGCCCGACCGGCGTACCCAACGTCTCTGCGATTCACGCGCAGACATCGAACTTTTCGTTCGACGCCGGATTCGAGGAACCTGGCGGCGACTCGAGAAGCGAGTACCTCACGGTACTCGCCCCGCCGTCACCAACCCCTGTCCTGATACCACCATCGGCGACAACCACGACCACCGATGAGGTCGTCGTGGCATCCACCACGATGGACAGGGGGAACGCCGACTCACCAGACGTCCGACAGGCTGCACCCGAGCCTGGATGGCGACCTTTGGGACGCTACATGCCACCTGCACGACGCATCCACGTGCAGCAAGACCGATGTGAGCCAGCTACGGTCGACGGCGATGTGAGCCAGGCCAAGTACCTCGCGGTACTTGACATCTCCAGCGAGCGAAGTCAGGACCCACCGCGGAGCATGTCCAAGATGGACATGCTGCCGTCTTCCCCGGACCCAGCGCAGTCAAACGAAGGGACGGGGACTGATGAAGTCACGTCGGTACTTCCAGGGCAAGGGAAATTTGGCGAGGACGAATCCTCGTCCTCGCGGGTACAATTACCTGGACCGTATGGTGTGGCAGGCACATCCAGCTTACCGGGTGATGCACCCGCATCGAATGACGCGACGACCAGGGCGTCGTCGCGCGCCCATAAAAGGGAACATCCACCGCGAGGGCTGGATTCATCGGACTCGGGTGAACGACGACGTTCAACGACTACCGATGGTATCGAGACCGAGCCGGCGCGAGCGCAAGGAGGAGATACCTCCTCTACGAGGGGGGGTACTCTCTTGAGAGGGGAAGGGAGCGGGGCCTCGAACGGCCGCCGCTCATTCCACAACACAAGCAGTACATCACACGAAGATGTACTGGCCTCGAACCCAGCAGCGACACGGACGCCAAGCCGTGAGCTTGACGTACGGGCCACCCACGGGAACTCGACGCGAATGCCAGCTACTCGCACATCGAGTAGTTGGCGCGATGTACAGGATACGGCGCGAGTGGCCAGTACATCATACAATGGTGTATTGGGACCAGATGTAGTGTCGGGCCGTACGTCCAGCGTAGTGCTCGACGTACGAGCTTCACGTCGGACATCGAGACACGTACCACCTGTACCACGCGCATCGAGTGATCGACTCGAAGTGCAGGATACGGGTGACCGTCGCAGCCACGACATCACTCGGGAAGCCAGTACCTCGCGCCGCGAAGTACTGAGACTGAACCGAGTGTCGACCGCACTGGATCGTCCAGTAACCGTCAATGTGAGTCGATGGCCGAGTGACAAGAGGTCGCGCGAGGAATGCTTCAGCCTCCTTGCAGACCAACTTGACCACGACTTTGACGAGGCCGATGTCGCGGCAGGTGCTGGCGAGTGGGACATTTGGGCTCACTGCAAGAGGTCAGCACTTAGCTGTGGGCATGCCATCGAGGAGATGTCCCCGCGACCGAGGACATATTCTCGTGCTGCTCAACGAGCATGGGACCACTTCCAGAGGGAATTGGAAGTGGTTCCTCTCGAGTTTGATCCTCTGCTCATTGCACCATTACCTATGGAGATGGTGCGATATTGGGCCTACAACAAGCTGGGATGGCTTGTTGTACCACCTCGCAGTCAACCTCGGGATGACTCCGACTGGTATAACTCCTCTGATGAGGAGCCTCATACCACCACTCGTGAGGAGTACCCTGACCAGATTGAGTCGGAGTACTTCTCCGAGTCCGAGCACCATAGCTCGTGGTACTCACGAAGTTCAGGGTCTGAAGAGACAAACTCGGTAGTAGTCTCTGACTACTACGAGCAGTCCGAGATGGAGGATACCCAAAGTTCTTCTGCACTATCTGCCGAAGATGAGGGTAACTCGGAAGATGCAGACTACTACTCCGAGTCCGAGTAGTAGTCTACGTTCCTGGTTGCATAACTCCATCGAGTTATGTATGACAATGGTGAACGGTTGTGTCTGCTCACTGACACGATCTAGCATGTCGTTGTCTACAGTTCAACATCATCTTTGTTTTGCCACTTGCTACCACCGTTGGGTTGTTGCATATGTTTCCTTTCCTTTTCCTTTTTTCTATCTGTTTCTCTGGTTATCGCTGGGACCCGTGGTCGTGTCCAGTGGGGGAGGGTGTAACGGATATTCCCGTTACGGTATGTCTCGTCTTGTATGTTTGTCATTGTTTGCCTGAGGGCTCGTATGGCACGCCTGTGCACCTACGAGACCTCAGCCTTTTACCTCGTCACCGCCTTTGTATGCAATCTGTAGACAGTACCTCTTGAATAGAGACTGGGTGCAGCGCATACGAGGCACGACGAGTAAGGCGCCTTACAAAGTGCGAGAGCAGAGGACAAGGGCGCAGGCCCGAACACTGGTGTTGGCAAGACGAGAGACGTACAAAGCGGAGCGCCAGCTATCTAGGGAATCGCGGGACTCGCCGAGAGCCAGGTACAGTCGATGAGTGACTCGAACAGGAACCAGGATACATGCCAAATCGGGAAAGCGGGAACACTGTGGCTACGTAGACCGTGGCGCATCGTATCGCGCTGTACAAGAGTCCGTGGAGAGTCCGTGCGCATACTAACGCGCAGTACAAGACCATGGCGCATTGTAACGCACCGGTAAGAGTCCATGTGTAACGGTGTGGCCGTTACAGGTGTGGCCAAGTTGTGGCTACTCTAATGCAACAGCACGTGATCGTGTTTTGCGTCCGAATCTAGTACTTATCGTAGCGGCGCAAGCACCGATCCCCGACTCCTGCATGGCACACAGCTGCTCAGCGTGCCACAGCAGCATCATAGTGTATACTATGTATTGTGATATTGTACCATTGAAATGGTATTGAGACTCAATGATAATTGGAAGCCCTCACGCCCGCGGCTTCGCCGCCCGGGCGTCTCGGGCTTCCACGAGTCTGAGCTACACGGCGAACTTACTTAAGTACTGTAATACATAAGTACTACTATATCGGGTCACGATCTCGTCCACCTTAGCATTCGACAAGCCCTCCTCACTCTGTATGGGCCATAATGACCTTAATTATTGTGAGAAGGTATGTTAAGAGACCTCAGAAATACGAGAAAAATATGAGAAAAAATATACAATCATTGAGTCGAGCTCAGTAGCTAAAGTTCTGGTCGAGAGTAGGGTGAGCCACACTGCTTACCAGAAATAGGTATCATTGCAAAGGGTGATTTTTCCTGCACACAGATCTCAGTGTATTGGCCTCAAATTTTGTACAGGCATTACAAGGATGCATTAAGACATGCTACAATTTATTTCATAGCTATAGAAGGGGTGATTGTTGAATGAGGCTCGAGTGACCGACTACCTAGACTGTCCGAGATCGTGACCCGATATACTGTAGAATTTAATTCAATCCGGCGCGGGTTGTGACGTGTGACGGCCGCGCCGCCTGAAGACGGCGCGGCGCGGGCGATGGTGACGTGTGACGCATGCGCGCAGACGGTGCGGCGGCGCGTCAATGCGCTCAAAACATCACCAAAATGTGTGCTGGAGACCGCCGCCGGAGGCGGCGAAAAATATATGCATTTGTCACGACCGGCGGGGCCCTCCGTGACCTGTGACAAGGGCCGTTTTCCGGTGCGGCGAGGGGCCTTGTGACGTGTGACCGCCGGATTGAATTAAATTCTACAGTAGTACAGTGCATGCGAGGGCTCCCAACATAATAGAGGCCCTCTTGCCTTCGGGAGGAGTTATTTGGTGGTCAAAGATCCAGACGTCCAGACGCAGCCAGATGCGCGGTCGGATCCAACTGCCTCGAGCTGCCTCGTAAGACACTCGAGCATTGCTGCGATACCGCTTATGGGAATTATAAGTCACGTTTTTCTCACGGAGGGAGCGGCATCGCCGGCTGCGAACGACTTATGGTCGACAAAGCCCCCTCCGGTCGGAGTCGGGGACTAGGCACGCATTAAAGCCGTGTAGAAGCTTGTAAGTTAAGTACAAAGCTCCATTGTTCATCCAATCGAAATGATCATCCAAATGTCCTCCGTGAACCTCTGCACTCCTCGTCTGACGAATCCGCTGTCTGTTACTTTGGGTAAATGTGCCTGAAAGGTCATGCATGTGGTAAGCTGGGTTGACATCCCCTTTTACAGGCTGTCTGGATACTGGATACTATTGCCCTAGCGAGGCATGATATTCTCGATGAAGCGCAACCTGGAGGGACTGACCATCTGAGCGGCGTGCACCCTGCTCGCCGCGAGCCTCCTCGGAAAACTGACCTACTTGCGATGGGCCGAGCGCATCCCATCCGGCGTAGAACCCGGTATCGCACGCAAAGGTACGCCTTGCCTGCCCCATCGCCGCGTAGATCCGCCTGACAGCACCCCCAGAACTCACGTCCGCGCTATGGGACGTCGAGCGAAAGCCCGTGCACTTCCAGTTCGACCACTACCAGCGGTACGGGCTGGACGCGGAGCTCCAGTGGGCTGCACTCGTGCCCCATGACGGCCTCGTCCACGTCGCAAACTCAGACGGGCACGAACCGCAGCCGTACATGCTCTCGATGTTCCACCAGCTGCGCTGCCTCGACGTCCTCCGCGCGTAGTACCGCGTGCCGCTCGAGGAGCGCGACATGGAGCGTGCGCGGCACTGCATGAACTATATCCACCAGATGGTGCTGTGTCGCGGGGACATGCACCTCGAGACGTTCCTTGCGGACTTTTGGAGCCCCGAGAACGTCGACCGGAGGGGGACGTATCGGTGTCGCGACTTCCGTGCGGTGTATGATGCGGTGGAAAGGAATCAGCAGGACCATAGGCAATGGTTGGATGGGAGGAACACGACCACATAGCTTGTATGAGGCATCGCTTCCTTTCAGTTCAAAATGAGGTGTACGATGGGGTCATAAGTATGTGTTGTTTGAGTGGCCGAGTACGCAGCACGGCATCTCGATGGAACTCGGTAGGCTCTAGCAGGATGTACCGGCCGTGCAGCGGCTGTAGACGAGCCAATGCTGCCCCGTCCTACCAGTCAACAGGTCTGACAAGCCAGTGCGGTGTCAATTCGGGCTTTTTGAAACACGGTTTACTCCGGGAAGGCCTGTCGTACCACCGATAACTGCGCCGAGATCCATAGCGGGAACTCGGCTGAGCCAGCGGCGCGCCAGTCTGGCAAACCGACTTCTGGCGAGCGATGCTGTCATGGTAAAGGGAAGCACGCATGCCGGAAGCCCTCCTTCCTTCACTAAAGTAGCACGGAAGACTGAAGTGCGGACTAGTGTGGGCGCATCGGGGTAACGTCGAGTCTGACAGGCGTCGGGCGCTGCGAAGCTGAAAGTCATGCTGCGAGGTTATCGGCAACACATGACTGCGCCGAAATGGTTGTGTGCCGCAGTGCGGCCGGAGGGAAATTGGAATAAGAAGCGTAAGCCTCGACGCGCGTGGACTCGTACGAACAGACGCACCCGCTGAGTTCGACATCGTACACTGCCGTCACCATGCAGGCCCGCACCTCCCTCTTCGCGCTTGCTGTCCTCCTCCTCGTCGCGATGTCGCACGCCGCGGCCGTGGTCACCCCGGAGAAGCGAGTCGCAGGTTCGTCATTCTTATCGTATAGTTCTTGTCGTGTTTGCTGACTCGAGCTGATTGATAGACCCCATGAACATGGATGAAGACGGTACGCCTATATGACAGCGCTGGCTGCCCGTACGGATGTGCTGATATAATGGCATTGTCCCAGACCTCGTACGCGTCCGCGCGATGATCTGAGAGGCTGCGACCTTGGTAATGGTAGACCTCCGAGAGGAGGAGGACGCAGGCTAATAACTCTTCACATTCAGCAGGTTGGCGGAAACAGGACCAAGACAATCGGACTTACGCAACAAGTCGCAGTCCAATGACTTCCCCGTCGTATGTCCAGAAGTATGGGCAGTTTGCTTTCGGATATACGTAGTCCGTAATCCGTACTAGTAGATGACATCATCAGAGAATGCCAACCGTTGCAATCCAGAGTTTAGCTGAACAAGGCGGAGAGATCGTTGTGAGTATCGATATCTTTGGTTCGATTGCACCGAAATGATGAGGGGCTGGACAAGTGTCCGACACGCAAGCTGCTCAGTATACTGGCCGATGATAAAGGATCTACCCGACAGGTATGATGCGGTGTACGTCAAGTATGCTTTCGTAGGCGCAAACTTAAGTGCACATCTTGCTACCGAGTACTTGTCCCCTTAATGAAGTTCGTGGCCCTCTCGCGACCCGCGCACACCGGCCACCATGGCCAAACGGGCCCTACGCATGGTTCCGTCGCGCGAGTTGCAACCTCGTCATTTGCTTCAGGACCTCGGTGCCATCCTCCGAGCCTTCCCCGTCAAAGACAACGAACCGCGAAGAGCGCCCAAGGTCAAGGTGAGGGAATAGCGAGTCGAGAAAGCGAGCAACGATATTGATGTCGGACGTGAGCGAGATGCAGAGAGGCTCGTCGACGTGCAGCTCTCGAAGCGCACACTTTGTCGCCTCCGGATCCGGCGCATTGTCCGTGTCGGAGTAACTTGAAGTCTGCTGTTGGAAGGCCTGGGAGAGTAGGTCGAGGCCCGTCACGTCGTCTAGAGACCACAGTCGCAGACACTCGAGCTCAGGACATGTATGCGCGATGTCACGCAGATGGTCGATGGTAAGAACAAGACCTGGCAAGTCGATCGATCGTACCGTGGGCCATGCCGCTACCAAGCCAGGGACACTGGTATATGTGGATGCATCGGGGTTGACCTCCTGGATCTCGACGTCCCGGAGACGTTGAAGCGCGAGCAGCGGACAAGCCACCGGGTGAAAAGGCGTACCAGCTGACGTTCCGCCGATGAATAGAGGTTGAGAGAAGCTAGGGTCGATTACACTAAGCCTCAGTAGAGACTCAGCATTCCGGCGACGCAGCACGTCGAAGGTCGCGTGGAGCGCGACCGCCACTGCCGCTGCATTGGGATCATCGTCGTCAGAACATCTAAAACACATCTCCATGTCCTCTAGTCCGGGCGCAGCTATCGCGTGAGCGAGCACCGCCATCCCCGTCGTGCTCCCTTTGAGCAGGAGACGCCTCAGGTTCTCAAAGGGACGAATGGGCGGAACGTCCACGTCGTTGTCCGCCTGAAAGTCGTGCGTACCGCCGCGTTCGACCATATCGATCTCGAGCGCAGTGAGGCCATGGATGGTGGAGATTGCAGCTAGGGCGGCCCGGGTGAGGGCACGACGAGATTCGAAGATGCAGAGGGTCCGGATTGTCTGACTAACGAAACAGCCGCTAGGTACCGACCGCCATAACGGGTACCAGAAGGCTTCGTGCGCCAATTTTCGGAGGTAGAGCTCTTCGAGGTTGGGGAGAGCCTGCAGCACAGCAGGAAGCATTTGCTTGAAAGCATGTCGCCGCATGCGGTACGCGTATTCGTACGTCTGACAACCGTTCTCCCTCATATCCTCGTCTTCGGGAAGGCTAAGGACACGAATTGACGGGGAAGTCATCGATATTATTTCGGGTGTGGCATGCTCCCATATGAGTTCGCGCAGATTTGGGAAGAGCGGCCGGCCATGTGCGTGCTGCTGAAGGAAAAGGAAGATGGAAGGTTCTATTGTATCCTCTGTTCCGTAGCGGAGGACGTGAATGAAAGGCGCATAGTGCTTGAATCGAGCCCATTCCTCCGGAGAAATGGGGCCTGGGACGTATTTCTGGTACACCCATCAGTGAAGAGTCTTAAGATCGTATAGCATTGCAGTCTGCTGGCACATCACTCACATAGTTGAATTCGTAGCTACACGGATCAATGCCTACAGCCATGTCCTCGTTGACCTCGTCATCTGATTCATGTCCTCCCATAGATTCTTCTTCATTCGTAGGCCACTTGACGGAGCCGAGACTGAAGCTCCGTAAGACAGCCTCGCATATGGTGCTCAGCTCCAGCCGTCTCCAAAGAACCCTCACAGCCGACGTGTGGAACGCACGACACACCCGTGCACACCTTGCCAGAGCAGTTCTCGCAGGGCGATTCCGTTCGTCATTGACGTAGAGATGGTAATTTGTTTGTGGTGCAAGTTGGCCGCATATCTCGTCCACTAGCTCGAGCGGAATCTTGCAGGTATAAAGAGACATCCGGCGCTGGAACGGTGTATGCGCATGCCCTTGTACGCCTGGCAGGCAAAGGCTGCGCTAGCAGGACACTGGCACTGAGCAGTGCGCTGAGTCTGTTCAAGCTGAGGTCGCGGATATTGAAGAGTAATTGTGAGTGACAAGGAGAACAAGATGAAGGCCAACAATACGAGGACGAGGGATGAGACAACGTCGTAGTAGCGCCGTGAACATCACGGTCACTTGATTCGCGTCGCGCGGTCGGGACGCGGCATGGCGTTTGCTGTCAGGCCCGGGCCGTACATACCATTGACTTACTTACATGTCAACGTTTCAATGGTTGAACGTTGACGTTGAACGTTCAGAACGGTGAACCTTCCTCAGCACGGAAGGTATGTAACACGTCCTATCCTTTTACCTTGAGTACTTGAGTGTCCGTCCTGTCAAGGCGAGCAGGCGACCGTCGTAAGGCGAATATGGGGTGATAAGTACCGGATACTATCGGGTTTTCGATGCACATAACGCAGCCAGAATCCTGACGGTCTGATACGACCATGCATGTCACTGCATGTACGGCTGGATAGGTAAAATTCGATTTTCCGACCGACGACGACTCTAGCGCATACGTCATCGCTTCGTGAAGTCCTGCATCACCCAATCGTAGCGTCCACGATAAGTACTGAACTGAGACACTGTCATATGTCACACTACATAGAGTGGGTATCCCACGTATATATCATATTACATGTTCTGGGATCGGGAAGGCTCGGAAGCCTGAGCAGGCGCAGGCGCGGGGGCGTCTTTGCGCGTGCGGTTTGGAGGTGCATACTCACTAATAGTCACCCAGTAGGTAAGCCACAGATACTTACGACGGGGGAGGACAGTCGTATAACATACTAGGTTTGTCACCGTGCCATGGTACGCTCGTAGCGTCTCTGGCTACATGTAAGTGAACCGACGTCCAGACCCCCGATTTTGCATTCTCATCACATCCTTGCGCAGGGTCGTCCTCCTAACTAGCATTCGAGATCGTCTGCAGCGCTCCTCCTGCGCACGGCATCTGGGCCTGAGCGCTGAGACCCCCTGAACCTGCCCTGGGCCCGCGATTCCCGGCAGACGCGTCAACCTGTGCACGAGCTGTCGACCACCGTGTATGTATCAGCCCCCTCCGTATCGCCGCCAGACCCTCGTAGGCCCAGAAGTGCACCGGTCTTGGTTACTCGTAGGCTGGTAGGCCTGAGCTGGACATCGAAGCGGAGTGTCGCGCAACGCATCCAGCGACTCAGGCGATGTGTACCTTGCTTATCGGATGCCGTGCGTGCCGGTGCGTCCAGTGTCCACTCTGCGTCCACTGGTAGGGGAGGGAAGCACGCCAGACAGTAGCGCGCGGTCGGCTTCAGGACGTACTTAAATTGAGCGTGCGCGTCCGTCCGTCCCTGGGCAATTGGCCCCCAGTCAGTTGTTCCCAGCCCATAGTGTGCAATCTAGCAAAGTGCGTACCTCGTCCCGAGCAACTCGTCGTACACATTCAAGTTGATTCTGATCGTCGTCATCGTTCGACTGCGACGACAGCCCGCCGTGCCACTTGTCGCAACGCAGTAACGGTGAAGCTCAGGCTGGAACTCCTCCTCCTCACGTGCGCATCTCGCCCACTCGCACAGATTTCACTGCGAGCTCACTGTCGTAGTCCGTGCCGTCTTTGACCCGATAATCAACGCCACCGATGGCGCCCATCAAAAAGCCCGTCATAAGCCGACCTCCAAGGCCCAGCAATAAAAAAAAAGAAAAGCGCACCGACGAAAGAACCGGGCGGCACTGCGGAGAACGGTGCTGTCAATGGGAACAAACCCACCAGTAGCAGCTCGACGTCGCACGGCCAGCAGGATGGGCGGCAGCAGCGCGAGAACCAAGACGACCCGTACACCGGTTTTCCACAGCTGATAACTTAGCACTGTGGATGTCCGACACGGCGATTTGTTCCCAGTACATACTACATATGCCTCTCCTCGTCGACGCTCGTCTTCATGGCCTTTCATTTTGTCCGCTCGCACCCCGCTTTTTTAAGCACGGTGGACTCCGAGAAGACCTGTCGTACCACCGATAACTGCGCCGAGATTCATAGCGGGAACTCGGCTGAGCCAGCGGCGCGCCAGTCTGGCAAACCGACTTCTGGTGAGCGATGCTGCCATGGTAAAGGGAAGCACGCATGCCGGAAGCCCTCTTCCTTCACTAAAGTAGCACGGAAGTGCGGACTAGTGTGGGCGCACCGGGGTAAGCATCGACACTGGCAGGCGTCGGGCGCTGCGAAGCTCAAAGTAGTCATGCTGCGAGGTTATCGGTGGTGCGACACATGACTGCGCCGAGATGGATGTGTGCCGCAGTACGGCCGGAGAGAATAAGAAGCGTACGTCTCGACGCGCGCCGTGGACCTGCACGAACAGACACACCCGCTGAGTTCGACTCATCGTACGCCGCCGTCACCATGCAGGCCCGCACCTCGCTCTTTGCGCTCGCTGTCCTCCTCTTCGTCGCACTATCGCACGCCGCGGCCGTGGTCACTCCGGAAAAGCGCGTCGCAGGTTCGTCATTCTTATCGTATAGTTCCTGGCGTGTTCGCTGACTCGAGCTGATTGATAGACCCCATGAACACGGATGAAGACGGTACGCCTGTGTAACAGCGCTGGTTGCCTGTACGGATGTGCTGATATGATGGCATTGTCCCAGATCTCGTACGCGTCCGCGCGATGATCTAAGAGACTGCGACCTTAGTAATGGTAGACCTCCGAGAGGAGGACGCAGGCCGCTAACTCTTCACATTCAGCAGGTTGGCGGAAACAGGACCAAGACAACCGGACTTACGCAACAAGCCATAATCCGTCGACCGTCAAGAAATATGGGCAGTTTGCGTTCGGATATACTAGTCCATACACCGTAGATATATGACATCATCAGAGAATGCCAACCATTGTAGTCCAGAGCATAAAAGTTAGTTAAACAAGGGGGAGAGGTCGTGGTGAGTATCTTTCGTCCGAGTGCGCTGAGATGAGGGAGGACCTGGACAAGTGTCCGTCACGCATACTGCTCAGTACACTGGTTGACGAAGAATCTACCTAACGAATAGGTCGTCAAATCAGTCTCATAAGATGATTCGGCGCACGTTAGGCGTATGCCCTCGTGGACACAAATACATCTTGTGCTACACAGTGTCCCTCTGCACTCGTGCCCGTCTTGCGAACGCACATCAGCCACCATGGCCAGACGAACTCTGTGCGCGGTTCCGTCGTGCGAGCTGCAACTTCATCATTTGCTTCATGACTTCATCCCTTGAGCCGTCATAGACGACGAACCGCGAACAGCGCCCAATGTCAAGTTGAGGGAAAAGCGAGTCCAGAAAGCGAGCGATGAGATGGATGTCAGACCGGTGCTCGATGTAGAGCGGATCGCCGACGAGCAGCTCTCGAAGCGCGCACCCTGTCGCCTCCGAATCCGGGGCACTGTCCGCGTCAGAACTTGAAATGCGCTGTCGGGTGGCCTGGGAGAGTGTGTCACGCCCCTCCTCGCCCCCTAGTAGTTCCAACGCTGCTAGACACTCGAGCTGAGGACATGTACGCGCGATGTCACGCAGCGAGTCGAGGGTAAGAGAATGATTTGGCAAGTCGAGCGATCGTACCGTGGGCCATGCTGCTACCAAGTCAGGAACACTGATATGATCGCTGCAGTACTCCTCCCGGATCACGACGTGCTGGAGACGTTGGAGTGCGAGCAGCGGAGAAGCCACCGCGTGGAAAGGTGTAGCAGCTGCTGTCCCGCTGGCAAACAGAGGTGGAGAGGAACTGACGTCGATCAGAGCAAGCCTCCGTAGAGACCCAGCATACCGGCGACGCAGCGTGTCGAAGGTCGCGTGGAGCGCGATCGCCAGTACATCGTTACCCATTTCCTCCAGAGACTCCTTATACCATATCTCCATGCCCTCCAGTCCGGGCGCAACTATCGCGTCGGTGAGCGCCGCCACCTCCGCCGTCGTTCCTTTGAGGAAGAGGCTCTTCAGACCCTCAAAGGGACGAATGGGCGGAACGTCCACGTCGTTGTCCGCCTGAGGGTTGTGCGTACCGCCAGACTCGACCAGATCAATCACGAGCGCAGTAAGGCCACGGATGGTCGATATCGCAGCCAGAGCGGCCCGGGTGAGAACACGATGAGACTCAGAGATGCAGAGGGTCCGAATTGTCTGGCTGATGAAACGGCCGCTAGGCACCGACCGCCACAACGGATACCAGAATGCTTCGTGCGCCAATCTTCGGAGCTCGAGCTCTTCGAGGTTTGGGAGGGCCTGTAGCACGGCAGGAAGCATTTGCTTGAAAGCATGGCGCCGCATGCGATAACCGTATTCAGACGTCTGCCAGCCGTTCTCCCTCATATACTCATCTTCGGGAAGGCACAGGACACGAATTGACGGGGAAGTCATCGATATTATCTCGGGCGTGGCATGCTCCCATATGAGTTCGCGCAGATTTGGGAAGAGCGGCTGGCCATGGGCATGCTGCTGAAGGAAAAGGAAAATGGATGGTTCTATGGTAACCCCTGTTCCGTAGCGGAGGACGCGTACGAAAGGCGCATAGTGCTTGAATCGTGCCCATTCCTCCGCAGAAATGGGGCCTGGGACGTATTTCTGGGACACTGATCAGACCATGTGTCATCACAGTCTGCTTGCACATCACTCACGTAGTTATATGGGTAGGTATGTGGATCAATGCCTACTGCCATATCCTCGTTAGCCTCGTCGTCCGCTCCATGTCCTTCCCTATATTCTTCTTCATTCGTGGGCCACTTGACAGAGCCGAGACTGAAGTTCCGTAAGACAGCCTCGCACATAGTGCTCAGCTCCTGCTGTCTCCAAAGAACCCTCACAGCCGGCATGTGGAGTATGCGACACACCCGTGCACACCTTGCCAGAGCAGTCCTCGCAGGGCGATTCCGCTCGTAGTTCACGACGTCGAGCAGTTGGTCATCCATTTGTGGTGCAAGTTGTCCGCATATTTCGTCCACTAGCTCGAGCGGAATACTGCATAGAGAGGGGGACATGCGGTGCTGAAACGGCAGAGGCCGTGTGACGGCTTGAAGAGATACTAGTACTGTAGACGAGCAGGTGCCGAGAGCAGGCGAGCGAGAAAGCAAGTGTGAGGGTGAGAGCAGCTATGCAAGAACGGGCGGGCGGGTGCGAGCTAGTGAGAGCGAGAGCGCGAGCGGGCAAGCAAGGGCAGGCGGATGGGCAGGAGTAGACGAGTCCGCAGGTACCAATTGACTCGCGATGGCCTGCACGGCGAGGGCGAAGGAGGTCCAAGGTTGAGAAGACCACAGGGCCGGCTCTTTATGCTTATGGATGTCGCAATTGATTGGGGGAACAATTAGGTCGAAGCAGGTGTCACCGAGTCGGCTGACAGTACAGAGACAAAAGACATGTTAGGGGCTGAGTTGATCATACAGCAGGACAATATGACGAGGAGACGGTCAGCGGGTGACTAGTGGGTGTCCGACGTGTCGCTCTCTCAGTGTCCCACACTTCCTCTCGTGATAAAATACTGAAATCTACTACTTCGTACGCCTTGTTGATGTATGAGCAGCACGTCGGGACAATGTTCAGCCAGAATGAAGGCCAGGGTATCCGTGCGATGCACACACATCGACTGGTGCCAACAGCCTGATAGTACTGCACCGCCGTCGACGATGAGCAAATAGGGACAGATCATCAACAGGCCGATGGCGGCGCTGTCCCAGATGTCTGGCCAGGCTATGTAGCAACAATGAGTGGACATGGGATGGTGACGACTCAGTCGCAGCAGTGAAGGATGGTTCCGGTGCCTCCAAGCCACCCAAGTCCGACTCAGAGTGATGGTTAAGTTAACGTTATGGACTGACAGAGGCGAGAGAGTAAGCCAATCACAGCTCACAATATGCTCAGTACGCGAGAAGCATGTTTGTTACGAATACATAGCGTCGCAGCAACCACGGGTCGAGGATTCGAGCGAATGACAGAACACGTCGTACGGCAGAGTCGACGCCTTGTGTCGTCATACAGGGCAGTCATAGCCGATGTATTTCGCTTGTAAAGTTGTTATCCACTAAGCTCTCGTATGAAATGAATCTGATCACGACACACACCTTTTTCACAGCATCGACAACCGCCACGAAACCGACGTGATGGCAGCTTACACTCATCGAGGCTTGATGGCGGGTCCCGTCGGCTTCTTAACGGACCCTCTTGTGTCGCTCTGCTTGATAGGGCCAGGGATGAACTCGCTCCACATCTTCAAACCTGGTAAGACTGCAAGTAAGTATCAACAGTATGAGACCCACCGTTTACAACGGTCTGAAATAACATGGGGATGTATGCTTACCAACGGAAAGGATATGGGGCGCGTCCTAAGTGGTGATACGACTTAGCTATGATGAATCTGCAGGCTGAGGCTGAGCAATGTCCACCGAGAATGCGCCAATCCCCGCACCTTATATACAAGTGCCCGCTCACACCGCCTCCTGAAGTTCTCAAACGTCAGCCACGCGTCTTCTGGATCTCCGGCGACGCTCCATCGGAACGCTAGTCTCGTGTCCCAGAATTTGACAGCGGGGCCGGTCCGAACACGTTGCCCAGCACGAGCCGCATACAATTAAAGTCGGAGGCTGTGCGAAGGCAGGCGTGTTGGATGGGTCCGAGAATCGAACGGCAGTGCCTGTTGAGGAATGCGCTGACCCTTGGGTTCACGACCAATCGTCGATTTGAACGTAAGATGACGGAGGACTTGCGTGAGTTTGTCAAGGGTCAGCGGACTGCGACATTGCCTGAGAGTGAAGGAATATCGCACTGCCCGCCCGCTCGAAATTGAACCTAATACACATGCGTAGCTTGGCGCCTGTGTATTCGGTTTCAAGGTCGGGTTCTCAGTCATGGAACGTTCCACTCGTCAGCGTGAATGAGAACGAAGGAATATTGTAAGCTCACCATGTTTGCGGCCGCCAATCACAGACAGTTCATGCCTCACTATGAGAACAAATCCTCTGCGAAATCGGTAAGTAACTCATATCCGAGTACCAGTAGAGCTCACTCTCTAACGTGTACCTGTCATAGCCTAGGACCCGCGCAGCTGATTTGCCCAACAATATCATCTACAAAAAATTCCCCTTACCCGTACACTGAACACTGATGCGGTGACAGCAGTCTGGAATGGCAGATCGACAATGCGTGGATAGGACAACCCGAGGCGCGCGATCTACGAACAAGTGCACAAGAAGGAGCTACGTCGCAAACCCGATACTCCAGGCCTATCGTGTTGCGCGAATCGCAATTCCGGACCAAGTGATCAAGGCACACGCGATTGCGAGTCAACCAAAGGGAAAGTTCAGTCACAGAATCTACTCCGACATGAGAGTCCACGACTCACCTGGAGGGGAAGCCAACGCTGTAGAATACGACATGCACCTAGCATTGGTACGTCTTGGGGCCGGTCGGCTTGTTAACTGGCTTCATAGGTCTCACGACCGTCGGCCTGTTCAAGGCCCCGATAGGGATCACTTGCACCGGAGGCTGCGTCGACATGGACTGCGGCCGCGTGCTGGTCGTGCCATTCCTTGTACGATTGCGAGTCAGCGACCACGCTCCGAGCCCACACGATAGCAATCACGTATGCTACTCACTTGGAAGATGAATAGTACATCGCGTTGGCGAACATGTTGCGATCTCTGACTCTGGGGTGCGGGTCTGCTGGTCTAGCTTGAGCAGCCGGGCTTATATACCGGAACCCGAGAGCGGGCAATTGGCAGTGTACTGAAAGGCCGCGTCCACAAAGAGATAACTACACAGTGACACGTTCATTTCCGCCTCGAGGTTTCCTGCTGGGGTCCGTGCGTACCTGTCTTCTACTGTCTTCTCCGCGCCCACATACAGTAGGCCGCGGTGCGGGCTACCAGCTGTAGAAGCTTCGACAGGGTCCTCACTCGTTGTTCCGCAGGGTTCCTTCAAATAACGATCGAACGCAATCAGCGTCGCCTGCTTAGTGAATAGCGAGGTACATACATGCTTTCACGACAGATGGCAGGTATGTGTAAGTGGATTACTGCGACTGTCAGTCAGAAGTAGAGACATATTTACCGATAGCTTCGTACGCACTATACAGAGAGGAGCATGTATGACACGTTGTATCAAAGCTTCGATGCGTGAGACCTGTGTGGACTCTGAAGAAGTCAGGTTCATTCAAGCCGCGGCAATGGGAATGAGCAGCGCACCAGTGAGCTTGGATATTGAACCTAGACACGGCTTCGGTCAAAGGCGATCTCGGAGACCAACTCACAGCTCAGAGAGCACATCGTCTGACTCGTGGGTAGCGCAGGACGCAGGCAACGCTGCGTACACGTCTGCTGAGCGGGCAATGCCTACATATATCACCTGGCTAACTTTGCACGACTCGAACACACGTTCTTGTCCTGAATCAAACGCAGCGCAGTATCTCGGAGTGTGTGCAACGCGGCCGGGCAAGGCAGCTGCATCAGCGGAACGCAGACGCGGATAAGGCAGAACGGACAAGTCGTAGCTTACACGACACGTGGTCCAACTACTTGTAGTAGTCCTGGCGTAACATCTACGGACGCGAAGGACCGTCCAACATTCGGTCAGCCGTCATGCTGGCTAAAAAGAGGCCCCTCAGCCTCAGCTCGACGAGAATATGAACCGAATCCTATCACTCACCGTCCCGCCGTGCCCGCTGCAGCCTAGCCACTATATCCATGACGTCGTAAGTTTCCCGGACTTCCGGTTGGCGCCGTGAGGTCCATATCGCCACCACCGAGCATCGCTCAGGTATAAGCTGAGGAAACAGCGAGTCCAGGAGGCGCGCGACGTTGCTGGCGGTATCAGGCAAGATCGCCTTCAGGGGTTCCTCGAAGCGCAGCTCTCGAAGTGCAGACGCAATCGTGTCGGACGCTGCAGTATCCAGGCGGAAGGAGCGGCCTTCCATCGCTCCGGGCACGTCGAACCAGGACCATGATAGGCACTTGGCCGTCAGACGTTCAAGTCGAGTGCATGTGCGCGAGATGACCTGGAGAGACTCCATGTTGACGGCGAGGCCTGGTAACGTGAGGAACCGTAACGTCGGCCAAGCCGCCACCAAGGCTGGGACATTGATACATAGGTACTCCCTGTCGCCGCTCAGTCTGTACTGGTGTATCATGACATCCTCAAGGCGACAAAGCCCGAGCAAGGGACCCGCCGATATGGGGAAACGTGTGCCGGGTGCTGTCCCTTTCGGAAACAACTCTCCGCTGTATTCACGGAGGCTGAGGTGAAACTTTCGCAGAGTCGTTCCAGTTCGGCGACGCAGGTGATTGAAGATCACGGTGAGTGCGTCCTCCACCAGGACGGTATCCCTCGTTTCCGGGTCCCAGTGCCAGTCCCCGCAGGCCAACTCCACAGCCTCCAGTTTGGGCGCAACAATCACACTGATGACGGCGGCCACCGACGTCGTTCGCCCGTCGATCTGTAGGCGCTTCAGCTGCGCGAACGCACCGACGGGTGGCGTAGCCTGGCCATAGTCCATCTCTGGACTGTAAACACCGCCTCTTTCGTCGAGGAACACCTCGAGGTCGGTGAGTGTCCTGATAGTGGACAGGGCTGCGAGAGCCGCTCTCATGAGGGCGCGACGCGACTCGCATATGTGAAGACTGCGGATGTTCTGGATGACGAAGCGGCCGTGGGGCGTCGACGTGAATGGAATCCAGAAGGCCTCATGCCCAAGCGGTCGTAGCTTGAGCTCTTGCAGCTCCGGGAGACGCTCTAGGGCACTAGGGAGAAGTTGTTTGAACGCATGTCGGCGCATGCGGTACCCAAACTCGCGCAACTGAGAACCGTTCTCCTCTTCGGCATGGTCTTCAGGGAGGTGAAGAACACGGATGGTCGGTGTGATAACGGACACTACCTCAGGCGTGGCATGTTCCCATACGAGCTCGCGCAGATTGGGGAAAAGCGGCTTGCCACGGGCATGCTGCTGGAGGTAAAAGAAGACAGAGGGGTCGATCGTCTCCTCGTTCAAGTAGCGGAGCACACGGACGAACTGGGCATAGTACTCGAAGCGCGACCATTCCTCCGTGGTGATGGGTCCTGACAAGTATTTCTTCGCACGTCGTTCGGTCAGAAGAGCAATAGCACTAAAAGACATGACACGGGACTCACATAGGTAAAAGGATAGTCATACGGATCGATCCCCACTGCCATATCATCGTTCGCCTCGTCATCGGACTCTGGTCCTCCTCCCCAGGTGTCTTCGTCCTGCTCAGGCCACTTGACAGAGCCGAAATCAAAGTTCGACAGGACAGCGTCGCAGGCGTGGCCCATCTGCTGTTCCCTCCAGAGAATCCTGATCGCTTGCTCGTGGAAGGTACGGGACGCCCGTGCACACCTAGCGAGAGCCGTACGCGCAATGCGACTGTCTTCGAGACTGATGTCACCATCTTCCAGATCCTGAGCATGAGCGTGTGTCGCCAGCTGTTCAAGTATCACGCCCAAAAGCTCCAGCGGAAGCCGACTCGGAGCGGACGGTGGCATCGCGCGGTGTTGACAAACAAGTTGTAGTCTGAGCAGCTCGTGGCCGAAGACAGTGAGCGACGAAGCTACTGCGCCGTGACAATGAACGGGACACGCGTTGCAGGGCTACCACTTGGTGAAGCCGCTTGGCGGTGTAGTATTGCCGTCCGTGCAGACAGCGAGGAGGACTCTGAGGAGGAGACACGGTCACGGTCAGTAGCGCCCGTGCTGTCCTCACCTGATCGTGTTTCGCGTGCGTTCAGCCGTCCCTGTCGCTCCTCCTCCTCCTCTTGTGCTCCTCCTCTTGTGCTCCTCCTCCTCTTGTGCTCCTCCTCCTCTTGTGCTCCTCCTCCTCCTTGCCTTTGCCTCTTCTCGTCCCTTCTCCCTCTCCCCGTCCATTCCGCCTGCATACTCCGCCCCCGCCGCCTGCACAGCCTTACGCGCGTCGCCGAGACGAGTCGTTCGACATCCCAAACACCATGTTGCGTGCGGTCTTCCGGCTCAGAGGTCAGTCTTTCCTTTCCTTGTCTGATTGCTCCTATTCGTCTCCTCACCCAACTCGCCTCCTCGCAGCCTCATTGCGCACGCATCGTTGAGACCGTGCCACAAACGTCCCATACTGCTGCCAGTCACTGTCTCGCGTGGAACGGAGCGCTGCTTCCCGTTCTGCGTGACACCGCCCTGGCGTGCTCCCCGCTCTCCTCGCTACCCGCAGCCGTCACGCGTCACGCAGGGCTATCCAACATCTGAGAAGACGTTGCTTACGACATCTCACACACATCGCGCTGGACTTGGCGCACAGCCCTCGCTGGACGACGCCGCGCCCCAACCGCGCCCTGCCTCACTTGTGTTCACCCAAACACGGAGCGCGCCCGCAAATCGACGTGACCACGTCTTCGGATAGTACGTGTCCTGCATTCGTACTGCCCCGTGTCTGCGCTGACGGCGCAGACCGGATGATGAACCGTCGTCTCGGCATCCCTACGTACGACAATCCATCATGTCTGCACACTCCCCTAGCCGCCTGAGTTGGCACGCTGCCGCTTACGGTTCCTCCTCGCTCACAACAAACGGAAACAATCGGGGTACATCGCGGGTCGCGCGCTCGGGGATGCTTTCCACGTTACTATCCATCTACGATGTATCACAACCGTATTTCGGCTCGGCCGCATATGTCCCTCGCAGCGTGCGCCATCGTACAGGCGCGACACACGGACGCAGCCTACTCCATACGCGCTCGCATCGCGCTCCCAGCTGAGTCTTCCCCGTGAAAAGAGGCGCATTCATTGGACGGCTCTCGCAGTCGGCCAAGACCTACGGCGAGACACCCGTCGTCAGCGAGCTCAAGCACCGACATCAAGAGACCACTCACCACCGTTCGCCGTCCCGACTCCACGACATGTACGACCACTCGGCGCACACTGCCCTGGCCGAACAGTAGGCCGAGAGGACGGCCTGCGTCTGTCGGCAAGACGGTTAGCACATTGTTGTCCGACGACGGCTCAGAGACGCGACTCACCGATGCCCTCTTGGCCTCTTCAGCCCACACATCTGTACCTCACCCGCCGAGGCACTCGTCAGCGCTCTCAAGTCGCCATCGCCTCTCCTCGATGTGGTGATCCACAGGTCGCGGACGGTTGTGCGTGCTGGGCGGGAGCCGCGGGCGGGCGGCCTTTGGTACGCCCGTTCGGCTCAGCATCTCCCGCGTGCTGCGACTCTTCGGAGCAGGGCTCGAGTCGACCGTCGCAGGGGCATGCCAGGACTCAGGCCTGCACGTCTTGCGACGGCCACACCGAGCGACCGACGCGGTACTTACGCCACGGCACGTCCCAGACGTCCTGCATTGCTCAGAAGGTGCGACGGGCTGCAGCATCGTACGAGGTGGCGCAGACGTCCTTCCCCGACTCGTCGCATACAGCCCAGCCGTACTCGCCTCCAAGCCTGATGCGCAAGCGAACGCATTGTCGCTGGACGTCTTCCTTCCTCGCACGCAGACACTCTGCCATCAGCGTCGCCTCCAGCCCGCTCGTCGACAAGGTCTCTCCCGCGCGCCGTCCGCAGCCGTGAGTGATGTCGCGCTGTTCGGCGGTGCTACCTTTCTCTGGGCAGGTGCTGTCGCGAGATCATGGGGAACGGCGCGGGCAGGATGCGGACCGGGAGCTGCAATTTGGGACGATAGTAGGGCCATGTACGCAGGAGCTGCACGCGTGACCTCATGGGCCCGCATCCTCGCCGTCTTTCGCCGCGTGAGGAGCTACGTCGAGCACGGTAGCATGGGCGGAAACACGGCAGTGTCGGCGGCGGTAACCTGCGTGCAGCAAACACGCAGAGATGCATGCCCGACGGCCCCGTGCGATGTAGGTACAGAGAGCATGTACATAGTCGCGATGGATATATTTATTGGAGGTCTCTACTACACTCGGATATAGAACGCGAGAGACCATCTGAGCCGGTGAACGACGAGCAGCCTTCGGGATGCAGATAAGTAGATCCCTGCCTGCGTCCGGGCGTGGTGCGTACGCGTCTGTCTAGTGATTTGAGCTATTCTCGACGCGGCGACACACCTCCGGCCGTTACCACTGAACTATCTCATCCGTTGAGACAGTAAAGGAAAGTAATAACAATTCGAGCAGATATCACCACGACACCACGATCTATTGGAACATAACATAAGACGGAGTACTACTAGTTTGACCCGTGCAGAGCGGGAGAGGTAGCAGAAGACTCCGAATTGGTCAGTCTACAAAAAAGGATACTGAGTCAGTCTTCAGCCCGACGGCGAGACACTCGAGTCGTCGGCGAATATCACATACCATTTCGTCGTCGAGTTGCAATTCCTTCAATTTCTGCCTTACACCATGGAAGGGCGACGGTCCCCGCGGGCGGGGCCAGTGACACAGGCACGGGACCCAAAAGCGTTCAGCGTCGAGCTGGTGAAAAAGTGAATCGAAGAAGCAGGCGACCCTGCCGATTTCGATGGAGGAGGAGGGCATGAAGTAATCGTGCACGCAAAACGCCCGAAGTGCAGGTCTTCCTCCACTAGGCTCCCCAATGGGGCCAAAAGCAGAGGAGGCCTCCAACCGGGAGAGGCTTTCGACAAATTTCGTTGACAACTTCCACACCGTGAGGCTTTCAACCTGGGGGCACGTGCGCGCGATGTACTGCAGCGTCTCAGGAAAGACCACTAGTGCAGACAAGGCGAGCGTTCGTAGCCTGGGCCATGCATTTACCCAGCCAAGGATGTTTGGTTCCGCGTAGTACTTGACATCCCTGAGGGCCTGTAATATCATGACATCTTGCAGTGCACGAAGCTCGAGCAATGGGCTCCCTGGGCCAGTCGCTTGCGTAGCAGTTGCCGCTGGGTCTGGAAGGAGGGGCACGTCCGCGTCCGTGTGGGTAAAGTGGAACCTTCGTAGAGACAGCGCATTGCGGCGACTGAATAGGTTGAACATCACGTAGAGCACATCCGAGTTCCCTTCTGGTATGTCGACACCTAGGTCGATGTCGTCGTCTAGGTTGCCCTGACATACTAGCTCCACATCCTCGAGTTCGGGGGCAACGATCACGTTGACAAGGTTCCTCACCCCCATGAGCGGTCCATTAAGATGTAGGTGTCTCAGGTTTGCGAACGGGGGAACGGATGGCATTTCCCAGGCCAACTGAGGATCATTCGAATCGTCCTCGTCAACACCAGAGACGAACACCTTGAACTCGAGCAGCCCCTCAATTGTCGAGATGGCCGCAAGGGCAGCTCTAGCGAGGGCGCGAGGCGTCTCTGTTATGTCAAGCGTGCGGATGCTTTGGCGTATGAAGCAACCGTTGGGTCCCGGTTTGAGTGCGTGCCAAAAGCCCTCGTGTCCCAGCGACCGAAGCTCGAGCTCCTCGAGGTCGGGGAGGGATTGTAGTATGGTGGGAAGGAGTTGCTTGAAAGCATGCCGCCGTGTGCGATACGCGTATTCATGCACCTCGTGGCCATTCTCTTCCTCATCGACGTCTTCGGGTAGGCGCAGTATGCGAATTGAAGGTGACAGGACCGACACCAACTCGGGTGTTGCATGCTCCCATACGAGTTCGCGGACGTTCGGAAAGAACGGCATGCCGCGTGCGTGTGGCTGAAGGAACAGGAAGACAGTGGGGTCGATTGACCGACTTCTCGAGTAATCGAGCACTCGAACAAATGGCGCATAGCGCTCGAAACGCGACCATCCTGAGCGGAGATGGGTCCCGGTACATATCGCTTTGCGGATACAGAGATGAGAATGACGTGTAGCATTGTAGTCAGTCAGAGGAGAACTTACATAGGTTGAACCCGGTGGCGTGCCGGCAAACCCGCGTGCATGCAGCAAGGGTACGCCGTTCCAATGCGCGGTGAGGATGGCGGTTTCGAGTCAGAATGTGCGAAGAGAAGTACTGGAATATCTCCTCCAATAGCTCTGGTGGAAGGCAAATACTGGAGGATGCCATGTTAAAGTGAACGTAGACAGTTGTCAAGGACAAGTGCAAGTGCGAAGCCCTCCGCAGTGACTCGCGAAGCTAGAGAGCGCGAGAATTTCTCCAGAAGCAAAGACTCGGGGCAAGGTTGTGTGACGTGTTGCAGTGAAGGTGAAAGGTGTACGACTACTAGTGACTAGCCGTAGCGCCCGGTGGTGAAAGCGTCGCGAGCGTCACCTGATCGCGTTATCATTCAAGCTGGCAAGGTCGCACCAAATGCCTGTAATCTGGGAGGTGTGGTAGCCCTGTCGCCGCCGTGTCTTCCTAGCAACAGTCAATGCGTGTAAAACATGCACTGAATTCACTATCGAGTCCAGACTTGCTGTCGCGGTGACTCAAGTACTCAACGCCGACGTCAGATCTAGGACGTGCGACTGCGCACCTGTTATACAGTACAGCTGTATGTACACGCGTACGATGACGCAACCACCCTGCAAGGGACCTTCATCTATCGGACAACCAGGCTACCACGCGTAGTGCCGAAAAGTAGGAGCTCAAACACTATGACTTTGTTGCATTCGCTGCAAAATCAGCAAACTCAGTACGAAGGTAAGGCACACGTATCGTCAGTGAATGGTACGTACCACCGTGTCGTGCAAGCTGCAACTTCCTCACTTCTGCCAAAATGTCATCGCAAGATTCCGCTTCACCTTCATTCCCTGAGATGAGGGTGCACTGCACTGAACATCGCTCGATGTCAAGCTGAGGAAGGAGCGAATCCAAGATGCAGGCAATTTTGCTCGCGCCGTTAGGGTCCTCGAATATGAAAGGTGATTGGACGTGGAACTCTTGAAGCGCCGCAGGCTTCCCGGCCCCCGAATGAGTAGCCAGTACTACGTCTGGCAGGGGGAGACCACCGAGAAAGCTCTGGGTTAATGAGTGCACCGACAGACTGCGGAGCTCAGCGCAAGCACGCGTGACAAAATGGAGGTCTTCAAGAGAGAACGTTTGCCCTGGCAAGGTAAGCGTCCGCAATCTGGGCCACACCGTGCCTAAGGCGAGGACATTCACATTGAGGTGCATGTAGACGTTCCCCTCCGTGTCGAATTGGCACATATGGACATCCTCGAGATGGCGATCGAGCAGTGGACTTGCCGGACCGATAAGGGAAGACCCCTCGGCCGTAAATGGGCTGAGAATGCGTTGGGCTTCTAAGTCGCAGAGGGTGACGTGGAGTCTTCGTAGGGAGGTCATATTCCGGCGACGCAAAATGGCGAAGGTTGCGCTGAGAGCATCCACTTCTGCCCTACCGTCGCCTGGGTCCGGACTACAGGTTAGTTCGATGTCCTCCAGCTCGGGTGCAACGATGGCGTTGACGAGGTTCGCCACGCCCGTCGCCCATCCATCGATTCGTAAGCGTCTCAGCTTCACCAATGAGCGAATAGACGACGTATCCCAGTCATTGATCAGCTGAGGATCGTGCAGAGTTTCCCCATCAACGAGAGTCACGCTGAGCTCCGTCAGCTCCTCGATTGTAGAAACGATAGGAAGGGCGGCTCGCACGAACTTGAGCGGATACCAAAAGGCCTCGTGTCCCAAGGACCGTAGCTCGAGCTCTTCCAGCTCGGGGAGATCGCGCAGGACGGCGGGCAGCAATTACTTGAAGGCGTGCCGCCGCATGCGATACCCGTACTCCTGCACCTCGTGACCGTTCTCATCTCCTGAGACGTCTTCACGGAGGCGAAGAATGCGGATAGACGGAGAAATAACAGAGACTAGCTCGGGTGTAGCATGGTCCCAGATAAGCTCGCGCAGACAGGGAAAGAGCGGCTTGCCACGCGCATACTGCTGAAGGAAAAGGAAGACCGAAGGATCGATCGTCACCTCGGTCGAGTAGTGAAGGACATGAACAAATGGCGCGTAGTGCTCGAACCGAGCCCACTCCTCGTCAGAGACTGGCTCTGGTAGATAGCGCTTTGCACGTCGGTTAGTGGGGCAGAATACGCTGCTAAATAACTCACATAGGTATACAGATAGTCAGACGGGTCCATGTCCTCGTTTTCTTCATCGTCCGACTCCATTCCTTCAAAGATGCTGTTCCTGCTTGCAGGCCACTTGACAGTGCCAACACTGAGGTTCAATAAGACAGCACCGCAAAAATCAAGTAGCTGTTGTTCCCTCCACAGAACCCTGATCGCTGGTTCGTGGAACGCTCGGCACGCCTGTGCACATCTTGCAAGGGCCGTGCGCGCAACGCATGTTCCTTCGGTATCCACGCTAGTATCCTCGCTGGTATCCTCGCTGAGATACTGACGTCCAGATCCTGGAGACAGCAATTGGAACACTCCTTCGACTATGTTGAGAGGAAGCAACATGGATGGAGGCGCAAGTGTCGTGCTAACGAAGGGCAAGACTGTGTTGATGTTAAAGTCAGGTAACGTTGAGCGTTCAGGTTCGGGGTGATACGATGGTGGATTCTGACAAGAAAAAGTAGCAGAGCAAGAGCAAAGTAGCGCGTAGCCCAGTGAGCGCGCTGAAGACGCTGGCACCCAGTGGGCAAGAAACCCGAAACAAACCTATCAGAAGCGCACACTCAGACAAACGGATTGTAGGCATCGCAAAGTGCAAGTTTGAAGCAAGTACTGTGAAGCAAGACGAAGCCGTAACGTGTTGCCGTTGCCAGTCCGACGAGGAGTCAATTTGTCTGCGAAAATCAATTCAAGCGAGTTTGAACGAACATCATCTGATCGGTCGATGAACTGGTATAAATCGTAGCAACTTGCTCTCCGAGTTTCTACACGTCTATTGCATGGTGCAATAATCATTCATTCACTCATCAGTGTCTTAATGCCGTCGTCGCGAGCCTATGGCAAGGTCCCGGCGATGTAGCATTGCGCAGCCCAATGACTAGGCTGGTAACGCTGCGCTGTTTGATGTTCGTCTGTCGACAGCCTGAGGCAACAACACGGTGACAATGTAGTACTGCTACTAACAGCAGTGTTTACTGATACATCCTCCAATGTCTGAGTAGCAACGCAACGTAATATCTCAATGGAAGTAACTTGACGCATATGGGAGGACGGACAGCCAAGCGTCATCCAAGGTCTTCACAACAGCCTCCGCTACGATTACAGTACCAGACGTTTCTATCAGCAAGCTTCTTAGACACATCATCGAGGACAAACTTACGCAGCGGACCTTTTTCCAGATCGAGCATGTTCTATGCATCGCGGAGGAAAGACACATTAACCACCACGCATTCGGGATCATGTACTCACGGACTCGACGTACCTGTTCGATATGGGTCAAGCTGGACGCGCCGATGATGATTGCATCGCCGTATCGCGCTTCAAAAAGCTGTGATGAGAGACCCAGCGGAGCGCGATCTCTGCCATCGTGAGCTTGTGTTCCTCCGCGATCTTTAGGATTGATTCGAGCGCCTTGAAGTAGGGCTCATTCCAATAGCTATCAGAGTCAGTGAGTAATCTGATGCTCAGATGAGCTTGGGAAACAGGCTCCTACCGAGCACGATAGTTCTACAGCGAATATGGCTGATTAGACGAGACCATTGAGGTGCTAGGTGCACAACTAGTGAACGCACTTTTCCTTGGCCCTTCGCAGGGTCAAACCGAGAACCGGGCTCAACCTCCTGGTCGGTGTGGAAGGGAAACCCGTCCCACGCGCTGCTCTTTCTTTTCGTTACAATTCCCTACTGCACGCTCGACTCTACCGGCGCGCCTGCGACGAACCGGAAGGCCGCGACGCGGACCCGCTAGTAGGACGAGACGAGCGCCGCAACGCCGAGTGCCGCACCTGCTGGGGACCAGGTCGCGATTAGTAAATAGCACCGCGTGCGAGCTGCCAATCACGTACCGAGACAAGGGTTCGTCAGTCAACGCTGGAAGGGGACTCAAGGGACGTCCGTTGCCCAGGAGGGTGTTCATATGGCTGCTGTACGGTACTTTCCTTATTAGGTATCATTCCTTCCCGATACGTCAAACGCCCACGCTTCGCGCTTCTTTCGAACCATCTCTCGCTCGCCGACGTCTCTCCCCCTCAGCTTCTACTTTTTTATCCCTCTCGCGCTTCCATTCTTCTAGAACGTCTCGTGTGTATTAGTACTGGACTGCGTCGCCCTGATCCCTATCGAATTCCCTCTCCCCAGTTCTCTCTCGTCTCGTGATCCGACTCCGGCATTTAGACGCGACACAGCGGTCGCGGGTGCAAAACTAGTCGAGTAGCAAGTCGAGGAGAGCGCGTCGAGTCGCGTTTCGATACGTGTAAGAGTTTCATTAGTCTCGGCGGCCTAACTACGTTATACAGACCACCTCCGTCGTCCTTCACCGAGCCCTACGTCCATCTCGACCACCCGACCTCCCTGCATCAGGACGAGTACGTGTTGTGTGGGTTTGTCGTCGCACGCACGCCTTCTCTCCGACATCGGGCGAGTTGTATCTGCCGGTGAAGAACCCTCCACCCACTATGGTGCTCTTTGTCAAGTACCGCGAGAGAGATGCGCATAATGATAATGATACACACATGGATTGAATTCATAGAAGCTGATGCCGTACTTCCGCAAGCAAGGGAAGAGTCATGCTCTACCTTCCTATTCGGCGTACGTGTCGTGTCAGTGAGTTGTCTCTGAAATGGTATTGCAAGAGCCCGGATACTGGCCTGTGTACAGCGTTGTAGATCCCTTGGTACACAGCCGACTGGATGTACCCGTTGGCTTTACAAATCTGGACGATCTCAGCAACCTCCCACCTACCAACGTCGACTCGTCAGCGCTGAGCGCATGTGGAATCAGACGAGAGTACCGAGGAGAGTACGCACGCCATATAGTTGCTGATGCCGAACCTACGGAACTTGCCTTCCTTGTAGAGTTCGTTGACGGCCTTCAGAGTGACCTCATAGGGCGTCGTTCTGTCAGGACCGTGAAGGTACCACAGCTCAAGCTGGCTGTAACCGCGCAAGTGTCAATCGTGATGAACAAAGCGATTATTTTCAGCAATTTACTCTGCATTGAGAGCTTTCAGTGATGTCTCGACGTGCTTGCGAATGTCCTGTGGAAGCATAGACCCGGCATGAAATCTACATGACCGGAACTTGAACGCTATCGAGTGGGACACACCTCGGGCGAATGAGAGATGGCCACTTCTTTCGGTACTCCTTTGAAAGCCTATACATAGCGCAACGTCTCGTCAGGGTCCATCTGGATGGCGAGGTGTCAATTGAGAATCGATACTGACTACGGTGGGGTAGAGCTTTGTCTCAACCTGCAGCCACGCGCTTGCCAACCAATTTTGCCGAGGAACTCTCGCTCGTCCCGCCACTGTAGTACCGCGCCGTATCGACCAGGAACCAACGCATGTTCAAAAGAGCAGATGAGCCAATCACGATGGCACCGTACCTCGTGTGCCCGTGAGCTTGGAACATATCTAGGATGGCCTCGACGTCCTTCAGGTTGTGCACTCTCGCACCTGGCAGGTGGTGCATCAATTCACCCCCCAAAAACTGATCACTGTGGCTATCACCCACCTTCCTTTCCCTCTTCGCCGAATGTCATGGCGCCCTATCCAGATATCTCTGTCATCTCTCAATGACTCGTATGCAGAATGTACTCACCATGACAATGTTCAGCGCGCTTTTCTGTTGAGGGGCCATCCTTCCTACAAGGTGTCGTGAACGCAGGCCTCGGAAATTGGAGATTCGATTCGGAAGACCATTCGCGAGACCCATATATACGCGGTGCTGGAGACCCATTGACGTGCATATACGGTCGGCATAGATAGATCGCTTACGCAGGCAGACGGCTGGCCGCTATACAGAGCCATCCACCGGGGGTCCGACGCTGACGCAGGCGCCACGAGATCGGGGTATAGTGTGGGTGCCCTTCGAAACCTCGAGTGAATAGTACTTCTGGCAGCAATTCAGCTCAGTTGGATGTGGCTCTTGTGCCTACGTACCACAGCCATTTAGAGGAGCAAAGGATCCTGGAAGAGTCATCCAGTCCACTCAGATCGGATGACAAAATAAATAACCTGTGCACGGGTGGAAAATCCGAGTCGATGACACAAGATCGAATGCGCACAAGGACTCGTCAGTCTGCGCTCATACCGATGGCCCCAAAGCTGATTTCTCAACAGTCTCCGCAAGCCTTGTCATAGCATTTGTACTGGTACAGGTTTCTGCAATTGCTACTAATAACCCCAATGAGCAAGCATGTGCGCTATGGTCGCTGCGTATACGTACTCACATCATACGCGCACTTCTTGCATCCGGCTCCGCTCCACGACCATATGTTCGTCTCCCGCCTCGACTCAAGCTACTCAGTGGAAGTAGCTGCTCGCATACGGCGCCACGGACAGCCACGCCTCGTCCAATGCCTGCACCACCGCCTCCGCTACATCCAACACCCGAATGTATCAGCTATCACGATGCGTTCACGAAACAGATCAACGGAGCTCACGCAATGGGCCCTTCTCCAGATCGATCATGTTCTACACGCCCAGCGCTCCCGAATCAGCCGCCATCGTACGGGATAGCACGAGACTAGGGGTCAGACGTACCTGTTCGATGTGGTTCAAGCTGGACGCGCCGATGATAACCGCGTCCCCATACTCGCGCTTCATCAGGCTGTGGTGCGAGATCCAGCGGAGCGCGATCTCAGCCATGGTCAAGTTGTGCGCCTCGGCGACCTTCTGGATGGAGCGAGCGCGTTGAAGTACGGCTCGTTCCAGTAGCTATGATCGCCAGCAGATATTGCGATTTAGAGATTCGCTCGCAGGACTTGATAATGTGATTGCCTACCGAGCACGATAGTTCTACGCGGGGAAGACGGGGGTGAGCAGATGGTTGACGAGAGATCGAGATGACGGCTTACCCTTCCTTGACCCTTGGTTGGGTCGAACCGGGAGCCAGGTTCAACATCTTGGTCGGGCGAACTGTACCTTCCTGTGAAGAAACCTCCGCCCACTGTGCCATTATTCCTTAACCCCAGCACCAAGCCAATGAGATGTCATCGACACTCACAGGGGTTGAACTCGTAGAAGCTGATGCCGTACTTTCGCAGGCACGGGAAGAGTTCAGGCTCGACCTTACTATCGAACACATAGCCGCGCGTCAGCGTGCATAACATTGACGAATATTCCTGCGCCCACCGATGAACTGCGTTGTAGATTCCTTGGTACGCTGTGGGCTGGATGTAACCGTTCGTCCTGCAAATCTGCACGATCTCAGCCACCTCCCACCTATCCACCCCACTCTTAGTACGACACCAATGGCATACAGAGCGAGTAACGTACGACATGTAGTTACTGATTCCGAATCGCCGGAACTTGCCCTCTTTGTACAGGTCGTTGACGGCCTTGAGTGTGACTTCATATGGCGTCGTTCGGTCGGGGCCGTGAAGATACCACATCTCCAGCTGGCTATATGCGCAGAAAATTGAGTGAAAGGCAATGTGCTTTCATTCCAATGACATACTCAATGTTGAGAGCTTTCATGGACGTCTCAAGGTGCTTGCGCAGGTCCTGTAAAAGGTGTTCTTTATCACGCACATCCGACTTGGAAAGCACTGAGTCGCATGTACCTCAGGCGCATGCGAGATCATCGCTCTGTTCGGATTCTGCAGCCTCTTGTTCGCCTGTGTGATGCAAGCAGAGCATTTCATCAGTCCACGGTGGCAGATACAGAAGCAGAGCGTAGGTAAGCACGGACAACGTTCGGGTACAATTTTGTCTCAATTTTCAGGCCGCGACTGCGCCAGTCGATCTTGCCAAGGTACTCTTCGCTTGTCCCACCAGTGTAGGTGCGCGCCGTGTCAATCTGGAAATTACCGTGCTTTCAGCTGTGGACCCTGCCAATGGTCGCATATGATGGTGCCGCACCTCTGTATGGCCATGGGCCTGGAACACATCCAAGATCGCCTCGACGTCACTGAGGTTGTGGACCCGAGCACCTGGTGAATAGATGAGAAGGATACCAAAACCGCTGCTGGACTGGATGGACGGATCCCCAGCAACGCACCTTCCTTGCTCTCTTCCCCAACGTCATGGCGCCCTAGCGACGATCAGGTCACCAGTCTGCAACATCCCGAGTACGATGGAATTACCATCACGATGTTCAGCGCGCTCTTCTGTTGAGGGGCCATGTCAGTGTCCTGTGGTCGATCAAACTGCTATGCTGTGGTGTGGGTCGTCCGGTGCTGCTACCACCTCTGAGCCGTTGGTGGATGCTGTAGGTGAAGGGCTGGATTCAGATGAGATGTATATATAGACGAACTCGGCGGCTGGCTTACTCACGGTCAGTACACTTTGCCTTCGTAAGTATACCACACCCGCTCGGTGCCTGGCTGCATGGGCAAACGGCGAGGAGACGGCATCCCGAAGTCTAGGACACGTGGTGCCGATAAGTGACGTTGTGTGGTACGAGATAACTGCTTGGATGGCGTGAACTGTGAACAGACTGACGGCTCCCACCGCGGATGCCGAACGGCACTCCAGATGAAGATTCCGCGCGATTATAACCAACATTAGTGCCAATGCATAAGTTATGTATAGGCATGAACCGCTGCATATGTCGGTGCGCAATCATCCTCTCTCGTCCGAGAACACTGCCGCGCTCCGTACTGCCTTCCGCAAGGGCATGGAGGGACTCCTAGAGCTCGCACTCGAGCACGCGGGCTGACGACGGAGCGCATCCACGAGCTCTACGAGATGCGATTCTCGACGATAAACCCTGTCGTTGACATCAGCGACAAATGCATAGGTGAGCAGTGGTGGTCCACTCCCAATTTCTGGGAAGGTGGCGTCGACGATGCGGCTACGATCCGCGCCAATCCGCCCGAGACCTTCTTCCATCTTACCATCTACGGCGAGCTCTTCGGGCCTGCCTTCGACGTGTTCCTCAAATTGGACACGATTCCCGAGGCGGCGAACGCAGAAACAAGGCTCGAACTCGTCAGTATTGCATCCCGGATTGGCTGCGCTGGGCGTATCAGAGCCCTGCCTGGGGCGAGGATGGCAGGGTGGATCCGCGCCGGGCTGTTCAGCCTGTTGGTCCTTATTCCCCTCTCGTAGACGACGACCCTTCACCCCCAGGGTTGGAAGTCGACGGCCAGCAGTGGCTCTAGCACCTTTTGAAAAGCACGAGATGGGCGCGCGGCTGTAGGCAGTGATTTCGGGGAGGGATGTAACCAAGATCTATGGTAGGCCATCGTGATGTGCCAGGACATGGAGGGCATGGAGGTGGTCAAGCCGGGAGATCTGGCGAAATGGATGGAGCGTTGATTGCCTGGAGATCAAGGATTGAAGCGATGACGACGAGGCCCGACAAAGTCACGATCGAGAGGGAGAAGACTCATGTGTTCCCGGACCTCAACGGTGCACTGGTAGGGTGAGATCTCCGGGTATGAAGGACTTGACGAATATGTACGCAGGACCGGCTTCATCTTACTGTACTGGCAGTCGTGTAAGGTTGTCGGATTGAAGTTGGCATACTGCGTCCACGTACTCACCTGTACTACGTAACCCTGTGCGCATCTACTGGCCTCCACTTGGCCTCCATGGGGCGCTGTCGAAAACCTCGGACCGCGTCGTATGACTGCGTCGAGAGCCACTGGCAAGTCGCAGTGAGTGAATTATTATCTGAGTGAACTTGCAATAGACCATGAATAAAGCATGCTTCCATGTGTCAGACGTGCGATAATCATCTCCCGGACGAAGACCCACAAGCGACCTGTACGAGTGGGAGGCTGTGGGAGGTCGGCGACCGTCGCGTACATGCGACGCCACGATGTGAGAGGAGGAGCGAGTCACGAGCACGCGTCGCTCGGCGTCGCGGCGCACGCCGCACAAGTCCGTGTCGCCGGAGGCAGAGCCGGACCCACCACTCTTCCTCGAACCCTGCTCGAATCCCTGTGTTGATTATCCGAGACAGGTTGGTGGTTTGTTATGCCCTATACCGTCGAGCTAAGGCAGTGTCAGATACCTTGAAGCCGGACAGAATGTGCTGTCGGTGGGCCGGCGCGTTCCACGCACCGTCGTACGAACGTTCGCATCGCTTCGAACGTTTAGCATAACTAGTCTGCGATATTACTCGATGATGCATTTGTATTGCAACGTGCTAGCAGCTGTCACGTACTCAGGGTGATACGGTTGGAAGCAGCGGAACGCGTACTAGTCAAGGTGAGAGTCTCGATTCCCTCTCGGACTCACTCACATACTCACTACTCATGCATTTCCACACAGGCTATGTGACCCGGTGCCATGCCAGTGCAGGCCCTCCGGTGTGTCGCGCAGCGAAGCCGAGGATCCCTACTTAGGCTTGGGTTCGAGGCAAGACCCTGACTGTGTACCGTGAAGGGGGTGTTGAGGTGCTTCGCTGTTCACTCGGGAGGCGATGTTGATTGCGTTCTGTGGTCGTCCAAATGCAAGACAATACTTCGTGGTATGCAGAAGCTCGTTCTACTTCTCTCCTGCAGCAGGGCTGGTACCGAGAACTTGTTGATCAGACACGGAGATGAAAGTGTCGCGCCGCCGCCGCATTGTAATTGTGCGGTCCACAAGGGATTCTTCCTCGCCACCCCTCCGATATATAGGTCAGGCCTACTAGTCTTTTTCAGCAGGCCCACACCGAAAGAAGAGCAAGATGTCTACCAACAGAGCTCACGCCCAGAAATCGAGGTAAGCCTAGTGTATCGCGGTGCGAGACGCCTTCCTCACTGTCATTGTAGCCGCGGCGCGTCCAGCCGACCGCGCCAGACGACTGGGACTACTCTGACATCAACTTCAGCACAGCCCGGGCCACTCGCAGCAATCGGGTCCGCGCTCGCAGACTTTTTGATCAGTCCGGCGTACGCAGGCCCATTGACCAAGCCGACAGTTGTGAGGCCGATGAGGCCGATGAAGTCGAAGCCGTCAAGCCTGGCGCACCAGGCAGGTCGGGCACATCAGGCAGGCCGGGCACAACAGACAGAGCAGACAGGCCGGGGTATCATCAAGAATGTCCTATCATACGTACGAAAGCGCATGAATAGCGCGGATTAGCCGCCTAGAGTCCGGGAGTTGGTGTACCCTCGACATGATCGTCTGAACACCCGAGTCTGTAGTTTCTCTTGACGATACCTTTGTACCTCTGTACTACAGACTACGCGCAAAAGACTCTTGAAAAAAAAATGCGTTGCGTCCTTCTGGAGCAGTAGTCAGGAGATGTATACATGCTGGTGTCCGCCGAGACCGGGCCAACGCTGGCGGCACTTCGAATATGTTGGAAGCAAAGAGACACGTACTAGTCAAGGTGAGAGTCTCGATCCTTCTCCATTCCCTCTCGGGTTCACACATACTCATGCATTGCCACACAGGCTAAGTGACCCGGTAGCCATACCAGTGCTGGCAGGCCCTCCGGTGCGTCACGTAACGAAGCCTTAGGCCTGGGCTCGAGGCAAGACCCTGAGTACACCTGTGCACTTGAATTGGGTATGATTGAAGTGCTTCGCTGTTCACTCGGGAGGCGATGTTGATTGCGTTCTGTCGTCGGCCAAGTGCAAGATAGTGGTATGCAGAAGCCCGTTCCACTTCTCTTCCTGTGGCAGCAGGCCCTATGCCACTGCTAGTTGGTGGTAGCGAGAACCTGATCAAACACGGAGATGAAGGCGTCGCGCGGCCACCGCATTGCACTTGTGTGGTCCACAGGCGATGCTTCCTCACCACCCCTCCAATATATAACCGAGGCCTGCTAGCCACTTTCAGCAGACCCACCGAACGAAGAACAAGATGTCTACCGGCAAAGCTCACTCCCAGAAATCGAGGTAAGCCTGTATCGCGGTGTGAGACGCCTGAGTCCTCACTGTCATTGCAGTCGCGGCACGTCACTAACCAACCGCGTCTGACGACTTGGACTACTCCAACCTCAACTTCAGCACACACGATCGGGCCGCTCGCAGGCCTTTGAACAGGCCGACGGTTGTGAAACCGATGAGGCCAACCGACGCCATCAAGCCTGGCAAACCGGGCAAACCGGCGGGAAATCATCAAGGCTATTCTACGTACTGTTGAGGTCGCGTCGCGCGATCCTCAAGTTGTACAGTCTGACTGACTTTCAGGTACTGTCAGTGTATAGTCGAGTGTCCCACGACTGAGTTTCGATATCTTCACATACAGATTCACTGAATGGCATGTACCAGGGCCCATGAGTTGGCATGATCGTCTGAACATCCGAGTCTGTAGCTTTTCTTGACGATACGTTTTGCGTTGCTGTACTACAGACTACCTGCACAGGACTCGGGAAACGTATGTGCGTCCTTCTGAAGCAGCAGTCGTGAAATGTAGTGTGCCGATGTTGACACTCCGAGAGCAATATACCCATTCTTCACTATCTGACCTACGCCATGAGTTGCCGTGGTGCTTACGACCGTGCTTATATACCTCGTAGAGCAAACCACAGCTCATGAGCACAAGAGCGCGAAGCCAGACAAGCACAAGATAAGTTACATGATGGAATAACGATACAATACTACCCAACGAATCCTACGGCATAATTGGCCGTCCCACCTAGCCTTCATCCTCACCCTCCTCCTCATCAACCTCCATCTCCTCCTCAGCACCATCCTCCTCTTCCCCGTCCTCACCAACCACGCCACGCGCATACCCATTCCTCTGTCCCCACTCCCGCGCTGGGTTCGCCATTGCAGCAGCCACGTCCACCCTTGGTGTCCGTATCGTGTCCCACTCCACGAGCACTTTCTCCATCACAGGGTCCCACCGCGCGGCGCTCTGGAAGAATCGCCGGCGGCCCGCACGTTTCTGGCCCGCCCCATTCGTGTATGCACCTGCACAGAGGTCCGGCAGTGCGTCTTCGGCGTGCTCGTCCATCCTAGGCACGTCGTAGTAGCGGTTCGTCGTGATGCTCATGCGCTTGCGCGTTCGCCGCCGGGAACGGCGTTTTGAGCGGCGCCGCCGGCCCGCATGTGAGTCGTCTGAGATGGAGTCCGCGTCGTCCCCGTCTGACTCGTTGTCTGAGGCAGCAGCTTCTTGCAGGCCATAAACGAAGCGCGTGTGTTCTACACAGCACGAATGAGGCGCGGCCAGAACAATAGGAAGGCGGCACTCACGCGCTAGTCGCTCGTCAAGCTCATCCATGGGTTCTTCGTTGTTGGCGTTTCCGAACCCGAGATGCTCGCCTAGACTCTCTCGAGGAACATCCTGCATCCCAACAGAGGGCGCAGGCTGTAGTTCGCCCAGCTGTTGTAGCACTTTTGTCCTTGTATACGCTCAACTTCGCCTTCCAACGGATCACGAGGAGCAGCAAGTAACTTACCGGACCTCATCGAGCGACCCATCCTTCACGTTCATATCCTCCATATTATTCGGCAGGACCTCCAGCCTGTACCTCGGGCCGAACCACTCAAATACTCGTTCCAAGGCAGGTTGGGTCGATCTCGCGCTCGATTCCCAGCGCACACGCGGTCTCGTACGTCCACGCGCGCACGACGTTCTTCACGGTGTACCCGCCACCGCCAAGGAGGATGAGCGGGATGTTGCGCGAGCGCACATACTGGAGGCAATTCGCGTGCCCCTGCATCGTCAAGTTAAGGCACCCAGCCTGTCGCCTGCGAGCGAGTCTGCGCCGCATTGCAGGACGATCACGGAGGGCTGAAAGACAGCAAGATCTTATCTATCACCTTCAGAAGTGTGTTCGGTGAGCCTCTAGTGCAGGAGGAGTAGGTCGCCACGCACCGGCTCGAAGATGCTTCTGAACGACTCGTCGGTGACGCCATCCTTCAACGGGACGTTGACTGCATATCCCTTGCCTTTGCCCTCCCTCGATCCTGTAATGTCCCCGTTCCAGGGAAGAACTCGCCGTACTTGTGGAACGAGCACGTCATGACGCGGTCGGTCGTATAGAACGCCTCTTCGACGCCATCACCGTGGTGGCAGTCAATGTCGATGTACAGCACGCGCGGCACGGAGCGCAGGAGCTCGATAATACCGAGCACGATGTCATTGATATAGCAAAAGCCTGAGGCTTCGCGCTTCTTGGCGTGGTGTAGCCCGCCGGCCCAGTTGATGGCGATGTCTGTTGCCCCGCTTGCGATGCGTTCGGCAGCAGCTGGTGGCGGTCAGATAATTTTGACGAGAGCTCGGTAGCAAAACGCACCTATTGACCCTCCCGCAGAGATGGAGCAAAATTCGAAGATACCTTCGAATGCAGGGTTGTCATCACCGAGTACGAGAACTGGAGCACTCTTGCACTGTCAGCAGTGATATAACAAGTAAGAACATAGAGCGCACATCGGGAACGCTGTGACATGAGCTCCTCGACATTATCCGGTGTGACTTTTGAGAGAAACTCGATGTACTCGTCGGTGTGAAAGCGCGTCATTGTCTCCGCGGATGCGCGTTTTGCACGCTATGCCCAGGCAGTTATAAGCCCTCGGAACAACAGCAACGGTGATGGGAGCACATACCAGAATGTGCATCTTGTCCAGCATGCCATATGCAGATACGAGTTCATGAGTGATACGCATCCGTTGAGGTTTCATGAGGTGCCCATAGCCATAGGTGTAAGCGCCCACATCAGCTGCAAGCCAGTCAGACACGTTCAAATACTGGTGGCTACAACGCACAATCGTAATAGTAAGCCACCCTGCGTTTCGACATTGTAACGGTGGGGGCAGGGACCTCCGGTTGAAGCAGGACTCAGTGGAGCACACCCTCGGGGTAGTATCGGGCTTGCTGAATCACTGCCCGCAAGCAGATAGGGTACGGTCACCTCTCAAAGCACAGATGTCAAGACGGAGCTGTGGTGGGTATGGCTGTATGCGGCGGAGAGGCGGTACAAACGCAGAGACGGAGGAGTGTGCGGTAGGTGGACCAACCTTCGAAATAGTCGCGCACAGTCGCACGTGTGTCAAGACGCCCGTTCCAAGTATGGAACCCCGAAGCAAATAGGGGAGGATCATGCATGTGGCCTCCGAGTCACTGCTGTAACGCAGTTACGTCTTTATAAACAACCTCTTCCATTGACATGCAAGAGTCGAAGGTGTCATAGTACCAAGTATCAGCATGTCGTGTGCATGCAGACCTGCAACTTGAAGTCTGCAACCACCGCGTCAGATCCGATACGCGAGATGAACGCGGTCACGTGTAGCAGATGTAAACGCGATGGGAATGTCGAGGCCCAGCAAAACTGCACGAAGCGAAACAACCTGGCCTCATGTCTGAGTCTGACGATTAGCAATCGTGTTATACGTCTAATTATGCATCTCTCCCATGATTCAGAATGATCCAGAAGCGACATAGTGCAACGTGACAGTGCTGCAGAGTTACTGAGTGACATTGCAGGCCTAAAAGCATGCCTCCTCGACAACCAAAAGGCTAGCAACTCCTGGTTTCGATCCAGGGACTTCAGGGTATCCATAGGTATGAGCCCCGCACGCTCCCAACTGCGTCAAATTGCTCGGAATGAAGGTTGGTACATCGACCCCTGGCTGACTGTGGTGGCTACGAGCAGTCGCAGCTGGACCAAACTGACCCACTATATTCTGTCTTTCTGGGATGACTTCACTGCATAGGACCGTCTTTCTGAGCCAACAGATGGATGTTTTCATTCATGTATGGTCAATTGGGATTACAGTTCATGGTTACAAGAATCGGAGAAAGTCCACAGCAGGCTCGTACACTACTAGTCTACGACGCTAGCTCCTTCTTACGCCTCACATCAATCGCCGCCTTGGATTTCTTCTTGATGTTGACATGGCGTTTGTCAACGAGTGTTACCGGGTGCTCCGCTAAAATCGCAGGGTCGTAGGTTGCTTCATGAGCGACATCCGCATCAAAACGGAACTGCGGTGGGAGCCTAAGTTCCTCGTTATCCGTGTCGTCCGCGTTGTGGCCGTCGTCGTCTGATTTGTCCGTGTTGTTGTCATCGTCATCTGCGTCTTGCGTCTCACTGATGGTGGACCCATTGCGCTTGAGTAGCGGATACTTGTGAACATTGTGGAGATGTTCAATCGTGGCACCGAGGTCGCGTCTGAGGGAAGATCAGCCGATGCAAGGGAGAGCCATGAGAAGACAAACGGACTCGATTTCACCATCACAAGGAGGGAATGCACACCGGAAGGTCCTGGAGTAAACCAACTGTGTCTGACCGGCACGAGTGGGGGCACCACTGAAGTGGGCGTAGATGTGTTGATGCATACGCTGCTTGTCCTTGAAGTACCTGTCAGGTGACGCAGTTAGATGTGCCGCTTGTGATGAAACAGTCTCGACTTACACGAGGCGGTGTTCAGGCGGAGCTCTCTTTGACTCGCCGTGCTCCACCGGGTCATAGAGCCATGACAGACCTTTATTGTTGAGGCACATTGGGCAGTAATACATGAGGTGCCCTCGAATTGCCACCGAGTGTCGTATGAAACTGCTCAGCGCCTCAAAACCGCTGCGAAACATGAGGGACAGAGACACATCAAGAAAAGATGTACATACCGTGTTGGGGTGATAGAGACCGGCGGTTGCGATGAGACTGGTGAGGCACCTGCAGTTACGACTTGCTGCTGTGGTAAGGTCTGGCCCATTCGTCTTGCAAGATGTTGATCCTCAAGATCATTGATAAGGACGAGAGGGTTCTCGTCATCATCGTCGTCGTCATCGTGACGAAGCCCTATGGTGCTGTCCTGTGGATCAACATCAGGCTCGGAAGCCAACTGACGATCCTCCTCGCTAGGAGCGACGTGGCCATGGCTGACGAGCATAGCATGTACGCAAGCCTCCAGGTGGTCTTCCACGTTACAATCATCCCAAGGCCCATCAAGGAAGACACCGCACACGGGACAGCGAGTGAAGCCAGGATGGTGTTTGAGGTCACATCGGAGCATGTGCTGGGCGAGATTGGCTTGGTGATTCTTGTCGCGCTCTCGCGGAGGCAGGCTCGTGTCGTGGATGCACCACGGACATTTGCCCTCCACCCGAATGCTGTCAGCACGTATGAGGGAGATGTACTGGCTCAGCAGGGCAAAGCGTGGGTTGACTCGCTCAGCACGGATCAAGGGCACGAAGGGATGGTCGGCGTTCAGGGTCTCCAATATATTGATGGCATCTCCGGCGCCGAGCAAGGTAGGTGCGTCGGTTGGTGCGTCGGTTGGTGCGCCGGTTGGTGCGCCGGTTGGTGCGCCGGTTGGTGCGCCGGTTGGTGCATTGGCTGGTGTGTCTTCAGTAGCGGGATCCTCATCGCTACGATCTGGCTGACTGCCGTCCGCCGAGACGTCAATAGGATCGCCACTTGTGGCCTCTGGAGGGCCACTGGGAGCGACCTTCTCCTTGCTGGCGGCGACCTTCCCTTTGCTGGTGGTGAGGTATGATGCATGTTGGCGCTACCGGGACAGACGTATGGTCAGGAGATGACAGGTGCACGACACTCAAGGCGCTTACTCTCGTGGTGAGGGTAGAGGCATACTGGACTACATCCACCCATTTGCTCAATGCATCGCGACATTGTGGAGTGTCTAGAGCCTGTTATGTGGGGGGTGAGGTGAAGAAGACAGCAAGTATGAGGAGACGTACAGCTTCTTCCAATTGATATGTGTACTTTCCACCATTTGCCTCAATCAGTGGTTCCTCTGCACGTCGCCACCGGTCGACAAGCTGTATATACTCGGTGTCGACTACGGCGTTGAGGTCCGCGTCACTTGATGATGCCGTGGTGGAGGCATCTAGATTGAAGGCCACGGAAGAATGGTGGTCTATGAGCTTGAGATGCGCGTCAGAGTCGGCCTGATCGAAGCGCTTGGCTATCATGTCAACGTGGCGGTCCTCGGGCTGATAGGTGGAGCGTGCGAGATGGGATTTGATACGATGACCGAGGGCATAATTGAGGTTAACCTGCACAACGGCCATGACAGTAAGCCACACAAAATACGGAAGAGAGAGATTCCGCAGCACCTTGTCCATCTTTGATAGCATTTCCCTAGCGAAGGCATAGCGGAATCCACGCATAGAGAACCCTATGGGCGGCAATGCTCAGCGGACAGCGATGCAGGCAAGAGGAAGACTTACATTTCCATCGGAGAGGTCTTGCGACCTTGGTGACCCAATGAGCGGCTGCATTGTATGTTGCGGCGGTTTGACGGTCCTCGGTGACGAAGACGGGCTGCTCCGCCAACTCGGGCTTGAACTTGAGGAGGTGGGGGAGTGTTTCGGGGAGGTGCTTGGCATCCTGATACATGTTGAGGATGGTTGTGTCCTCGAAAACGCCACGGGCGAGGGCCTGCGCCATGAAGACGGTGACAAAGTCCATGTGAAGGTCATCACGGGATGTCACATGTAAGGCGATCCGGACTCTACGAAGAAGTGAGCGAGAGGTGCATGCGAGAGCGCGAGACTTACTGTGCAGAGTCGTCCTGGCGCATGAACTTCATGTAGACAAAGCTGATAAACAAGGTGATCTCGAGGCCTTCACCTTCCTTCCACCCGGTGATCCACACCTCAATGTGCTGTGTGTAGGGCGCAGATGAGATGAGTGCTGCTATGCGGTGAGAGTGTCACACACACCTTGTAGAGCAGACACTCGTTGGTGTTTTCATAGCCCCGGGATAGGACGATGCAGCCTGGACGCTGGCCGGTTGCGTAGAGAAGGGTGGCGAGGGCGATGGTATTGAGCCGCTGTGGGAGACATCAGGTGAGAGAGCTGTGTAGCAAGACGTGTCAGCGTACCAGCCAATTGGTGCGCAGTGGCGTTGGCGGCTTGAGAGCGGCTCCACAGAAGAGGGCCAAGTCTTCCCGACGAACGTAGCGCTTTTCACGCTTGCGTGTGGACAACAGCTTGTCGACGACGGCCCATTCCCGGATAGCCTGGGAGGACGGTCAATGGGGTGCAATGAACACGAGAGCAGACTTGCATTTCCAATTTGGACGCGATCTGATTGCGATGGTATACCGGCTCCGATGGATTTGAGCTTCAAGAGATTGTGAGTGCGTGCAAGGAGTCAAAGTCGACAGAAAGAGAGACATACATAAGCGCAGAGTACGCCGACGAATCTCATTGCTGTTACGAACGCCCAGCCCTTACCCTCTTCGACGTAGGAGTGGCCCGTCTTAAAGATGGCGTGAAATCCTTGTATTGCTTGAGCGAGGGGAGGAAAGTTTGATCCTGGGCGTAGCATGTCTTCGGCGGCGTCTTCAGACTTGAGACGCCAAGCCCAGTAGCCAACCCAAAGGCGGCGTACACGATCGCGGGCAGCCTGGGTGGGCGGCTGAACGGGGCGAATCCATATTTTGTCGAACGTGTCCGTCTGTGCGATCATCGCGTCGGGGGTTCCATACTCGGCCTCTAGGTCGGCGGCGAGATTGCGCTCTCGGCCTGCCTTGCGCACGCGTGCTTTGCGCTTGGGAGGGGCGGAAAGACCGGAGAGGAGGTTGGGGGCAGGAGGGAGAGATAGAGCAACGGAGGAAGACGCACGACTGCTGGCTGAAGTCGAGGGGAGAGCCACAGTCGAAGCGATGGACGCAGGGGTGCCATCAGAAGGGAGGGGGACGGGCCAGGACGCGATGATGGGATAGGGACAGCAGAGGATGGCACGGCCCTTGAGGGAGCAGCAGCAGACGAAGCGGATCGAGGGGCAGACGCGGGCAGGGGCGCATCTTTGGAAGGGCGAGCAGGAGGAAAACGTTTGCTGGGGCGCGGACTGGGAGCGGGAGTAGGGCCTGAAGCGGAGGCTCCCGATGCGGCGCGTCTGAGAGCTGTTTCGGCGGGCGTGGTGGGCGCGACAAGAGTGGGCGCGGCAGGTTTGGCCAGGGACGGGGCGGCAAGGGACGCCTTTGGGGCGGCTGGCTTGAGGCTGCGCTTTTTCTGCGGCATTGCGAGAGGGAGGGCTTATGAGAAACGACGATGCGGACGTGCTTTATGTGCGCGTAGCAGCAACGCGCAGGCCGCGTCAAGAAGGGAAAAAAAAAAGTTGGGCACACATGGGGGAGAGCCGAATGCAGCAGCGCGAGGACTGCATTTGGCGTTCGCAGCGCGCACGCAAAGTAACGAAGCACGGTGCATGTCAGGCAGAGAGCACCCAGCAGCACAGTGGCTGTCAATGACGTCAGCAAATGACGGATCTGGACACTCGGAAGAAGCCGCGGCTGAAGGCAGGGACGTGGACGCGACGATAGCATTGCTGCGAGTCAACAGAAGCGGGCGAAAGTACTACGGGACATGCGGGGCGAATTCCTCGAGGAAGTGTTTGACGTGCGTGCCGACGAGGTCACCTGCGAGGACGGTGGTGATGTTGATGAGAGCGCTGCTGGCGTGCGAAGGGGAAGGAAGGGACGAAGGATCTGCGTTGTCGAGATGATGTGCGATGGCATCGAGGACGGGAATGAAGGCACGGGAACGACCGCGGACGAGGCTGGTTGCAGCCCAGATAGGGTCGAGAAGGACGGCTGGGCCAAACTAAGGGGGGTGGTGAGACGGAGGGGGGGCGGATGGGGCAAGGAAGACGGACCGTATTGTACATTTTGAGCAGACGATTGCGGGAGGAGATGGTGAGGCGGGCGGAGTTGCGCCAGGTCTTGAATTGGGGGGAGAGGAGGGCGAATCTGGCGTTTGCCGCGTTCTCGGTGAGGCCGAGGAACTCGTGGGAGAAGGCGGGGTCTTGCATGAAGGAAGTGCGGAAGAAGGTGGTGGTCCACTTTTTGCCGCGGGGGAGCTGCTGGCGGGCCTGCCAGTCGGTGGCGAATTTGATGGTGTCGATCTGGAGCAAGATGCGATGGACGGCAGTGTGAGCGGTGTGGGCGGACTGGGTTGTGACGAGAGCCTGGAGGGCATGAGGGCGAGGGACGGTAAGTAAGGAGGAAAGGTACTGACAGTGTGGCGGAGTTGAAGGCGTTGCGAGATGCTTGCGACGGTGTCGTGATTGGCGGAGTGGGCGACGATGTCAGCCATGGTGACGATGGTGTCGGCGGAAGCATCAAAGACGTCGGCCTGGATGCAAAATGTGAGGCGGGTGGAGGCGCATACAGTCGGCTTACCCAGTCATTGAGTGACGCGCGTGGGAGGCCCGAGAGGAGGCGGATGAATGCGGCGTCCTCGAGGTCTGCGAGCTTGTGCTTTGGGTGATCGCCAATGAGGAGGAGTGCGACATCCGATGGGGAGGGAGGGCTAGCGCCGAGAGTGCTGAGGATGCGGGTGATGCGGAGAGCTATGGCAGCGTCTCTTGGGTCGCGGGGCTCGTCGTCGCGGGGTTCGTCGTCGTGGGGTTCGTCGTCGCGGGGCTCGTCGTCACGGGGTTCGTCGTCGTCGATGGGCTCGTCGTCGATGGGCTCGTCGCGGGGCTCGTCGTCAATGGGCTCGTCGTCAATGTGTGGCTCGTCATCGACGTGTGGCTCGTCGTCACCCGGCTCTTTGTCACTGCGCAGCTCTTCGTCACTGTGTGGATCGTTGTCGCTGCGTGGTTCATGCCAGTCGTCGTATTCCGGTACGTCACCGTAGTGGTCATAGTTTCGGAGGCAGGCGTAGACATCGTTGGCAGGGTGTTCGTCGTCAGCTTGGGGAATGGACCTCGATACAAGGCGGTGCAGGATCTGGAAGCGTTCACAGACTGTGAACGCTAGGTAGCGAGAGTTGGGGGAGGTGAGGGGGAGGGACATGTGTTGGCAGAGGGGTTCGATGGCGTCGAGATGGCCGAGGATGGCGTTGAGGTGGCTGGCCATGGTGGTTGCGGTGAGAGAGGAGAGGGGCGGTGTGGCGTGGCGTGGCGAGTCGCGGGTGGCGGGTGGCGGGCGACAAGGCGTCGGTGGCAGGCTATGACGATGCGACGAGAGGGCGGGCACGTACGCGCGCGGCGCATCGCGGCTGCTGGCGGGCGGGGCGCGGGGATGACGAGAAGGCGGACGCGGCGCGCGTGTCAGGGAGGGCGACGGGAGAGGTGCGCGACGTGTGGTGGCTGACGAGAACGGGGATGCGGTTGCGCGTCGGGCCTGGTGGTGGACGGGGTGCGGACGACGTGGCGAGGAGGAACGGGTGCGGCGGCACGAAGGAACGGGTGCGGCGGCACGAAGGGAAGACGGGGCTGTGGCGCGGATGACAGGAGGCGGGGGGACGTGACGGGGGGCAAGATATGGTTGTGGAGACAGAGCCCCGCACGCTTCCGCTGCGTCAAGTTGCTATAGTTGAATGACTCGAGAGGATCATGAAGATGCGAAAGATTTGGGTGAAAAGTTGGAACAGGCGCTCTGCGTGCCTTGCAGACGATATCGGACCATCGTAGCGCTTAGATTGCTTCGGCATGCTCGAATTTGCGCCTGAGACCTTGCTGAAGTATAGCTCAACGGCTTGGGGCCAGATAATAATATTTTTCAAGTGCCTAGAACGTTGGAGGCATTTTATACTTTCTGCCTCGCGGAGGTTTGATCGAATACTACACTCTCAGCCGCTGCCACTTCTCAGGCTCTACAGCGGCGAATCCTTTCGATGAAGACGTGCAGACTCACACCTAGAGCCCATCTCATATTTTATTGATTATTGCGCATGCCCCTAAGTACTCTGCCACGGCTGTACTTCATATTAACCCACGACCCGGGGTCCAAGTGCAACTTCAGATTCTACACCTTCGAAGTTGCCGTTCAACCACAATTGTCGATTGGCTCGCCCACTAAGACTTCAACACTTGGTTCATCCACGCCTTGTGCACGCCTCCGCGGTTTATGCTGACCGCCAGTCAAAAGCAATGTCCAGCCGGGTTGCTTTCTGTGCATGGTCCTTTTGCGCCACCTGCTGGATGAAGCTGTCAATATTGCTCAGTCTCGATCACGATCGACGATTTTGACTGCTGTCACTCCGCTGTCAAAATCGGGCTCTCCCGCTCGTCGGATGTACCCGAAATTGCTGTTGGACATCCGCCACTCTGGAGGACCAACAAGTAAGTATGATGGGCGTCGGCCGACGAAATCGACAAACAGCTGAATGCAGTACGGCTACACAGTGTGTTAGAATTGATCAATTCCTCGCCGACGCTCAGCGTACAGTCTGCAAACATGCTACCCTTACTCGCAGGCCCCCGAGGCTACCAGTGACCGGGGCCACACACTTCCTTTCCACCGTGTGCACCTTTTATGCCCAATTCAACACGTACATCGCTCCGCGTCTGCGCATGCCAGCCGCGAAGCTTGGTGATGGTCAGTAAAAAGCTCCTGTGGTATAGAACTGAAAATCGGACACGCACGTTGCGAGTGCGCGATGGGTGCCTTCCGACCGCTTGGCGAGACGAGCAGTCGGCAATGACGTCTGTGCCCAGCCTGAAAGTTGCGGTTGAAGATTGTGCAGCACAGCGCGGTACCTGGCATTCCACGAACCAGATGCGACAGAGCCCAGTCAACCGCGTGGCAAGGACATCACAATATCATTCTAGAGGGTCATGGTGAAGTGTCACCTAAGCCGGCCTGTCAGAATGGCGGAGGCTCTCAACACAAGACAAACATAGCCTACGGCTTTTTGAAGCAGCCTAATCTGCAAGTCTGCCTTCCGAACCTCCTGTCATACTCCCAACGACCGCTGGGGGCGTCCTCTCATGCGCTATGCAGTCAGGCTGCTTCGAGAAATCCCATATAACGTGATATGGCGGGGTAATGCGGATGTTGAATGTATTTCTCCGCTGCTCCAGCAACATCTCCTCGGCGGCAATGGGTATATCCGCCATTAGGTGCACGCCCGGGCCATGGTTGACAACAAATATCTGGACTGCGCTGAAGACGTCGGTGGACTCTCTAGCGACGTCTGCATCCTTCTTGAGATTCGGCGACGAGGATGCGGAGGAGCCATATGCATCGAGGAGCGGTTGTGAAGCCGACGAGCTCCCGTTATAGTGGGCAGAATGACGTTCGCTCCAGCCTCTGCGGCTCAGAGAGATAAGATGTTCCATTGACGAAGAAGAATATTACGTACTTAAGAAAGAGTTCGGTCGTGAATGCCAATTTGTCCATTTGATCCTACCAGTGAAGCGTCGTGAGCGAAGGCCTAACCTGTGATCAATGAGTGGACGGCCGTCGATCTCCACAATCATCATTTCCTTTGGCGTGTAAGTAGTACTATACTTGGGCAGATCACTTAGACGGGAAGAATCTGTAAACGAATGGGACTACCTTTGTCATAACAGAAGAGCTGCATCGATATACTGCATGGGACGGACCATATTGATCAACGGTCATATGGACGAATCATTGAGGAGGTTCAAACTTATCGTAGCTTCGTGAATGCTGCCATTGATCGCACGGACAGGGCTGAGTGCGTGCGTTCGGTAGTAATAAATACACGGTCGAGTCGTGAGCTCCGATACAAGTTGTAAAACGCGGTTGCTTTCAACTTCTGCTCCCGTGATTGATCACCGCAGTGTGTCTTGCAGCTCAGCGCCTCGTTATATCCTCGGGTTGGTTCAGCAGTCTACCCTCCATACCGCCATCTACCATGATGACTTGGCCAGAGACGTGCCCGGACACAGCGGTCGAAGCTACGAAGACGACTTGGGATGCTATGTCCTCCAGAGTAGCAACTCTCTTCAGTGGAATGCTGGTGTAAATCTCTCAGCGATGCACGCATGATGACAGGTAAGTAGACGGCTTACGTCGCCAGTGCACGATGGAAGGCCTCAGATCGTTGGGGGCTATGTTCGGCCGCTGGCGTTAAGACTCAACCTGCAGTACTTCAGGATTCGACTTCAATGAAGCGAAACGACAATCCTTTATTCACCCGGAGCGATGAAATTGACCCGCCCACGCGGGGCGATCTTGACAATCTCGTTCTTGAGCGACATCGTGGAGCCGTACATCATAGCTAGAAAGACATTTTGAGCGTTTGCAATTGCCAACAGAACCAACGAGCAATACACACCGCTTTTGGTCGCGGAGTAGTCGGCATGGCCGATCTCGCCATACTTTCCTACGGTACTACCTAAGATGACAATGAATGCCTTGTCCTTCTGCTCGTCCGTTGCATAGGCCAGTTGTTTCAGGTACTCCCTGACGACCAGGAAGACGGACGTTATGTTGGACGCAAAGGTCGATTCCCACTGCGTGAGCGACATCTCGGCGATGGGCACTTCAGGCTTCGGGTGCCATCCATGGTTTGCGATCAGCACCTGGACTGGACCAAACGGGTCATCTTTGAGTGTGTGGAATATGCGCAGGACATCGTCCTCCCTGCTGAGGTTCGCTTGGGCGGTCTGAATGCGGGTATGACCGAACTCGCGGTGGAGAGGTTCGAGGGTCACCACCGTGTTGTTGTAGTGAGCAGTCACATTCGCTCCGCATTCTTTGAGCCAGATAGGAAAGATGAGGAGCGTTTCGCCCGCTGCGTATACTGGGACTGACTGAGGAAGAGGCGGGCGGTCACTAGGCCTATGCTTCCGCTAGCACCTATAGTGATGGGTTTTAGTTCTTCCTGGTCGCAAGATAATATATGGACGAGACGGGAATGCTGACCTGTTAGGAGGACATGGACGCCGATGAGTTGCAAGTCCATTGCGTTGCCGATAGATCTGGATCTGAATGGGCGCCTGTCATAAGCTGCACCTTCGGTGTCGCAGTGGAGATGAAACTCAAACTGGCTGCGCACGCACTGACTCTGTCGTCGTCGTCGTTTGTCGCTTTCTCGTCGCTCCTCGTTGGTCGTGATCACACAGATACTGTTCGAGGATAAAGAGACTCATCTGATCTAGGCACGCTTCTTTTTGACTTGAACAGACCTGCGGCGGTGACTCAGAACGGACCTGCGGCGGGCCGCATACGGCTCTAGAGCATTGGATCCTTTTAGCAGCTCAGGGATAGCCTTCTAGCAAACTTGTAATGAATTCGAAGGTGCAGGCAAGACCGTTGGAAGATGACATTGGAACTACGCGGTTCACCGTCCAAAGGTACGCGATCTATAGGCAACGCTTGCAGTCTATTCATACGTGCCACAGCTCGGATGTCCTGGCGGACATGCGAGTGAACATCACCGAGGAGGGGTCGGAGAGAGTGATCTGGTACAAGGCAAGTATCTCCATCATCTGTACACAAAGCAGACATCAACTCAGCAGGCTGTGTGAAGGAAAGATTCCTCGCAGACGATGAAATAGTGGAACACTTCGTTGTATGTGAACAAATACGGGTACCCGTGCATTCCTAACTTTACAGTAGGAGAATGGAACGTCGACTCTTCTGTGGACTATTCATCGTCCCAAACGAGGCTGGTACATCCGGCTGCGAACGCCGTCTTTCCCTCCGGACGTGTTCATTCCGCTCCTACCCCTTCCGCAGACCTCTCCATACTACCTGGACTCTGCGCTGACATTTGCATGTCGAAACCCTCCGCCCTTCTCTCTCACCATATCGTCCGTCCTAAACTTTGAGCAGTCCCAGGAAACTGCTGAGAAAGACGCGGACAAGACCCAGGATATAACCACCCACGAGTATCCTCCGACCCCTCCGCCACTTGCGCCGAGCGTAGTGGTCCACCCCCCTCACCGCGTGCCAGTGTGCCAAAACTCGGTGGGTACGACTTCAAACCTCCGCCGGGCCGTACCGCCACTTCGTCCCCTCCTGCGAAATCGCCCATCACGCATTTCGTGCTCTCGCCTCAATCGCGGGTCACACCTCAGCAGGCGGAGAGGAGCTCGTTGTTCACGCGGATGTTCTCTGCGCTGAAGACCAATGCTCCTGCGCACTCGTACACCTTCGCTCTGTCGCCCATCCCAGACCCGTGGGCGCCATCGACACCATCCGCGCAAGGGCAGTATCGCGATGCAGCGCCGTCAACGCCCATCCCCTTGCTCACCTTTTTCGACCAGACACCGGTTTGGACGGTTAACTCGGTGTCAGGCGTGATTGAAATCGACATGAAACTCGTCCGGTCGCTCGGAGTGGAGACGAGCTTCTACATAGCTGTCGCGTTGACCTACCTCGACTTCGTGTCAGACAGGGAGGTAAGCTGTCCCCGCTGATGATCCTGTCGATGCGTGATTGACACGTTGCCCTTGCAGAGTTACCTCGCCGCGTTAAATGACTGATGAAGGTCGTCCGGATAGATGGCTATCAACGGGACTCTCTTGCGTGATTTACTGCTTTCGTGCGGATCGTCGTGCTGTTGATACCCAACGGACTTCCCGGTGACCTGCTTTCGGGGATACTTATTTATTGCCCCCTGTAATTGTTTGGATACATCATGTCTTTCGCGCAACCTCCATCAAACTGCGAAAGAGTGACGGCCGAACAGGACTAATAACCTGCTGTAATGCTGTGCGTATTTACGGGCTCAGAGCACGTCAGCGTAATAAACGAGCGTGAAACTGCAAGGATTGCCATTGGTTTATTGTAGACGCCCATAGTTATGTGCCCTGCTTAGTCATCGCCGAATACGGTAGTCTGCCCTGCCGTTGCATCGGTTCTGCTGAGTCGCCAGTCCCCGTCTCACTTCCTGCCCTCGTCGTCGCCGTGCACGACGACGGCGAACTCGCACCCTTCGCACGGCCTGACCAGACACTTTCCGTGAGTATGCGATCTGTCATCCTTCCAATGCCTCAGCATGACAACTGCCACGCGTCAGCGTCGCTTTGAATTCGTCTCGCAGTTCGCCATCAGGCCGTCTTCTTTCCAACTTTCTCCCACAAGAGCTCAAAACCTCGGATTGTGAGCAGCCAGCGGGCTTGCTAACGTTGGCGTGTACGCTATGGACTCCTCCTACTCAAGCCTGCAAGTCCCCGACTCTTCGCAGGCCGGTCCGTCGCGTCATGCGTACCGACCTGCCTCCATCCAGCCCACGACTACATCGTCTTCGGCCTCTCCGTCATCGTCCAAGAAGCGAGCCTCGCACACAGTGGTGACGGGGCAGCGAGAGCAGGAAGAGCAGCCTTCTTATCGCGACATCTACGCGCATCCCGCCGCACTCGAGTATGCCGCCGCTCATCCGAAGCGAACCATACCAAAGTTTGGGCCGTACCTGTTGCTGCAGACGTTAGGCGAGGGAGAGTTTGGGAAGGTGAAACTGGGCTTGCACATGCAGTGGGGCGAGGAGGTCGCTGTCAAGTTGATGCGACGGGGGAATATAGATTCCTCGGTACGCATGTCGAAGGTTGAGAGGGAGATAGAGGTCCTCAAGGTGCGCCGTCCGCATCCTGAGATGATTATATGCAACATTACTAACGTTGTTGAGTAGAGTCTGAAGCATCCCAACATCGTTCGCCTATACGACGTGATTGAGACCGACAAGTACATCGGCATCATCCTCGAATACGCTTCAGGGGGCGAGCTGTTCGACCATATCCTGGCCCATCGTTATCTGCGCGAAAAGGACGCGTGCAAGCTATTCTCGCAGCTCATCTCCGGCGTTTGGTACATCCATCAAAAGAAAATCGTTCATCGTGACCTCAAGCTCGAGAACCTGCTCCTGGACCGTCACCGTAATGTGATCATCACCGACTTCGGCTTCGCCAACCGCTTCGAGCACCGGTCGGACGACCTGATGCAGACAAGCTGCGGGTCGCCGTGCTATGCGGCGCCCGAGCTAGTCATATCCGACGGGCTCTATGTCGGTTCCGCTGTCGACATCTGGTCGTGCGGAGTCATTCTCTATGCAATGCTGGCAGGGTACCTGCCCTTCGACGACGATCCGGCTAACCCGGACGGAGACAACATCAACCTCCTGTACAAGTACATTGTCAACACTCCTCTGTCCTTCCCCGACTACATATCCGCCGAAGCCCGTGACCTGCTCTCCATCATGCTTGTCCCGGACCCGTCCCGTCGAGCTGACCTGCCCACCATCATGGCTCACCGATGGCTCGCGCCTTGCGTGCACAACTTCAACAAGAGTGTTGCGGACCTTGAGCGCGCGGCTATTGAGCAGCACCATCAGAAGCGACTTGCCTACCAGAGGCAGATGAAGCAGGCTGTCCAGACGCAAGAGCCCGCGTCGAAGATTGCGCGCAGCCAGAGCTCGCGGACGGATGGCTACAGCGGCTCTGCGAGCGTTGGCCCCCCGTCTCGGTCTAGGAGTAACCGGGACCACGCATATAGTCAGCAAGCGCAGCCGGAATACCTTTACGAGACGTCTCCGGACGCATCTGTATACTCGACTGCTCCAAGTGCGTCTCGTCGGGCCTTCAACTCGACTATCGTGTTGCCTACATCGACTCCTATGGTGGAAGACGATCCGTTTGCGCCCTCGCCCACCGGGGAGAACGATGCAACCGCATCTGCCATGGATACGGCTGCTACCAATGGAACCACTTCCGAAGAGACAAGGAAGATCAACGGTTCCTCGCCACCCGTCTCCAGCAGCAAGACTTCTCCCGACGGCAAGCGCAAGGGTGGCATGCGTCATACCATTCAGGTTGAGTATGGGGAATCCGACGGCAGGGAGCCCCAGCACAAGAGCAGCAGCCGCACAACTAATGGGGCCTCCTCGGCGGGCCCATCCAACCCCGAAAAGGAGCGCTCTCAGAGGAAGGCGTCTGTCGATGTTACCAGGCGCAGCTCGACGAAGGCCTTGCCGAGCACACCCTCAGCGACTGTCTCCCGAGATCGCTCCGAGACGATCACCCAGCGACTCGTCTCTGCGCAAAGCGCAACTGCCCCGCCTGTCGCGATCGAGGTCACAGGACCGCCCGTCTCGCCAGGGTTTTCTCCCGAGGAGAAGGCGCCAACGGCATCCGAGAAGACGGACTCCGCGTCGTCGAAGCAGAGCCGGCACAGGAAGGGTCTTTCCATTGACAAGATTGGCATCTCCAAGCTCTTCGGTGCTTCGCCGGAGCAGCCTACCAATGGTGTGCAGCGCGCGCCCTCGCAGAGCAAGAAGAATGGCCCTGGCCGTGCGCCATCCACGGATGCCATGGCAAACGGCAAACATGACGTCGGAAGGCGGCCCTCGACGTTGCAGGTCCCTGTATCTCCCACATCCCCGACCGCGTCCGAACCTACAGCGACGCTCAGCCCAGATGGCTCTATCAGCAGTAAGAAGTCAAGGCGGAACACGCTCACCGTCATGGTCGAGCCGCTCAGCCGGACTATTAAGCAGCGCACGAAGGGCAGGACGGCGGAGACGCCTGTCAAGGAGAAGGCAATGGAGAAACAGCCGTCCTCAGACGGCGCACCCGCCGTTCCCCCGAAGTCGCCCGTCGTCGTCACTCCCGCGACGCCCCAATATGCGCAGCAGCGTGGTGTACCACCGACCCCAGTCGGAGGTCCCCACCTCGCTGTGCCGGCCTCGACGGTCAAGGCCAGCAGGGTCATGCAGTGGTTCAGGTCGAAGAGCAAGGGCAAGAACACCGACGACGAGGCGGAGAAGGGCTCCGGCGCGTCAGATATCGAGGTCGTCCAGCGAGACATGACGCCGTCGTCCTCTGGTACAATGAGTGGCAACGTCGCGATGGGTTACCTTACCACGCCGACATCCGAGTACAACCGCTCGCCTGTGGCAGACGGGCACCCGCAGCGGTCCGCGTCGACGCACAACGAGTCCCCGCACGTGGGTAACAGCCTCGCGGACCGCGTGCGCAACATCGGGACGGGTGCGAAGAAGAGCGCGCATGAGTACCCTGACATTCGCAGGCACCATGGCCCGCTCGATCAGACGACGGTCACGACGCACCCGCCGCCGGAGGTCATGAAGCATGTCAAGACCGTCCTCGAGGGCATGGGGGTCGAAATCCACATCGAGACGGATTACAAGTACAGATGTGTCCGGCCGAAGCGCAGAAGGGTTGGCTTGGGTTTGCGCGAGGGATCCGTGGCCGCATTCTCAATGGTCGGTTCGGCTGCCTCTAACGGCGTAAGTGGGCGAGCCATTTACGTGCTATGTGCTTCCTGTGACTGACGTGTACTCGTAGGTTGACAAGCGCGGCTTGCCCCAGCCTCCTCAGTCCTACGGCACCTTCAGCGGAACAGGTGGCATGCTCAGGGGACTACTGATGCGCCGCCAGTCTTCTCAGGTGTCCACGAACTCGCTCAATCAGAACGGTGCTCAGTCGTACGACGGCGAGACCTCGCCGGACGCCCTCATTGCGGCAGCAGTGCCCGGTGGCTCGGACGTACCAGTCGCCGAGTCCGTCTATGGCGACTCTCAACAAGACCAAGGAGACGAAATCAGGTTCTCCGTTGAGTTGACGCGCATCGACCGCTTGGACGATACGTACAGTCTCGATATTAGACGGCTCAAGGGCAACCTCCGGAGCTACAAGTTTGTATATGACACGCTCAGAAAGTGAGTGCAATGTGCCGTCCTGTTTCGCGACCTCTGTTGTTGATATAATTCGACTAGCCGAGCTGATCTCCAGCGTGCGGGGTAGAATCACCCCCTCACGCATACCGAGCATGCGTTGTGTGTTGTCGTCTCTGTTTCTCTCCTTTCTGCGTCGGGGCTCGGGACACCATCTCGCATATTCGTATACCTAATTAATCCGTCCGCAAGCATCCCATCATCCATTCACTCTAATATTCTCCTTCCGTGTACTCTGGATTCGGTACAGGCACTGCTCACCCCACCCCCTCTTTGGCATACGCTTCGGTTGCCTGGCTCACTATTCCCTCGCTGTTATTGGTGTTCTGATCGTGTTCTCGTGTCTTGGTCGCAAGGTGGATAGTGCGACAATACAGCAGTCGCCCCATACCTACATGCATATCACTCCCTACACTCCCATTACCCCAAATATACCAGACTCATTAATTATTATGCGCTCTGCGTGAGTCTAGTGTGTTCTTGTCACGAGTAATCTCATCCCCTTGGCGGCGAGCGTTGCCGACAAACCGTCAGAAATTGTAGATTTAATCCAGTCAGCCTCGATGGTGGCTGACATGGACAACTTGTGCGCGCTTCCCACTTTCACTACTACTTGTACGACCTCTCCCACCTTTGTCTGTTTATTCTTCAGCTACAATCTAGTGTACTACGCCAGCGGCCCGCGGTACTCCTTCTGGTGAGTGGCAAGGGAGTATTGTCGACCTCGAAGTTCACCGACTACGTGCAAGCAGTCACCACTCTAATACAGCTACTACACACTCCTTGTCCGAGAAACAGAAACCATACGTCCCAATCATAATGACATCTCAATTCAGACGACAAGAAACCAGGCGGTCGGCCACGGCGAAATACAAACCATATACTCTCGCGTACGATGACGACGAAGACGAGTTCACACCGGCACCCAAGAAGAAGACCTCTCGCACGGCGGTCTCGAGGACGCCTTCCTCGGAGAAGAAGAAACCTAAGACGACTTCTGAGCCCCTCCCACCGCCGACGACCAACCTGGGGATGCCTACGCGCGAGCAGTACAAGGCCATCGAGCACGAGTACATCCAGTCGCTGCACCCGCGCAAGCGGGAGAAGGCCCTCCTCAGCCAGGAGATGTTCGACATGGTCTGGGAGGTCCTGCACGACCCGCTCCGCTCGCGCGTCGGCTCGCCGCAGTTCCGCTGGTGGGTCCGCAAGATGTTCGTTCTCTCGCAAGTCCGCTCGGAGATGTTGTCCGGGACCATCACGACCGACGCGCAGCCCGCCGCCGTCGACGGAAGCACGCCCGTGGTGCTGCATGAGGATCGCCCGGTCGCGCTGAAGGAGCAGATTTACGAGGTGCTGTGCTATTGCCATGATCTGTCGAACCACGGCGGGCGCGACAAGACGACGATGGTGATCCGCGAACACTACTCGTGGATCCCGAAGGAGCTCATCGCCCAGTTTGTCAAGGTCTGTCCGACGTGCATCTACAAGAAGACGGGCAGCAGGGACCTGCTGCATGCGCTGGGCGACGTCGGGAACTCACCTTTACTCAGGATGGAGGGTAACGGAGGAAGTTTAGGTGTCGGTGTCGCTGGGCCGCCCGCACATGTGCACGAGCCGCTGCCAAGCGCCGGATTCCCGCGCCTCCCAATCTTGCCAGAGCCCTCTGCAGTCCCTGTGCTCGTCAAGACTGAGTCGACGCCTTCGCCTGAGTGGCCTGCTGTCCCTTTGCCGCCTGTGCACGCTCCCTCCGCCTCTCAGACTGTACCCGTTCCTGCCGGCGACTCTTCTCTCTTGCCTCCTCTGCACTCTTGGATGCCTGCTAGCTACGCCTCTCCGAACGACTGGTCCTCTGTCTCTGTTCCTAGCCACTCGGACATGACGCCTAGCATGTACTCTCAGGCTCGACACAGCTACTCTCAAGCTCAAGCTCAAGGCTTCCAAGACCTGCCACCGATCCGGCGACTGCATAGTGCGGATGACGCTTTTGCCTACAACAACAACACACGCGTCACCCTTCCACCTCTGCAGCAAGTACTCTCCGACGGCGGTCTGGGCACTGGGCAGCAACTTCTGACTTCTGCCTGGGGTGCGGCGCCGAATATGTCTGTCTGGGATCCCTGTTCCCCTAGCTGGACCGCCCCACCTTTCTCTCAACCCGCCGACAGCTCCGCTTACGCTGCCTTCAGTTTTGTCTCGCCGCTCAGCTCGCCCTCACGAAGGTGGTACACTCTTCTCGACGACCATGCACGCGATCACTCCGGCATGCGTCTTGACCAACCCGAACAGGCTGCTCCTGACACGCTCCACATCGACCCTGCCCTGCTCGGCTCTGCGGACGACGGCTACTTCTCGTTCACACCAAACGGCGGCTCGCCCTTCCGTCCGACGAACGACCGGTCTCTCAGTGGTCACTCAGACGCGGACGCAGACGCTGAGACGCCCCGCCGTGTGCGGCGTACCCTGTCTGTGCAGTCGCTCATCGTAGGCTCCACGTCGATGAACTCGCTCACGCTGCGCATCGAAGGCGAAGACGACGATGAGGCCGCGCAGGGTACGCCAGTGAGGCGGGCGGTTGCAGGCGTGCTGGAGGACGGGCGGAGCCCCGGCGGAAGCGTGTATCTGCACCCGTCGAGATTCTTACTTGGTGCGGTGGGGAGGCAGGCGTGAGCGTCGGCGCGGAGGTAACGGCGCGTTGCGCTGGCGAGCTGCACGACGGTCTGGAAGACAGCCTCGTGTCGACATATGGTACACATACTACATTTTACTACATCCATGCATTCGCTACGAACCCATTTCGTATAATATGTCTATGTATATATGTAGGCATGGTTAAGATGTGATGCACGCGGGACTTAGACTAGATTCCTATCATGCTGCGAACAACGAAGGATACTATCTCGGCTTCAACGCTTTACAGTAAAAGAGATACTTTCCAGCTTTGTACAAGCTGCACAGCCTGCACCTCGACCTCCCGTATCCCTGAGCCGGTTAGCTCAGAGTCATGATCAGAGTCTCAGACTGCCGGATACGGCAATTGTCGTCGCTGGTCACGGCTTCGCGAAGCTCCGTTGCGGAGTCACTACTGCTCTCTTTGGTTGTAGGAAATTCGCGCGTCCGAGCCGCATCACCCAAAACGTGCATGCAGTGACTCGGTTTCGGCGAGATATAATGGTAACTTGGAGCGGTTGGCGACTCAGAGTTCCGCTTGTCCTCAACATCCGTCTCTACCTCTCCCCACCTCTAGCAGGACGCCATGCTGCCGTACGCGCATCCCCATATTCCACTTGATGTGGTAGAAGAGATCTTCAAGTATCTGTCGCCATATGCCCTGGGCAAAAACGACCGCAAATTACTTGATGCTGAGGCCGCGCATGTTGCACAGGCAGGCCTTGCTAGTTGTGCCCGAGCATGCCGCGCTTTCCAGAGGCCTGCCGTGGAAGTTCTATGGAGGGAGCAACGGCTCATCCACGCTTGCGGTGTCCTCCCGAGCTTCACCCTTACCAGCGTTGGGGTCGGGCTCGGAGACGCGACCAATTTGATGAAGACGGCGATGGAAACGACGACTGGTCCGAAGACGTCGATGTGCGCAACCGTTTGAAGCCTCGTACATATGTGAGTCTGGCACTAAACCTTCTGTGGCAACCCCGTAATCATGGTGGACCTCCTATATGCGCAGTATCATCTACCGGGACCTATCTCGTCCGAGCAATGGTCTCGCTTCGAGTACTATGCGCACTTCATCCGCTCTCTCTATCATGGCATCTCGGAGAGACTGGATTCGACCACTTTTTCTATCTCCATCAGCACGCACACGGCAAACCGCTCTTTCCCAACTTGCACAAGCTAGAATGGGATCATGCCACCCCTGACCTGGCCTTGGTCATCTCACCGACCATCCGTGTCCTCCGGCTTCCAGAGCACGACAGCTCCAGTACGGACGAGTATCGCCTGCGGCGCCACGCATTCAAGACGCAGCTCCCTAGCGTACTTCGCAGTCTCCCGAACGTGGAAACACTGGAGTACTACGACTCGGCCATGAAGGCTTCTGGCATACATTCGCGCCAGGTCCGGATCACCAGTTCGTCGCTCAAAATATTTCCGTGCTGCATATTTCGGAGCCGTATAGCGCTTTGATGAAAGGTGCCCTTGCGGCTGTGTCGACGATCCAGACACTTACTCAACTGAGGATCGATGTCGCGCTCTCGAGCCGTTGGGTGACAACGGGACGCTTGAAGGCTGGGACAAGACGCGTATCCGCACATTTGCAAGACTGCGGCACTTGCAGATTGAGGCGAACATGGGACAGTCTGCAGTCATCCTCGAGCTATCGTCGCACCCAATCTCAAGGATGTCGAAGTGAAGCGTGATCCCGAGAGTGATCCTTGCAATTACCCGTTTTCGCTCCCGGAAGCCTTGGAGCCTCTGTGTAACCGGAACGCGTCGTCTCTGCGGAAGGTGTACCTCGGCTTGCAATACTTTTACGTACCCAAGTGGTATCCGGATCGGGGAATCCCACCGGAGACGGAACCGATCTTCCTCACTCTGACGAAGCCGTTGCTCCAGCTTCATCAGCTCCGGGAGCTCAATATCTACATCTACCCTGGCGAACACCGTGGTCCCATAGACGTACCTCTGCCTTCTATGTTGGCGCGTGGCCAATGCTGGAGACCCTCATCGTGGAAGTGGCCATCTTCACACCCGACGCGCTTCGGGCGGTCGTGCACGCTTGCCCTCAGCTGAAGTGTCTGATTGGCAAGTGCCTGTCGGATGACTTCCTGAAGCTGCCGGCGGCGTCTGACCAGCTCGGCGGTTCCCGTCGCGCAGTGTCCGAGTCTACAGGACATGGGCTTCGTCAGTTACGCCTCTTCAAAGCCACCAAGGTAGATGACCCTGCGGACATCACGAAGATCGCATACTTCCTGGACGAGCTGTTCCCTCGACTTCGCCTCGAGCTGTGTGTGACTCAGGACACCTACGTATTCAGGAATCAGGAAAATTGGATACCCGTTCTGCTGGAGGTGGTGAGGATTTCAAGTCGTACGTGATGCTAGTATTCTTGATCTGTGCCTCCTGCTCTTCGTAGTTTGCTCAAAGCGGACACGGTGCCGTATTCGTAAAAGGATAGTAATGGTCTACCATTCACGTCGTCTCCGTTTTTCGACACGGTTGCTGTGTACTTAGTGCTGATGGCAAATGGGAATGGACCCAATTGCCGGCAAATGGCGCTTGGGAATGGGTTTTCGGGGGGTGGCGTGCGCTGGCGATTGTGGCGCAACTGGCAAATGGGCTTTTTGAAGTGTTTTTGGCGTTTTGTGCTTAATTTCGAGCTTGTGCCGCTGCTTGGAGGTCCCCGAGGATGTTTAGCACTGCAGGGTATAAGCGGGACACTGGGAGAACAACATGCAGCCTATATAAGGCTCCAACCATTTCATGTATATACTGGGTATATACGGTTTTAACCATATACTGTATCCATGTATGTACCATGTCCAGGGTATATGGATATATACAATATAGTATACAGTATATGGTTAATTCCAAAGTATGGCAAGGCACATTAACACAAGGCTCTGAGCTGACCAGGAGGGGCTTTGGGCACTTACATCACTGCCTTCCATGAGCAGCTATCTTATCTCCAGCTTACCAAACAGATGAAGATTGGTGTGTTCAAGAGTGTGTAACCCTGCTGTCCTGCAGGTTACCATATATGGTACATTATGTAAGGTCCAACATCCATATGTGCAGTCTGGTCACCTTACTGAGTGTCATTGTGTCAATTGTTGATCACAGGTTATTTGTTGGTTTACAGTTTTGTTGGGTTTGCAGTTTGTTTGTTGGTATGTGGGTTTGATCATGCATGCTGGTCAGGTTCAGGTCAATTGTCAGTGATGGCTTTGGCACTGACAGGTGGTCTTAGTTTATCCATTGAGAGTGGACTCGGATTCTCGGATTCTCATTTGTGTTGAACAAACATCTTGGTCATGGTCAGATGTGAACTGACTTGGAGACACTTGCTCCTGTGTGATCTCATGGGCTGTGCAGTTTGCAGGCCATGCTATGGTGGTCTTCTTGGTGGGAATGGCAGATGAGGTATTGGGTTGAATTGCCTTGTCAGGATCCTGCAGATACAACAGAGATGTTGTTCAGTGTATTATTGAAATATTGTCAAGACTACTCACTGCATTCTTTTATTCTTTTTCTTTCCTTTTTCTTTTCCACTCACTTTATTGACTCATATATGACCTCAGTCTGGACTCCCAGTGAGCGGCAGGCATTCATAGGCTGCCCCCAGAGCCCTGCTCAGTATAGAGCCCCCAAGCAGGCCCATACAACTGTGAGAAACAAGCAGAACAGCATCTGACAAGTGCAAGTGTCCTGGGCATGGATGATGCCCAAAGGGCAATCACATCAGGAAAACTGAATGACAGGATTTTCTCGTGAAAGGCAAGATGTGAGACTCTCGATCATGGGCAAGATTGTTGCTCAGGAATGCTCCTTGGTGAGCACCTATCTCAGCAAAAAGCAACAGCGAGACTCCAGCTCAGGCCAATCAGCCCACAACCTATACCCGTGTTCCTGCTTGGTTCCCGCCCGCATTCATCATTCCTAGTTGCCATTGACAGTCTCGGACTGTGAGCCCAAGTTTCACCTCTGATACTACATACAATTATTTCTAAAACTCTACTGTACCTCCCTGGTCACTTCTTGACAGCCTTGTTCCATGTCCATCGCAAGCCAGCCACACTCAAGTCTCAACTCTCAAGTGGGTCTGCAAGAAAGTGTGAGTGCCCTTTGGTACGTTGCCGGTAGCGCCGGCTGAGCAACAGTCTCACACTGTGAGACACTGGCTCAAATTGGATCATCTGTGAGCCAGAAAATCACAAGCAGCCATTGGCGAGATGCAACACTCATTTTGAGGGAATCACCTTTCCTGATGCACATGAGGTATGTACATTGAAAACCTATGTATTTATACCCCTCCCCCTATCATTCTTGGTGAGGTACTATCATGGCCGAGCTTGCAAGCTTGAGCCTGTACCATAGTTACCATAGTTCTCATTCCATGCCCATTCAAGTTCTTGCTCACTCCATCAGTTCCATGTGACTGCAGCAACTACAATTGCCTGAGCCAACTCTGCCCATTACACTGGAGAGAATCGGAGAGGTCTAGGCACTATTCTGTACTAGCACATGAACCATATAAACCATATATATCCATATATATACTATATATATACTGTATACTGTATATATCCTCGATATTTGTATATGGATAGTAAATAGTTGGAGCCTTAAGCTGCCTATAGGATGTGAGTAGGCCTCGACAAGACAGCAGGTAGTGGCAGGCGGCCATAAGCAGCAAATCGGGTCTCGGGTCACGACGACTCGGAGTGCATTTGCATTCAAGTTAATGACTGGAACTTCGTGTAATCGCAGTCTGACGGATGGTTGCGCACGTCGCCGTGCATGTTCAAGGTGACTCGGTGCTGAAATGTTGACTCAATGGCATACAATTGCACACACTGCATCTCATGCTGAGACTGTCAAGGTGGGCTAGATGTAGCGAACACGGCGACACACCGCGTCCGCACTGGCGAACCGGCCTTTTAGGTCTGCTACGGAGACTACTCACGAATAGCAATTCTTCGCTGGCCACCTATGTCGGTCATTCTGGAACTGTTGAAGGCCGCAAGTGTAGCGATACTCCCGGGTTAAGTTAACATTAATATTAACCCCCGTGAGGCTCAGCGCTCATCGTCAATGTCCGCGTCAGTGAACGGCGACTCGTCGGCGAGCACCAGGTTACAGCTGTTTCCAAAACGATAGGCCCCTCATCAAAAATGCGTACACGGGCGGAGAGCGTCAGATCTTGCCTTCAAGGTGATCCGCACCTTCTGCCGGTCGACCTCAGCCACCCGCCGTAGTCTGGCTCGCCCTCGACGTGCCGGTTATGGTCCAATCTTGATGGGAATAGGGAGACCGACACACTCCGCCTGAGTGCGGTTTCTTGATGCGGGGCCCATCGTTTTGGAAACAGCTGTAAATACCGCACTTCCGATTGCCAAATGCGGTAATAGTGTAGCTGATTCTGCCCCTCAGAGAGTTGGACCAGGAATGGGCAGGCCAATGACACCCCCGTACTGCGAGTCATCTTCACAGACACTTTTCAAATTTCTCTTACCAACACTGAATGACCTCGACGGCTTGGTTTTGACTCAACCACACCGGTCCAGTCGCCATAAAATGCATAAGTGCCTGGCGATTCGCCAGGTTGCGCCACCCTCCCCTCTGCCACTTGCCAATCGCCAACCAATCGCCACCCCTGGCGCGTGCCAGGTGGCAAGTTGGCGCTGATTTGCCAACAACACTATGTGTACTGTACGACAGCTTCCCAGTCGATAGTTGATAGCACGTTCATGGAGTGTGTACCGTTCTGCCTGTTCTTATTCACGGAGGTTGCTACATACATATGACCCACATATCCATGCATACTTGTCGTAGGGAGACGGATGGGCACAGTACACGAGTAGGTGAGGATAAGTAATAACTTGAGGTCCTCCGGCCGATCGAGCACAGTGGCGCTAAGTACCGATTGCTAGTACCGACCATGTTTTCCTAACTTACGACTGATACGGCGAGGAGACAATATTCGACCCGTCTGTTTTCTTCTTCTTTCAGCAGCATGCCTGTGGCAGGCCGCCCTTCCCGAGTCTGCGTGAACTCATGTGGGAGTACGCCACGCCCGAGTTATCAGTGTCCGTCATCGCGCCGACCATCCACATTCTCTGGCACCTCCCTCAGGCTGAAGGCCATGGCGAAGAGGAGAACGGTTTGGGTACCGCATGCGACGACACGTGTTCAAAGAACTTCTCCCTAGCTAGTGCTCACGAGTGTGTTCCAGAGCTCAAAACACGACCGCTTGGGTACGAGGCCTTCTGGTCGCCATTCACATTGATGCCTCAAGACCGCTTCGTCACATCCGGAACACTGGCATCCGCAGTCTTCATATACGCGAGTCATGCCGCGCCCTCATGAGAGCGGCTCCTATCCACTACATATGTATGGGCGCACTGGTCGACCTCAAGATCTTCCTCGACGAAAGAGGCGGGATTTACTTTTCCGAGATGGAGTATGGCCAGGCCACACGGCCCAGTGACCATTGAGAGGTGCGTTCGCGCAGCTGACACGGCTACAGATCGATGGGCGAACAACGTAAGTGGCTGCCGTCACACCAGTGTGATTGTTGCGCCCGGATGTGGAGGAGGCCGGCGATCACCCAAAACGTGCATGCACTGACTCAATTGTGGCGAGATATAGAGCGTTTGGTGAGTTTCGCTTGTCCACAACGCTCATCTCTACGTCTCTCCACCGTCAGCAGGACGTCATGCTGCCGTATGCGCATCCCAATATTTCACTTGACGTGGTGGAGGAGATCTTCAAGCATCTGTCACCATATGCCCTGAGCGAACACGACCCCGGCTTCAAGTTACTGGACGCTCAAGGCACGTACGTTGCACAGGCAGCCCTTGCTAGGTGTGCCTGAGCATGCCGCGCTTTCCAGAGGCCTGCCGTGGAAGTTCTGTGGAGAGAGCAAGATCTCATCCATGCTTGTGGTGTCCTCCCGAGCTTCGCTCTTGCCAGCGTTAGGGGCCCGATGATAGACGCCGACCAATATCCACAAGACAACGATGCAAACGACGACTGGCCCGAAGACGGCCGCAATCCGCACGCGCGCAATTGTTTGAGGCCTAGTACCTATGTGAGTCTCTGGCACCAAGCCTTTTGCGCCAACGCCGTAGACATGATATCAATATGTGCAGTATCATCTATCGGGACCTATCTCGTCCGAGGAATGGTCCCGCTTCCAGTATTACGCGCACTTCATCCGCTCTCTCTATCATGACTCCTCGGAGAGACTAGAATCGACCGCTTTCTTCTATCTCCGTCAGCACGCACACGACACTGGCAACCCGCTCTTTCCCAACCTGCACAAGCTAGAATGGGGCCATGTTACTCCTGACCTGGCCATGGTCATCTCACCATCCATCCGTGTCCTCCGGATTCCAGAGCGCAGCAGCTCCCATGAAGACGAGCTCGATTATCGCATGCGGCGCCACGCATTCAAGACGCAGCTCCCTAGCGTACTTCGCAGTCTCCCGAACGTGGAAACACTGGAGTTACTACGACTCGGCCATGAAGGCTTCTGGCATACATTCGCGCCAGGTCCGGATCACCAGTTCGTCGCTCAAAATATTTCCGTGCTGCATATTTCGGAGCCGTATAGCGCTTTGATGAAAGGTGCCCTTGCGGCTGTGTCGACGATCCAGGCACTTACCCAGCTGAGGATCGATGTTGTGCTCACGAGCTGTTCGGGTGACGACGGGGAGCTTAAAGGTTGGGACAAGACGCGTATCCGCACATTTGCAAGACTGCGGTGCTTGCAGATTAAGGCGAACATGGGACAGTCCGGTGTCCTTCTCGATGCTATCGTCGCACCCAACCTGGAGGATGTCGAGGTGAAGCGCGATTGCGAGAGTGGTCCTTGCAAGGTGCCATTTTCGCTTCCGGAGGCCTTGGAGCCACTGGGTAACCGGAATGTGTCGTCCCTACGGAGGGTCTACCTCGATTTGCAAAACTACTACATACCCAAGCCAGGAGACGAGCCGGAGACGGAACCGATCTTCCTCACCCTGACAAAGCCATTGCTCCAGCTTCGCCAGCTCCGGGAGCTCAATATCTACATCTACCCTGGCGCCGATAGCAGTGGTCCCATAGACGTAGCTCTGCCTGCTATGTTGGCAGCGTGGCCACTGCTGGAGCACACCAAGCAGCGCTTTCTGACCGATCCTCATCCTACAGCCGACGCGCAGTCTCGCGGAATACCATCACATGAGTCGACGGCGGCCGACGCGTCGGCTTGTACAATGAGGATCGTGCAGCCGACATAGGTGTATAATGTGTTTGGCTGGGGGTGATGTATACAGTACCGTAGTGATCCTAGTAATCAATACTTTTACGGTCGGCTGGGCTCTTCTTGCGTGCTCAAAGCGTCGGTTGGCACAGTGCGATCGTGGCGCAGTGCAGCGCGGCGCGTCACAACTGGGCACGCGTTCAGACGCGTTGACTCGGAGACTTTCAACGTGTCAGTGCGTCAGCTCTCAAGATCTCACTCTCATGCACCGCCTTGCCCTCTCATTCACCAGGCGACCTGTCGCTCGCCGTCTTGCGCTCATACCGTCTTGCCCGCCTACCCTATCGCCGCCTGCATACCCTCGCCCCACTGCTGTCCTGCTGTCCTGCTCGCACGCCGTCTCGCCGGTCTATCGTCTCACCTGCTATCTCACACACCCGCCGTCTCACACACCTGCCGTCTTACTCACCCGCCGTCCACCGTCTTGCACGCCCATCGTCTCGCACACCTGCCGTCTTGCTCACCTGCCGTCTTTCTCACCTGCCAATTCACTGGCCTACTGTCTGGAGTGCCACATGCAGTGCCACAAGGGCACGCGGAAACGCCACGAGGGCGTCAAGACTGCGGGGATGCGGGCAACTCGAGCAGGTGAGTACCCCCACGCACGGTCTCAGGTGAGACAACACGCGAGGACGGCGACGGGCGCACATAGGGCAACTGCCCCAGATGCAAGCTCACCGCATGGCACGCGGACACAGCGCGCGGACACAGTGCGCGGACACAACACGCGGACACAACGACGAGCTGGGAGGAGTGCGAGAGGTCAGCGGGCACAGGGTATGGCAACGTACAAGGGCGCCCAGACAGTGCAAGCACAAGCAGGGCGGGGGTGGACGAGTGGTGAGACGGGCGAGCAAAAAGACGGGTACGCACTAAGGCTCCAACTATTTACTATCCATATACAAATATCGAGGATATATACAGTATACAGTATATATATAGTATATATATGGATATATATGGTTTATATGGTTCATGTGCTAGTACAGAATAGTGCCTAGACCTCTCCGATTCTCTCCAGTGTAATGGGCAGAGTTGGCTCAGGCAATTGTAGTTGCTGCAGTCACATGGAACTGATGGAGTGAGCAAGAACTTGAATGGGCATGGAATGAGAACTATGGTAACTATGGTACAGGCTCAAGCTTGCAAGCTCGGCCATGATAGTACCTCACCAAGAATGATAGGGGGAGGGGTATAAATACATAGGTTTTCAATGTACATACCTCATGTGCATCAGGAAAGGTGATTCCCTCAAAATGAGTGTTGCATCTCGCCAATGGCTGCTTGTGATTTTCTGGCTCACAGATGATCCAATTTGAGCCAGTGTCTCACAGTGTGAGACTGTTGCTCAGCCGGCGCTACCGGCAACGTACCAAAGGGCACTCACACTTTCTTGCAGACCCACTTGAGAGTTGAGACTTGAGTGTGGCTGGCTTGCGATGGACATGGAACAAGGCTGTCAAGAAGTGACCAGGGAGGTACAGTAGAGTTTTAGAAATAATTGTATGTAGTATCAGAGGTGAAACTTGGGCTCACAGTCCGAGACTGTCAATGGCAACTAGGAATGATGAATGCGGGCGGGAACCAAGCAGGAACACGGGTATAGGTTGTGGGCTGATTGGCCTGAGCTGGAGTCTCGCTGTTGCTTTTTGCTGAGATAGGTGCTCACCAAGGAGCATTCCTGAGCAACAATCTTGCCCATGATCGAGAGTCTCACATCTTGCCTTTCACGAGAAAATCCTGTCATTCAGTTTTCCTGATGTGATTGCCCTTTGGGCATCATCCATGCCCAGGACACTTGCACTTGTCAGATGCTGTTCTGCTTGTTTCTCACAGTTGTATGGGCCTGCTTGGGGGCTCTATACTGAGCAGGGCTCTGGGGGCAGCCTATGAATGCCTGCCGCTCACTGGGAGTCCAGACTGAGGTCATATATGAGTCAATAAAGTGAGTGGAAAAGAAAAAGGAAAGAAAAAGAATAAAAGAATGCAGTGAGTAGTCTTGACAATATTTCAATAATACACTGAACAACATCTCTGTTGTATCTGCAGGATCCTGACAAGGCAATTCAACCCAATACCTCATCTGCCATTCCCACCAAGAAGACCACCATAGCATGGCCTGCAAACTGCACAGCCCATGAGATCACACAGGAGCAAGTGTCTCCAAGTCAGTTCACATCTGACCATGACCAAGATGTTTGTTCAACACAAATGAGAATCCGAGAATCCGAGTCCACTCTCAATGGATAAACTAAGACCACCTGTCAGTGCCAAAGCCATCACTGACAATTGACCTGAACCTGACCAGCATGCATGATCAAACCCACATACCAACAAACAAACTGCAAACCCAACAAAACTGTAAACCAACAAATAACCTGTGATCAACAATTGACACAATGACACTCAGTAAGGTGACCAGACTGCACATATGGATGTTGGACCTTACATAATGTACCATATATGGTAACCTGCAGGACAGCAGGGTTACACACTCTTGAACACACCAATCTTCATCTGTTTGGTAAGCTGGAGATAAGATAGCTGCTCATGGAAGGCAGTGATGTAAGTGCCCAAAGCCCCTCCTGGTCAGCTCAGAGCCTTGTGTTAATGTGCCTTGCCATACTTTGGAATTAACCATATACTGTATACTATATTGTATATATCCATATACCCTGGACATGGTACATACATGGATACAGTATATGGTTAAAACCGTATATACCCAGTATATACATGAAATGGTTGGAGCCTTAGTACGCACACGCGGTGATGTGTCGCATGACGGGAAAAACGGGCGCGTTGCCCGCCGCGCGTGAGTGCGAACACATGCGAGTGAGATCACTGACTGCAGGCACAGGAAGTGGCGGCGACGTGCTGCACGACGCGCACGGCGACGACGTGTACCAAGGGCCAATGCCTTTTGCGCAGACATGACCGATGAACGGCGGCGGGCAGACGAGCGGGCGGGCGGGAGCGCACGCCGACCGCGCGCGCGCTGGGCAACTACCCGGCACACGAACATGGCCAACGAACGCGCGCAAGGCGAGCGCGTCAGTGGGCAGGTCAGTGGGTGGGCAGGTGGGCAGGGGGGGGGGGCAAGTAGACGGACAAGACGGTGGGCAAGTAGATGGGCAAGACGGCGGGCAAGTAGACGGGCAAGACGACGAGCAGCCAAGCAAGTGAGCGGATACCTTAGAAGGCGGACGGCGCACATAGGGTGACTGCCCCGGATGCAAACACGGCCAACAAGCGCACTGCGCGCGCGGGCCCCGGACGAGCAAAAAGGCGAGTATGCGACGCGGCGATGTATCGCACGATGGGCATGACGGGCGAGGGGAATTGCCCACCACATGTGAGTGCAAACACACGCAAGCGAAATCACTAACGGTAGGCACAGAAGGCGGCGGCGACGTGGGGCGCGACGCGGAAGGCGACCACATGTACCCAGGGGCCAATGCCCCGTGTGCAGACACGGCCGATGAACGGCGGCGGGCGGACGAGCGGGCGTGCGGGAGCACACGCCGGCCGCGTGTGCGCTGGGCAACCGCCCAGCACGCAAACACGGCCAACAAACGCGCGCGCGCATGAGCTCAGGACGGGACAGACAATGGACAGGGCCGGGGTGTGCGGAACACGTCGACCACGAGCACACAGGGCCAGTGCCCCGCGTACAAATGCAGCCGACGAGCGCGCCGTGGGCGTGGGCACAGCGCCGAGCAGGTGGGAGGGCGTGCGGATGGCGCGTAAGAAGCAGGGACGAGTAAGCCTAAGCGAGCGAGGAGGACGGCGGCGGGCGCGGGCAACGAGCCCAAACCCGCGCAGGGACCACCGAGGTACGCCAACCCACAGTGAACCGGGGTAGGATACAGGTAGCACCACCCATGGATACGGGTACGCTCGTTGCGGGTGCGGCATGTCTCACCTGCTATCTTATACATTCACCGTCTTGCACACCCGCCGTCTTGCACACCTGCCGTCTTGCACACCCGCCGTCTTGCACACCCACCGTCTTGCTCGCCTACCTGCCATCTTGCATTATCAATCACCCACCGTTACATTCTCCTTCTGGTTGTGCTCGCTTTCTTGTCTGTTTGAAGTCTCGGTGTACTAAAACTGTAAGAGCCTACAAACTAGATCAAACTTCCGATATAAACTAGATTTGTTTGTTAACAGCATTGTGGGCAGTTTCAGACGAGAGAGAGCATGGACAAGAAGTGTGATCTGTTGCTATAAGGCTTGCTCAATATAGTTCCAGTCGAGCTTGCCTATGGCCAACACTGCCAAATTCATACTCTGTCACTGTATGGATGTGATGGTTCGCTTTGAGCAATGAAACTCGTTGTCAGTTGGCCCAACATGCACATACACTCTTCGTAACTGTACTGCAGTTACACTTGATATAGACTTCGGGATGTCATGATCATATGTTCAGTACAACCTCTATCAGCATTCAATAGTATAGAAGTACAAAGGAGTGGACAACTAGAAGATATGTACACGAACTCAATGATAGTGGTCAGAGCACCCACTAAATGCGTGAACACTCTCCAGTGTTTTGCCCTCGGACATTGCCTCGGCCATGTCCCCGAGTCACCCGAGATGGTCTCATTCTCTTTATAACTTCACCTCTGAGCCACCATATGCTATGAGACTTTGTACCAAGCATGACTATGTGTAGTACATGGCTTGTATAGAATTCTGTGAGAATTGAACCGTGGGGTGTGTTTGTCTAAGACATGCTCTCCATGTATAACCTTCAAAGCTATCTCAAGCTATAACATTGCCAGATTGCTTCAGAGAATTGCCAGCAGCCACATGTACCATAGACACAGCATGAATACAACTTCTGTATGTACTTGATTCAAACAATTGTCTTGCAGAAGCTGAGATTTAATCCACATGCCTCTCAATATCTCCAAACAACATGTCATTTTTGAAACATATCCTGAGATCCTCTTCCCATACGAGCTGAGATTACACAAAGCCAAAGTGCTCTTTACATACACAACAATGAGGCTAATGGCCTACGTGAGTGGCTTCCCTAATCTACTACATGTAGTTCCACAGCAAATACAGTAGATCAGCGAAGTATCATCATTGTCAATTGCTGCGAGCCATTCAGGAATCACTCTAACAGAACAAGGAATACCTCAGTGTCTTACCATTGTATCTCTATTTGCTGATATACAGTTACTACATGGTGTATTGCACCTCAACACCGTAATGACTGTCTATAGACACAGTCACGGTACAAACATATATTGGACATGTTCAATAATACATCCACACCATTGGCCCCAAACCAATGAGCAAACAGCATACAGTTTTGCACGTACATACCATTCAAGTCGAGTCAAGAAACAAGATGCATACTTGCTGCCTTGTCAATGTCAAGGAGGTTATCACGATTCAAGACGGTGAGTGTCAAGGAGGCTTCTTGACCAGTCCGCCTTGATACCTCCAAGGAGCTCTCCGTCTTGAGATGTCCGTCTTGAGATGTCCATCTCAACTTGTCCGTCTTGAGATGTCCGTCTTGACAATGTCCGTCTTGACAATGTCCGTCTTGAGATGTCCGTCTTGAGAATGTCCGTCTTGAGAATGTCCGTCTTGAGAATGTCCGTCTTGAGAATGTCCGTCTTAACTTGTCAGCCTTAACTTGTCAGTCTTAACTTGTCCGTCTTAACTTGTCCGCCTTAATTTGTCCGTCTTAACTTGCCCGTTTTGATTTGTCTGTCTTCACTTGTCCGTCTTGACACCTCCAAGAAGGCTTCTTCAATATGCTCGCCATTTTGATATCCTCCTTGACACTTTCCACATTGAAACCTCATTGGTGTTTGCCCACCTAGATACCTCATTAACACGTTGGTATTGACCAAGATGAGCCAACCATTAGTTACCTTGGGTCAAGAAGGTCTTAGTGAGTAAGAAGGTCAAGAAGGTCAAGAAGGTCAAGAAGGTCCAAGAAGGTCGGCTGAGTCAAGACGGATATCGGCCAGGAAAGATACCTCAGCTGATGCTCGGCTCATGCATTGTCTTGGGTGAGACAAGACAGTCGGCTGAATCCAGACAGTGGTCGGCTGCAAACCTTCTCCAACCGACGGTCGGATAGTGCATTGTCTTGGGTGAGACAAGAATGGTCGGCTGAATCAAGACAGTGGTCGGCTACAGATTTTCTCCAGCCGAGAGTCGGATAGTGCATCGTCTTGGGCGAGACAAGAAGGTCGGCTGGATCAAGACGGTGGTCGGCTGCAAAAGCTTTGCAGCCGACGGTCGGATAGTGCATCGTCTTGGGCGAGACAAGAAGGTCGGCTGAATCAAGGCGGTGGTCGGCTACAGATTTTCTCCAGCCGAGAGTCGGATAGTGCATTGTCTTGGGCGAGACAGAATGGTCAGCTGGGTGAGAATGTCTGGGGCAGCCAATCGTCCCACGCACCGCCTTGCCCGCCTTGTGCCGCTTTGCCCGCCTTGCGCTCGGCCGACTTGATCACCTTCCATGAGACAGTTGTGGTCGGCCGAGGTCGGCCCATCCCATCCCATTCCATGAGACTGCGCGTCGGCTGTACCATGACCTTCCATGAGACAGCTGAATGGGCTCGCTGGAGACCCTCATCGTGGAAGTGGCCATCCTCACACCCGAAGCGCTTCGAGCGGTCGTGCACGCTTGCCTTCAACTGAAGAGCCTGACTGGCAAGTGCCTGTCGGATGACTTCCTGAAGCTGCCCCTGAGTCTGCCGGCGGCATCCGACCAGGTCGGCGGCTCTATTCGCGCAGTGTCTGAGTCTGCGGGGCACGGGCTTCTTCAGTTGCACCTCTTGAATCCCACCAAAGTAGACGATCCTGCGGACACCACGAAGATCACACGCTTCTTGGACGAGCTGTTCCCTCAACTCCGCGTCAATCTGTGTGTGCCTAAGGACACCTACACATTCAAGAATCAGGAGAACTGGAGACCCATTCTGCGAGAGGTGATGAGGATTCAAAGTCGTACGTAGTGGTAGTGTTCTTGATTAACTCGGATGAACCCTGCTCTTCGTACTTTTCGCAAGGCGGACACGGTGACGTTTTCGTAAAAGGATAGTGGTGGTCTACCATTCACATCGTCTTCATTGTTCGGCACGGTTGCTGAGAACTGTACGACCGCTTACCAGTGGATTAGCAGTCGATCCCATCCACTAAGTGTGTACCTTTCTGCCTGTTCTTGTCCACGAAAGCTGCTATCATACCATAGATTGAAGCTTTGAAAATTGAAGCTCGAAAATGGTACTACTGTACTACTAGTACTACTCGCTGATCGCATCGTTTTGCTTGATAGTCCCACTCATCGTCTCAATATTGAATCATCTCATTCTACAGTGACTATATATGAGAATTACACCATCTCACCCGCCCTTCGGCCTGCTACATAAGCATGTACTGCGACTTTGCGCAGGTATCGGTACTTACTGAAATGAATATACAGTAACGCGATCATGTGACGTTCGCGACACTTTCGACTGCCTTGCCTTGGCCCTTGGACACGTCACCCAACTCTGCTCGAGTCCTAGCTTGTCGAACTCTCTGATTTCGCCAGCTAGTCACTGTGGAGGACCTGATGCTACGCGCTTGAACCTTCACTCCCTGGCCCTGACATTGCGTGCTCCGCCCTACGTTTACCGTATCATGTCACCCTCCAGTCGTTGCTTCCCACCAGAGCTACTGGAGGAGATTTTCCAATATCTATCTCCGCACACTATGGCTCGAAGGCACCTTGCTGACAGTGACTTCGAGATTCTAGGTGAAAAGCATGCCCTTCGGTGCACTCTTGCTATATGTGCACGCACCAGGTGCTGGCAGGCCTATGTATAGAATACCTGTAGTTAGCGCAAAAGGGTGTATACATGAAAGGCCTGTACTTACTGGAGGGCGCCTTTCATACATGAGCCGCCACTCGCTCATGTATGAGCGAGGCGCCGCACTCACTACCTAAAGAGGCAGCTGCCCTTTGGGGACAGCTTAGGTCATCCGGCGCCGGGGAGAGCTCGCGGCGGCGGCCCTACCCTAAATAGGTCGTATTGCACACTCTTCCACTTTGGGTGCCGCTGCGGGCCCGGATCGGGTAATGCAATCGTGATTTGTGATCTGACAGTTTCTGGGCCTAGATACACTGCCGTTTATAGTGATTTATGCACCGTGCCTAGATACCCTGTATCGAGATCCAGCAGATGGACAGCATGTATGTCGTGCGCCACGACATACACCTAGTAGGAATACATTCATTGCAATGCCAATTGTGACTTACTGCTTCAACTTCAAGCCTTGATGCAGTTCGTGGACACTGTAAGTAAAGGGCCAAGGGATCAAGCGGCAGCCTTCCCGATTTGGTATGTTTGAGGCTGCGACAAATTATCCCGCTGTGACAAATGCGGTGTTCGTATAGTGCTTCATTATTCGTGCATAATATCGACATTGGGGAGTATACTAAGCACTATGTAATAGGCAGACAAGATCACCGTCATTCCCCTGTCCTTCACCTGCCTGTTCGTTACCCCGCAAGCTCAGCCTCGACGTCCTCCGCATGTTTCGTCCTGCAGTTGCGCTCCTCCACGCCCTCCACAACGTGTTCAGGGACTTGCAGCATCCCACAGCTGAGCCGCACGGAGGTCGAGCTCGCGCGCGTGGCGAGCAACTCCGTGTGCGGGACAACGAAGAGGTCGTGGATGGTGGGCATGTGCGTACCGCAGCAGCTGGGATGGCGGATAGTTTGGTGGCGGTCTTTGAGAAGAGGAGGAGGGGGCGTACGGGCTGCGGTCGATGCCATCGATGACGACGGTGTGCATGATGCTGCGTGTGTAGTCCGCAGGGAGGGTCTTCCCGATGTTGCGCCCGTTGTGAAGTGTCTCCTGATCGGGGCTGTTCTCGCTGTGCAGTTCTACCTCAACGTGCACGCTGCAGCCCTTCAAGTCGAGTCGGTTAGCTTCCTCCTTACACGGATGCAGTCCATGCTTACTATGCTGCGAGATGTCTCGATGTAAGTAGCTGGGCATTGGCCATGCCGACGCGCCATTCGCATGTGCTCATTGACGCACCATCGGACGTACTTGTTGAGTCTTGATGTGTGATTCGGCGAGTGGCAAGGAAGGGACACGGGGAACAGGATAAGAGGCAAGAGGGTGCGCCTGGGTAGAGGGTAGAAGGACGGATGTAGCACCTTGTAGATCGCACGCGCAAGAGGTGAGTTTTGCGGGCGCCCCCGTGAATCGAACATTTGTGTCTATTTGTTTCCTAACCAAATTGGGCAAACCCGATGTGCTCGGACTGTTTCTGGCCAATCAGGACGCGAATAACGGTCCCCCCTAGAGCTGCAACATACCTACGATTCGCTTTCTGGACGTTATTACACTATGTCCGCATGTCTAAGGTATGTCTAAGGGATCTAATTCATGTTTAGTGGCATCTACTTCAATAGATGAGTACAGCATAAAAGGCCAGGGTTCTCGTGAGTCGTGTACAGTAGGGGTGTCTATCTACACTACTTCTGTACTGGTTCTCTTAGTCTCGAGTCGTAAGGGGTGTTGTGGTGTGAATATATCAGTCTCAGTTTTATAGGGTATATTCATACTACCATTACAAGAACTCTATCTACGAGGACGTCTGCTGTATCTGCATGTAGGGGCACCAGGGCAGTCGCCCTCTGTGTTCGCAATTGGCGTGTTGCGCGCCCCAGCCCTGCCCACCGTCGCGGTCACCCGCTTTTCGCTCACGCGCCCACCTTACGGTCGTTGGCCGTGCTTGCCTGCTGGGCATTCGCCCTGCACGCTCGCAGTCACCGTGCGTGTGGTGCTGGTCCGCGCTCTGTGCCCGCCTGCTTGCCCTCTCGCCTGCTTTCCCTCTCACCCGCTTGCCCTCTTGCCCAACCACCCGCTGTCCTGCTCACCCGCTTTTCCGCTTGCCCGCTTGCTCGCCTGCTTGCTCACTCACCTACTTACCTGCTCGTCCGCTTGTCTGCCCACCCGCCTGCCCGTCCGTCTGCCCGTTCGCCCGCTCGCCCGTCCGCCCGCTCGCCCGTCCGCCCGCTCGCCCGTCCGCCCGCTCGCCCGTCCGCCCGCCCGCTCGTCCGCCTACCCTCCCGCTCGTCCATTTGCTCACCTGCCTGCGCGCCCATTTGCGTGCCTGCGTGTGTATCCGTCGGCTGTGTCTGCGTGCTGGGCATTCGCCCAGCACACTCGCAGTGGGCGTGTGCTGTCGCCTGTCCACTTGCCTGTCTGCTCGTTCTCCTACCGGTCTGCTTGTCTGTCCGCCTTCCTTCCCGCCCATCTTCCTTCTCGCCCGTCTTCTCGCCCGTCTTCCTGCCCGTCTTCCTGCCCGTCTTCCTGCCCGTCTTCCTGCCCGCTAGTCCGCCTTCGCATCCATCCGCTTGTCCGTCTATCCGCGCGCGCGCGCCCACCGACCCTCGCGCCTGTGCCCGTGGTCCATCCGTCGGCTGCGTCTTCACGCGGGGCATTAGCCCTGCGCGCTCGCGGTCGACGTGTTGTACTGCACGTCGCCGCGTCCTGTGGCCACGGTCAGCTCGCTCGCTCGTGTGTGTCTATGCTCACCTGAATGCCAGTGTCGGCTACTCCCAGTCGCTGTCATCGTGCCCGCTGTGCTCTAACAACGTCGGTGACCGACGCGGGATGGTGGTCGTAAACAGCGGGCGGAAGCGCTTGCCGCTCACTCGGCTCGTTGCGAGCTCCCGGGTTTGGCCGGCACTGACGCCGCGCAGGGATCGCCTGGGGATCTCAGGACCTGAATGCCCTGACCCCGATGTGCGTCCATATCGGGCAGCTCGCATCGCGCGCCAGTGGTGCCGCCCCGGCGGCCCCGCCACGGACGAAGGGACCGGACTGCCCCGGCATGGCTGCTATATTGGGTAGCGACCGACGGCGCCTCGCTCATACATGAGCGAGTGGCGGCTCATGTATGAAAGGCGCCCTCCAGTAAGTACAGGCTTGTTATGTATACACCCTTTTGCGCTAACTACAGGTATTCTATACATACATATGCCGGTATAGCCTGTGCTCCATGCATCACCCTAGTATAGTACCGAACATCCCCTCGAGTAGTAGGATGCAGCCAAGCCAACGTCCCAACCGCGTCTTGGCACATACTCTTGAGCTCATCCTCATCATTCTCATTCTCAATGACATCGTAGTGTAGCGGTGCAGAGTTCGTGCTTGCACTTAACTGAATGATTGTTATGGTCTCAGTGGATGATGTCGATCAGATGACCATCTAGTATTCTCAGTCTGTCGCTAGACGCCGCGGGTTACTCCTCAATCCAATACTTATTTCTTGCCATGCTACTCTCCGACTCAACTGCTCTTTCCAGTTACCACTGCATCTGTGCTATAAATTAATAACGACCCCACGATGGCCCACGTCCTACTACTCCGGGCACCCAGCCACGATGGCCCCGACCGCTACGAGTCTGCCCTCAGCGACAAGGACCTCACGCCTGTCTCCGTCCCCGTAGTCGAGACGGGCTACACGAACCTCGACAAGCTCAAGGAGACTATCGTAGCGGGCCCAGAGAAGGGCGAGTTCGGCGGCGTGATCGTGACGAGCGCGCGGAGCTGCGAGGCGTGGAAGGCGGTCGTCCTCGAGCTCGTCGGGGAAGATCCCGAGGAAGAGGCGGGTGAGGCGAGTGAGTCTACCCACCGACTGCATATGTACCGCGACTGACGCGCCTGACCTCCAGCGCACTGGTCTACCGTCCCGTTCTACGTCGTCGGCGAAGCGACCGCGACCGCGCTCCTCTCCATCCGCTCCATCGTCGGGAAGTACCCCGGGTACGCGCCCTCGGAGGAGAACGTCCGCGGCGCCGGCTCTACAGGGACGTCGGAGAAACTCGCGCGGTTTATCGTCGACGAGCTCTCCTCCGCCCCGCCGGACAGCGCGCGGAGGCGGCTGCTCTACCTGACCGGCGACAAGAACCGGGACACGCTCCCGAGGGTGCTCGAGGAGGGCGGCGTGCACGCAGTACCTGTGCAGGTGTACGAGACGCATGGATCGTCGACGTTCGGGGCTGATTTGGAGGAGGCGCTCACGGGGAAGGGGAGAGACGAGGATGGGAAGGCGGGGAGGCTATTGAAGAAGGTGTTGCACCCGACGTCTTTGCCTACCCGCTCAGGTGAGTGGTCCCTCCAGTCCGCCTGCAGAAGCTCACATAAATGGACGGTGTCGCGCTCGTTAGTTCCTGCGCGCTGCTGGATCGTCTACTTCGCACCCTCCGAGGCGGAGTTCACCACTCCCGTCCTGCGCGAACACTTCACGCTCTCCTCCTCAAACAATGATTCCACCGCACCGGCTGGCGAGAAACCCGTAGCGCGTATCGCATCGATAGGCCCGACAACGGGTGATTTCCTCCGGAACAACCTGGGCCTGCGGGTGGATGTCGTTTCGCCGAAGCCAAACCCTGCATCGCTGGCGAAGGCGATCGTGGAGTTTGACGAGGCGCATCCCTGGTGATACTTGAGGGCTACAATTCGTGGATGGTCGACAAGAATATATAGTCTGCCTGTTGCAGTCGGAAGACGGAGGTGCTTCGCGCACCGCGCAGCTCTCATGAAATGTGCGATACACTACGCAGGATGTATGATAGGGATTGTAATCAGTAGTGGGCGGAATGAATAATGTAACACTGCGAACAGGCATCGTACGAACTCTCCATACCTGCAGAGTAAGGTGGGGGTAAAGTAAGGTGGGGGTAACAAGACCAGAACACGGCTGCAGAAGTTTCTATTGAGTGGACGGCAAGCGGACTCCTCAACGCTGACGGATGAATCGATGACCACCGAAGTTGTACCCGCGACGGGAATAGGATGAGACCCCGATTTTGTCTGGGATCATGCGTACTGGGACTCGAGTAAATGCTACGATCGCTCCAGAGCATCGATGAATCTTTCGGAGGTGGTAAGGTGTCCAGGTCAGTAAGGCGGATGATTTCGTCGATTGTACGCCGGTATGCCAGAGCGGTCCAGGGACGTCGAATTGCGCGTGGTCATCCGAGGACTTACAAAGCGAGGAAGCAAAATGACATTCTATTTTTCCATCACTTTAGGAACGTCCCGAGCTGATCAGTGGTGGCCCTCCGCCTTGGGCTCGTCCGCCTCCAGGAACGTAAGGAAAGTGTCGGCGCCGGTCGTCAACTGCTCGGGAGCGCCCGCAGCAGCGGCTTTAGGGGCACCCTCCACGGGCTCGGTGGCGTCGTATGCGGTCAGTTCTGATGCGAGGTCGGCGGGGACGACAGGGGGCTTGGGCGTCGGGGGCATGGAATACTGCTTCACGACACCGACATGGGCGTCCTTGGCCTGCTCCCGTGGTCAGGTTTCACGCCCCGAAACTAAGAGACAGCACACGCACCGGCGGTGGAGCCTTGTAGGACTTCAGTTCCTTGATATAGAGCTCCTGGACGAAGTCTGTGTGCGCGCGACGTGAGCTGGCGGTCCTTCCTTACCCGGGCGCGCGTCACGCACCTTTCCTCGCCGCCGCGGACGTCGAGAACGCCGCCTGGCGCGAGAATGCGCGAGCCTAGGCGTATCTAAGTTTCAGCCAGCCATAACTACGGCCAGGAGGGGTACGCACAGCGGAGGAGGCCTGCCTGAGGACGGTCGACGACATGGTCAAGAACAAAAGTGTGACGTGACACTGGTCACGCGTGCGGCCTCGGTTGGGCTCGGACGGTCGACGTCGCCTGCCGGCCCCAGACTGCCCGCCCATAAAGCCGCAACGCGTCCTCCTCGTCCTCCATCCCATCCACGATGCTCGCCAGAATTGCTACCCGCTCTGCTCGTCGCTCTGTCCCCGTGTCGCGCCCGTCGCCGTGCGTGGCTACGCAGAGAACTCATTCAAGTGAGTGCTGTATCGTGGTCGGTGACATCATGAGCTGACGCGCCGTGTATGTGCTGAACAGCAAGAAGGAGAAGGCCCATGAAGGTACGTCGTTTTACGGGAGTTGAGCAGTGATGCATAATTACTGCTTAGACCAATTCGCTCGCCAACATGAGGCTGAGCAGCTGAAGAAGCTCAAGGCCGAGGTGCGCTCTTACCTCTCGTCTCAATTCCTTCTCATATCTGACGCGTCACCACACAGCTTGAGAAGAAGAAGGCAGAGCTGGTGAGTCCACTGAAGTGAACCGCCTGAACCCGAATCTGACTGACGGCGTCTCAGGCCCAACTCGAGAAGGAGCACGAAGAGCTCTCGAAGAAGCAATAAACTCGTCTGTAGAATCATACTGCATACACAGGTTCGTCGTTCGAGTGCATTTACACTGCCGCTGGATGGTGACGTTCCTGGCGCAGCGCGATGCTCCCTATGGCTTCGTACAGGACAGATGTCTCGGCGTACTGATTCGTTTCATATTGTACCGCATATAGCCACACGCACGATGAGAATGGGATGAACCTGTTCATTGGTCTGTGCGAGCTGTTGGGATATTCGATGCACACCTTGTTGTTCGGGTGTTCTGGGCGGCTGTTTCATGATCCATGGTGCGGAAACTTATACTGTAAATGTACGTGACATTGCTCTATACGACGTCCAGCGAGGTGCGACATTGCTCTGTCTGAGAATTTAGCGAGGCCAAACATAAGTAATGTATTACAGTTGACTCGTCATGCCCGAGGCCTTCTCGTCATTTTACGATACACTGAATCCACCGCGCGAACACGCCGACGAGCCAGCCTCCGTAATCGTGAGCCTTGCGACTAGCGAAAACATCATCTCGAGGTTTACCTCCGGCAAATGGTCTATGTCGGTCGGCCGCCCAGCAGCGCAATAATTTGCTCGTAGACAGTGAAGACGATACCACCGCTCATCTATACGAAGGATGGAGGCAAGACATTAGCCAGTCTTCCCGTCAGCAAACCGCAAGGTACTGACCACCAACCGCGCCAACCTTGGCGTCGTCCCCCTCCAGAACCTCAAGATCCCCTCCTCCGTGAAGATCCGGTACGCGCAGTGGAACGAGTTGCGGTAGGCCTGTCTTGCTTCGAGGCTTTGCATCCGCGTCTTGATCACGCTACGAGTACCCGTGCATGAGACACATTGCCGTCTCCCTGATCGCATGGACGGGCGAAGGGGACTTACTCGAGGGGCATGGTGGTGTAGACGGTGACGAGCCCGGCAACGGCACCGATGCCGAAGGTCATCCCGCTCGAGAGATTCTGCCCTGGGCGTGCGGTGCCGAGGACGAACTGTTTGAGGGTCGTGTAGGTCGTGAATCGAACGGCAGAGTTGGCGCCTGTGATTCGGTGAGCTCAATGTTTCCGACCGAGCGTACGGACAGGAGTCTACCTTGTCGCATCATCTGGGTGGAGAGGGATAGGTCAAGGGGAGGTTGCGCAGGAAAACGGGAGGAGACGGACCACAGGGAAGAGCCCGCGATATATCCCGCCGATACCCTCTTCGCGGACGATTGAGACTGTGCCGTGGATGAGTCCGCGGTACCTTGGGTTCGGGCTCTTCGCGTCGTCGATGAGTTTCGTTCTGTACCGCGACGCTCAGCAGCTGCGGCGGAGCAGGAGTATATGGAAGTCATTACTTGATCGTCTCTGAGGGCGTAACGGCAAAGACAGCCTCCATCATACCCGCTCCAAGACCAGCTGCACTTCACTTTAGTTGGAGACTCGCGACACACTGTGAACGTTACGCACCTGCCAGACTTCTCGGCGCCGTGACTTTACCCTCGATGACCATGGTACGTGAGGCTGACGCGGCCAGCGATTGTAACCACGCGTGCTCACCTCCGCATCGGCCAGCATGTGCTTGAACTGGTCATACGACAAGAAACGTACACCAGCCTTGACTGAGTTGCCTACAGACATTCGTCGTATTATGCCTGTACAGCAGCCCATAGAGGCAAAACACATACCAATGACCAAGGCCATGCATCCTGAATATAGCCCCGGAATCCCCTTTGCCTTCACTGTCTCCCGAATGATCGACCATGGGCTCTCCCTCTATAACACAGACAACGTCTCAGTATACAGCCGTGCTCGTCCTTCACAATTAGCACAGACCTGTCCTGTGAATTGTGTGCGCGTCTTAACATATTCCGTCGGGTATGTCACGAATCTGCGTCACCTAAATTCGCTGAACGGTCGACGAAGAGTGGTTGGGCGGACGCGGCTCACGCTTCTACCGCGCCGGCGGTCGTGCCCGCGATGACCGAGTGCAGTGGCTTTTCTTTCTTGAAGATTGGTCTACTTGTCTCGGTCGTCATCGTGTAGTCCGTGTAAGGGGTGTAAGACAGACAAAGAGGACAGATGAGATCGCAAGAGGAAGGGCTGGAATGCCTACTCCTCATGCGCCGCGGTGCGCGTGCTCGTGACTTCAGCCACCGTCGCGCCTTCCACCCGTCATCCGCCTCTCCTCCTCCTCCACGTCCTTTCGCCGCCGCGTCCTTCTTCGCCCTGTCTCGCCATTTCGGCCGTGCCATCTCGCGCACTGTTGCCTATCATCAGGCTCAGCTTATCAAGGCAACTGAAATTACCTCGAAAGGGCCATGTCAAGTCAACCTGCGAGACTTTCTCTCCACTGGGGGACAGATGACACCGTCGAGGACATCAATCGCTATGTTAATGGAGGCTTCCACCCCATACGGCTAGGAGATGTTCTCAGGTCAGATGTAGCTAACTACCGCATTCTTCACAAACTCGGAAGAGGGTCTTTTGCGACTGTTTGGCTTGCCGCCACTATGGAAGATGCCCAGTTATCTTGCAGTTATCATTGTAAATCGCGTCTCCAGTGCCATTGTTATGCATGCTCAAACTGACCTTTTGGTCGAGACAGGCCCAAATTCGTTGCGCTGAAGATATGTGTCGCGGACGCCGACTCGCAGCACGAGCTCAACATTCACAGCCGTCTACCACCTGCGCAAGATCGCCACGTTCTACAACTTCTCGACGACTTCTCCGTCCACGGTCCAAACGGAGCACACGTTGTCCTCGTGCATGATGTCCTTGGTTCTCCCGCAGACCTGACGGACCTAGTACAAAACCAAGTTCGACAGCTATGCAAGCAACTCGTGCAGGGTGTCGCCTTCCTTCACAGTCACGGCATAACGCACGGAGGCAAGTGCTCTCGCATGATGCACGTTTACGCAATACACACTGATCTCTGCCCATCCACAGATATACATGCCGGGAATATTGGTGTTTGTCTGCCAACACTGGATGGCCATTCTGAAGATGACATCCTCGACTACTTTGGCCCGCCCGAGATCTCACCCATCCTTCCTCGCCAGCCTCTCCCTCGGCCCCTCGACACGCTTCCACCATATCTCACGCCACCCATCGCTCTTGCTTACTATCTCAAAGAGCGAAATCCGTCATTTGTGCTGTCTCCTCTTCAGATTGAGATTATGGATCTCGGCAATGGTATGCTCGCAAAGTCTGCCTCTCCCTCCAGTTCACAGACCCCTCTGACGCACCAAATTAACCTACACAGCTACAATCGTTGACGAGCATCCACGCCCGTCGTGCACACCCGCGACCGTCTGCGCACCCGAGATCATGTTCGAGCGGGTAACAACTAAGACCGATCCTCCCGCCACGTTCGCGAGCGACATCTGGTCTCTTGCATGCACGGTAATTGACTGTATTGTCTCTCTGTGCCACCGTACTCATGAAGATGTATTGAAACAGCTGTACGAAATCGCTTTCCAGGCACGTATCTTTCATTTCGCCTCACCTAGCAACACACTCCTCGTCGACATGGCCAAGTTATGCGGCGGGATCCCTCCTGAGTGGGTTGTGTACTTTGACACCAGCGGGCTGCCAAAAGCCCTGGATGGAAGTATGTCTTCGAGGTCTTCTTATCCTCCGGTCTTCGTGCTTACCCAATTCTAGCGATATCTAGGAGCGCGGCTGATAAGGAATGGAAACGAAAGGTGGATCACTACGCGCGCAAATGGACGGAGAAAGATGACATCGATGGGTTCGTCGACTTTTTGAGGATGATGCTCAAGCTGGATCCAGGCGCACGTCCCAGTGCTATCGAAGTCTTGAACCATTCTTGGTTTGTAAATCGCTGAAGGGCTCGGTGAGACCGGGGAAGGGATTGGAGCGCACCACGCTGTTGACTTAAATGTCGCTTTAGGGTCACCGGTCATCACGCGAGACTAGCGTCGCGCTGATATGGCATTTCTTCCGTCAATCCACCAGATCTACCGCTGCGACTCGGCTGCGTGGTCCAGGACACAACATGACGCTAATCTCAGTTCTACATAGTACGATCAACCCGGCGGGACGTGTTCAATAGCACCCATGGCGGCAGTGATATGCGTTAAAGATTAGAGGGCATATCATACAGTGCGGATTTAATCTATTAAAGTCGTTTGCCAGTACACTGAACTGCAACTTGGAGTAGGTCGATGTACGTATCGTTTATGCGCCCAATCACACTCTGCTCTGTGCAATGTCTAGGTCGCCTTTGGGGTCCGGGAATACATACGCCTCCTCCCTCTGAATCGCAACCTTGTCGGGTCTCGTCGTCATCACCGCGATCCTTGCTCTCCAAGCAACCAATCGTTCTCTCCATTGCGCCAGGTTGCCCGGTTTGACCATCTCCATGCCCGCCATGCCCTGGCACATCACGATGGCCCACCACAGATCTTGCTTCCACCCCTCCTTGAAGTCGCCTCCGACAGCTGCACGCACATCCGCCCACGAAGGATTCCATCTCGTGCTATGCAGGAGGTGCCTGAGCCCCAGCTGGCCGTCCTTTTCCTTGAACCCGTCGGGTGAAGTGGAGTTGGTGTTCAGGAAGGGTGCGTAAGGACCGACAGGCTGGACAGCCCGGCGCGGATCCATCCTGCCGTCCGCGCGCCGCCGGTCCCAGGTAGTGCTCTGGTGCGTCCAGCACATCCAATCCGGAATGCAGTACTTGACGAACTCCAGCCTCGTTTCGACGTTCGCCGCCTCGGGGATCGTGCCCGACTCGAGAAACACCTCGAAGGCAGGCCCGAAGAGCTCGCCGTAGATGGCGAGATGGAAGAAGGTCTCGGGCGGATCAGCGCGGATCGTAGCCGCGTCGTCGACGCCGCCGTCCCAGAAGTCGGGGGTGGAATACCACTGCTCGCCTATGCATGTGTCGATGATGTCAACGACAGGGTTGATCGTCGAAAAGCGCATCTCGTAGAGCTCGCGGATGCGCTCCGTCGTCAGGCCCGCGTGTTCGAGTGCGAGCTCCAGAAGGCCCTCCATGCCCTTGCGGAAGGCGGTACGGAGCACGGCGGTGTTCTCGGACGAGAGAGACGCCCATTCACCGACTTGTCGAGCCGTAGCAGCTACGAGGAAGTGTGGGTCGGGTCGGAAGAATATCCGCGATGCTGCAGCTGCGAGGTGAAGGATGGTCCGAGGCGAGGTGTGTAAGGACAGTTCGTGGAGAAGACGACACGTCGCAGCGAGGTTGATGAAATCCTCGATGTCACGAAGGTAGAAAGGGAGAGACAGCAGAATGTCTGCGGGGAGCGACAGCAGAGATGCATCTTCAGACATCTCTTGGGGAAGCGCGGCGGGGATAAACAAGTCTAGGTGAGTGTCGACCAGTGTCTCGCGTCAAGTCCAACCCCCTCTTATGTGTGCGGTCGGATCCTCAGCGCGATCTGTCAACGTTCAACTGTGCGACCGGGTGAGTCGTTGACGTCGATGTGACTCGATGCGCTACACGTACAGGTGTAACGTGGCATTGCCGTCGGAGGAATGCATCGATCTCGAAGTCACTGTCATATGCGTCACCGCCCTGAGGGCTGTGCAGTGTGCTTGCCTGATCAATCATCAGCTGACAAGTCCCAGCCCGGAGAAGTGTTCATCCGCGTCAATGTTCAACATTCCTGTCAACGGGGACTGAGCGGCCAGCCCACAAGCGTACATATGCCACCACAGGCCGAAGACTTGAAGCTGACCACGTCCTTTGCATATCCCAAACTCCCTAGACTACGAATCCCAATATTCCTGCAGGCTCGGTTCGCCTACTACAGTCGTTAGTTTCAATTGGCGAGGCACCAGTGCCCGGCGAGCAGTACGAAATGGCGGCGCATGTCGGGAAGCCTTACACACGGGAGGCATTGACGCACGGCTACAGGGTCTCGGGGGCCGCGATGAACCATAGGTACGTTGAGGGTCCATATGGAATCGAATTCGCATTCTTGACTCAGTACTGACGAGTCGTAGGTGTGTTTGACTGGAATCTGCGCTGTAGCGGAGACGAGTCCGCTATTCAGCCAATGCTGTTGCGTCGTTGCGTTGTACTATGCGCGCCTAGAGGCGTGGGTCGACACCCTCAGTACCAGCCATAGACACCCACGCAAATTGCGAAGATCCCTAGGATCGCCTTAGCCAAACGGTCCACCAAGCCGGCTGTCAACGAGCCGTCGGTGTGAGCGAGGCGGTATGCGCAGCGAGGCAGCAAGTGGCGAAGACGGCGAGTCGCCAGAGGGCCTGAGCAGCGGTGTTATGGTGAGAGTCACAGCATCAACATGCGCCTTCTGAGATCATACACGAACATAGCATATGTACGCTGCCGTCATTCAGCATTGTATCCACTCGTTGCGATGTCCAGATCACCCCTGAGGTAAGGGAACACATACGTCTCTTGGTCCAACTCTGATCTTGTCAGGGCTGTCAACCAGTGCCTCTATCGTTTCTCCCCAGGTAATCAATCTCTCTCTCCAGGGTGATAGATATCCGGGTCTGATCATCGCCATGCCGTCAAGACCCTGGCACATCACGATGGCCCACCATAAACCGTGCTTCCACTCCTCGTCATAAAATTCTCCCCCAACCGCGGCGCGCACTTCCGTCCAGGGTGGATTCCACCTCGTGCTGCCTAGGAGGTGCTTGAGCCCCAACTGATTGGTGTTCTTGGTGCATCCTTCTGGGTAGCCCGGCTGTTTGCCCAGGAAGGGAGCGTAGACACCGACAGGCTCGACGGCCCGTCGCGGGTCGACCCTCCCTCCCGGAAGTTTTACATCGCAGGCAAAGCGTTGGCATTCGTAACACGCCGAGTCTGGGATACATGACGAATTCGAGCCGTGTGTCGACATTCATCGCCTCGGGCACCGTGCCGGTCTCGAGGTATGCATCGAAAGCGGGCGCGAAGAGCTCCCCGTACGTGACGAGATGGAAGAAGGTCTCAGACGGATCGGCGTAAATTGTAGCCGCATCGTCGACGCCGCCGTTCCAGAAGTCCGGCGTGTCGTACCACTGCTCGCCGATGCACTTGTCAATGAGGTCCACGACGGGGTTGATCGTCGAGAAGCGTATCTCGTAAAGCTCGCGGATGCGCTCCATCGTCAGGCCCGTGTGTTGGAGCGCAAGTTTCAAGAGACCTTCCATGCCATCGCGGAAGGCAAGACGGAGCTCGGTGGTGTTGGCGGATGAGCGCAACGCCCATTCGCCGACTTGACGGGCCGTAGCGGCTGCAAGGAAGTGTGGGTCGGGCCGGAAGAAGATCCTCGATGCGGCGGCAGCCAGGTGAAGGATGGTCCGAGGCGAGGTATGTAGGGACAGTTCGTGGAGAAGACGACACGTCGCGGCGAGGTTGGTGAAGTCCTCAATGTCGCGAAGGTAGAAAGGGAGGGACAATAAAATGTCTTCTGGGAGCGACAGTAGCGAAGGTATTCGCTCACCTAGTGAGGCCCTGGTTCGAATGCCAACTTCGGTGGGTACAAACTGGTTCGAGAGCCGGATGAAGACTCACGCGTGAAGGGTGACATCTCGTCACGGGTAGTGTTCACCGCGAGGCTCAGGGCCCATCAGCTCTCCAAGCCAGAAAGTCCGATCCACGGAGAGCTGTCTAAGTCGCGCAAAAGTAAGACTTACCGGTAAGTATTTTTCCACGAAGCCGTCACTCATAAAACCGTCACTCAAGTACTCATACTTGACTCGCGGAACGAACACAGAAACGCGGGGGCTCTCAACCAAGCGGACACATCCCGTCCTCCTTATGCCTCTCCAAGCTGTCCCGCCTCGAGAACCGCATCCCACATCTCTCACAGCAGACCTCGGGCGGCCGCAAATGCACCGTCGCGATGTGCCTCGCGAGTGTAACCAAGCCTTTGAGGTCCTTCCCGCACGCCTGCTTGTCCGCGTCGACCCACTCGTAGATGAACCTACCCGCGGGGTCCTGAGTCAGGGGTTGGTGGCACTCTTCGAGGTGGCGCTTCATCGCATTGGCAGGGACCGGAGTCTGGCGGAGAGCGTCTGGCGCGGGGTGAGGGCACGGTCCGCCGAAGAAGCAGATGGTGGGCGCGGGCGCGGGTGCGGCTGTGTTCACCGCGATGGGCGGGACGGGTCGTTCCCTGTATGCCGGGCAGTGAGTAAGTATGATGATGCGACGGCAGGAGTTAGGAGGTGCTCACGTCGCAGAAACTGTATTGTCGAAGGGGGCTTCAAGTGCCTTATACACATCGGGATACGTCTGTGCTATATTTGCATGGTGTGCCATGGTATTCTCGATCCCAGCGGCGATCTCACTACCCACGGGTGAGTATGCAAGCGCAGATGTTCCACCTCTGCGCTGGTCACGGATACTGTGAAGGATTAATGGGTCGGGGTCGCTTGCTCTGAGGGCCCCCCTTCTAGTACCGCTCGTTCCGGAGCTGGCGGGCTCTTTGGCGTCTCCTGGCATATCGATGTCATAGCTTATCGCTGCGACATCCTTCTCTTCTGAGGTCGGCCTGTCGAGGTGCATCTCGGTATCCTCATCGGAGAGTAGTGTGCCAACTGTGAAGCGCATAGTCAACATCAGCTAAGCAGCATTACTTGACGCGGCTCACGTCCATCCTTAATTTCAATGAGGTTGTTTTTGCTCCAAAAACCGCGGTATATCATCAGGGATTGGGTATTCACTGTCCGGTCGACGCTGTAGTCTCCCCTGAGTGAACGATACCAAGAGTCGATCAAGAACGACGGACCTCACACAAGCATATCAGGTCTAAATCACTAGCGATCGCGACCTCCGCTTTGGAGTTCTGCGTTCGACTGTGAGATACGATCAATTCGAAGCGGACCATGAACTAACCTCTAATATGTAGTCCAAGATGAAACCGACAGGGTCGTATGGCTGAAATAGCAAGACATGCGTAAGACATATAACAGGAATGATGTACGTGCTCCTACCGTCACCCGAGGAGGAATCTCTTCTATCAACTCCATAGCATCCTCCGCATCACGGTCCATAGACGGGTCTTGTTGTTCGGCGGCAGCTTCGATCTTCGAGCGCAGCAGTCGGCGCTTCTTCAGCTTGAAGTAGTGCAGAAACATGCACTGGTCTGCGGGATACTGCTCCTCTCTCCTATTACCAGAGGAAGTGTCGGCTCCCACAGTGCTGAGACGTTGTTGAGAAACACCGTCCACGCGGTCCTTGCCTTTCCTCTTTTTGCTTGGCACGTTTAGTCCTTGGGCTTGAAGAGCTTGAAGGACATGGTCTCCTGGCGGCTGCGATCCCAAGTGTCTATTCAAGTCGAGTTTGGGCCTGATATCCGCGCCGGCTGAGCGAGTCAGGCAAAGCCGTACGAAGTGCACGGCCTTCGACAGGTCAATGCTGGACCACAGGAGGGGCGTGTTCACGACGACATCCTTCCAGTAGCGGCATACGCCCATCGACCTATTTACGGCTACCATGTCGCTCCGTGACTTGCCCTTAGCGCTAGCGAGGCGAATGATTTCGACGAGGGTTTCGTTTGGGAGCATAGTGACGTGCCAGGGAGTCGCCGGGTGGCTCGCTAATTCGCGCGTCCGCCGAGTCTTGTCTGTATCCATTTGCGAGATCGTCCTGGGAAGCAAGCACTGGCAGTCAATATACATGTATGGGAGGTTGATGAGGGCCATACAACAAACCTTGATACGACGTAGCAGCTGAAGGCAGAGAATACCAGCTGCAGGATGATCGCTGCAGGCTCGGACTGGTGTAAGTAGTAACGTGGTATCATTGACATGTAGTCACCATCCTACTTACAGTGATGAATCGATGCAGTTCGGCTGCTGCTGCGCTTGCCTATACGACCGTCCTCCCCTCCCTCAAAACGGTGTTTTTACTGGAAATCTGCGGGTCTGCCTAGTGTGCGGGTCTGCCTAGTGGAGGAGGTGGAGACGAGGGTTTGCCTCACGCAACGCGCCCGCCTGACCGCCGCAATGCGGCTCTCTACTAGCCGCGGAGCTAGCCGATCTCGCTTCGAGAGTTTTGCGTGGAGTGAAGACGGCGGACACGAACTGGGGTGCCCGCTTCCTCGCTCCCGCCTGCCCGCACGCTCTTCCACCCGCCGACTGTGATATACGCCTGAGGCCGCTCCTCCAGCACATCCCAGTCCGCCGAGCCTGCTACTCACTCCAAGATGGGCCGCCTGTTCCACATTCCCGGGATTTTCTTCCTCTTCGTCGCATTCGTCCTCCTGTTCCTCGTGTCCATCTCGCTCCCCTACTTGACGACACTCGACTTTGCGCGCGTGCACTTTGAGGGTAAGGTGACGGCGGGTGGCGTCTCAAACGCGGTCACGGAGCTAAGGGTGCGTACATGTCCGACATATCTGATCGTCTTTGCATATCTGACGCGCCCGTCAGTTTGGTACTTGGTATGTGTTGATTTGACTCGGTGCGCGGATAGGGACGAACATATTTGCAGGGCGGAATGCTGGTACGAGTCTTCTGGAGACCGCGTCTGCAGTAGCGCAGGTGCGTGCATTCGCATATGTTGCACAAGTCTACCGTAACACGCATCCACAGGCAACGCGTACAATGTCACCATTTACAGCGGCAGCGGCGATGGCTCTAGCTCTGTCTCTATCGGTTCTTCCTGGACACGCGGACTAGCGCTCCATCCCGTTGGTGCGTGTCTTCTCTCTTCACGTTCCTTCACGTTTTCCTCACAATATCGCATTGGCAGCGGCTGGCGTGACGCTAATCGCGTTCCTGCTGAGTCTCTCGAGCCATATCACCCTCCGCCTTTTCGCATCCCTCGCGTCCTTCCTTGGAGGCACCGTCGCCTTCATCGCATTCCTCGTCGATGTCGCGCTCTACGCGTACGTGAAGAGCGAAGTCGGCAAGCTAGACAATGTCGACGCGCATACAGATACCGCGCCCGGTACGTAGCCTCTATCTTTACTCGATCGCGGCGCGCATCTGACTGCGTCGAATCGGCAGGATTCTGGATGACGTTCGTGTCGTTCATCCTCCTCTTCCTCGCAGGCGGAACGGTCTGCTTCGGGCGTCGACGGGACCGCATGGCGGGGGCGACCAACTACCCCATGGCGTCCAGCAAGTTCTCGCGATCGTGGAGGGACCGCTTCACCCGCTCGTAGATGTGCCATTAACATTGCGCGCTGCATCCCCGTTCGCTCCCTGCACCAGCCAAATACCAGGGAGGCCGCACCACTGGGCTGGCCATGGCCTCCGGACAGATACCCACAGGCGAGTGTCGGGATATGTGCTAAGATAACTTATACCTACTGCTTTTTAATTGAGCGGCGGAGTGCCGTTGGGCCTCCGCTTTGTTACTGACAATCACCTTCGTTCTGCATTACTGCGCCTTCATGGTGATTGCTTCCGTGCAATCTATGGCACGGGGCTCATGCGCGTGTGCTGTCTCCCGCAAGTTGATACCGAAGCATCTGTGTGTGAGTACTGGACAGTGCATCGTACAACATCTCATGACAGTGCGCCGGATTCTTTCGACGAATTAAGTGCCGTACCCAAACTGTGTTGTTTCCGGTGCACAACGAGCATGTGAGGGTGAGAACCTCAGCTCAGGGACACATCCTGAGATTCAGAATTGCCCGGTGTTCACGAACAATTGATCAACTTCAAGAGTCCGCAACAGCGATCCTGCAGCTGACATTCTCTGCCTTTCAATTTTTGGCGGTGTATCAAAGTGAGTTGTATGCCCCCGTCAACCTGTACTGTATTGACTGCCTGTTTCCCAGTACGACTTCGCAATGGGTACGGACAAGACGCGCGAATTAGTGACCCACCGGGCTCCTCCCCCCGTCACCATGCTCCCCAACGAAATCGTCGTCGAAATCATCCGTCTCGCTAGCGCTAAGGGCGAGTCGTGGCGCGACATGGTAGTCGTGAACAGATTGATGGGTGTATGCCGCTACTGGAAGGATGTCGTCGTGAACACGCCCCTCCTGTGGTCCAGCATTGACCTGTCGAAGGCCGTGCACTTCGTACGGCTTTGCCTGGCCCGCTCGGCCGGCGCGGAAATCGGGCTATACGATACACGTTCAATGAAGAATACCTCTGCGCTTGTGTCTCTGCTTGAGCCGCATTGCGCACAGGTTTCATATGTCGACCTCTCCCTTTTTTCCGATGGGGATGTGGCCGCATTCCTGCCAATACTGACTGCATCCCTGCCTCGATTGATGTCGTTGTCCTTGGCTATGACCTCCCAGCACTTCCTAACGTTGGCGTCGAGGCACCTCCCTACTCTCCAGAACTTATCGCTGGATGGCTTTACCATTGACATGGATTGGACCGCCTTACCTCTCCCAGTTGACGTCGCTGCGTCTTCGTGACATCAACCAGTCCGGTGCTCAGCTTCTGCCTCGTTGCCTTCTTCGACATGCTCGAAGCATGCAAGTCTCTACAACACTTCTCCTGGCAATATGACGACTTCTACGACAATTTATTTTGCGACCACGAACACGGAGAAGCAGCAGACCGGATCGTGTCACTGCGTCATTCACGGTCCTTTCACTCCAATGGCCTACCAGCTGACATCTCGAATGTCACCACCCACGTCTCGCTCTCGAGGTATACCCGCCTTTCGCTGGAGATCATCGTATACTCGCCGTGGTACGTCGAGGATCCAACACTGCCAAGCCCGAGCGAACTTGAAGTTAGGCGCCAAATCCCTTCATTCCGTACCATTTTGCTTCCTAATCCAAAGTTAAACCACCCTGCATTCACGCGCACCTTGCGTCATGCCATTGCATGGGTCGAGGAGAACCTCATCGTTTGCGCGGACGAGGAGCGTACGTTGTTCTGGGAGTCGCTCCCCTGGCGCTCCCCCAAGTTCCACTGGACTTCTGATGTCTTCCCTGAGGCACCGTTGCTCTACATGGTATACGGCGTGCTGGATGGCATACTGGACGACTCGGAGAGCGGACGGGTTTTTGATCGAGTCCTGTGCGAGCTCGGGGGCTTCCTCGGCTGCTCAGTAGAGACCCTTGTTGTCCACGGCGGCCACACACACACCCAGGAGCTCGAGATGGAACACTGGATCCAGATGCCTCACAGCCTTATCGAGGCTCATGCACCTCGACATCATACAGAACCACTGCGACGCAGACAGTTTCCCTCCTGCTCTCGCACCAACAGACGCCGGGATCCCATGCGCTGGTTTACAGAACCTCTATATGCGCTTTGATCCCTACGAGGAGGGTGGTTGGATGACGCTCGGCAGACTCAATTCGGCACTAGTTGAACGCGCGAAGGGCGGTTCCCGCCTGAGGAGCCTCAGCCTAGTGCTGGGGACTACAAAAAAAGAGGGTGTCTCTCCATTCACTTCGTCGTCGGTCGGTTGTCGCTTGCCAAAAGAATTCGAAGAGATTCAAGCGAGCTTTGAGTCCTTAATAGACTTGTTCGCAGTGAGGATCATTGGGTATAACGAATAGTGTCACGTTGACAATGGACGTACTGTTTGTTACTTACACTAATACGTCTACCTCCTTCCACCTTTGCGTTTTATGCACGGCGATTCGGTTTGGTGTTGACCAATGCATTTCAGCAGTCTCGCATGTTAGTAGCGTGAGCTGAAAATTGAAAATTGCCTGGGATAGTGTGAGATGATCAGCTCGAGGCAGTCTCTGTAGCGGCCCTCGTGTATTCAATGCCACTCAATCACTCTCGTTTTGTGCGATGTAAGTACCAAGCAAGTACAGCTAATAGTTTCTTACCTTCTCAATTTGAATCCTCCGCCATTTCTCGGCATTTCTCACGCCGGAACCGCGCTTTATAAGTGAGACTTGGCCAAGACTTGCCTAGTACCTCCAAACCCAACATACCCCTACTACCTAATCCTAAACTACCTAATCCGACTCCCACTATCGCATAATTACAATACTGTCCACCAGTTCAAACAAAAACACCCCGGCGTCGTGCGTTAAGCACAGCAGGATACATGGCTAAAACCTGGGAGGAAAAAATGAAAAAACCTCCAGGTGTCAGCGGTGGTTCTCCACCATACTGACATAACTCACCATGGTCCAGGTGGAACCACGTGGCAGCGCTACTGCCGTCCGCCATCATGCGGAAGGTCCAGGGGCCTCCAGGGGCATAGTAGGAGCCGGACGCGAGCAATCCGGGTATAGGCGCGTAGTGTCCTCGGTCGACGTTGCCGCCGACTTTGGAACACGGGCGTTGAGCAGGCGGCGGCGGTGATATAGTCGCACGAAGTTGGGCAGGCCGCATATCCGACTCATTGGCTGTGTTCCTTATGTGTTCCTTGCCTCTAGCTCGTACGTCTGTCTGATCGAGGTTAGTTGGATTCTTCTCGTCAAGCTCTCTTATATAAGTCCTGTTTGCAGGGCGCCATGGCTGCACGCAGCAGAATGCGAGAGTTAGGGAGCGAGCTGCGGGCAACCCCCTTTGTCAGCATGCTCCCCAATGAAACCTTCATCGAAATCATCCGTCTCGCCAGTGCCGACTCGGATGGATGGTGCGACAACACGATGGTATTGGCCAGATCCATGGGCGTATGCCGCTACTGGAGAGACCTCATCATCAATACGCCACTCTTATGGACCAGAATCGAGTTGTCGAACAACACGCAATACATACGGCAATTCCTGGCCCGCTCAGGCAGCGCGAGTATCACACTATCCTGTCCATATCTACGGCGGACGCGATTATCAGTGCTCGCCCCTCTGCTCGAGCCGCATTACGCGCGGGTCGCACGTACGGACTTCCGGTTCTTCGACGACGAAGACGCTGCTACACTGCCGGCGATGCTGAGTTCCTTCTTACCCTGCCTGGCATCAATTTCCCTCAGGCTGTACTCTTTTATTACTCTACGGCAACGCTACTGCATGCGATTGGAATCGAGACATCTCCCGAGTCTCCGGAGCCTATCCCTTGAAAGGTTCACCTTGGATCTGACTCCAGATTTCCCGCTGTCGCGCCTGGTAACGCTCAGGCTCTCCCTCGTCGATCTCCCTGGTGATCATCAATGCCTCGTCACTTTCCTCGATATGCTAGAAGCATGCAAGTCGTTGGAGAACTTCTCCTGGGGGAAATCCGGCTTCAAAAACTACTGTGAGCTCTGTGAGCACGGAGCAAGAGCAGACCGCATTATACCACTGCACCGTATACGGAAATTCTTTTTCTGTGGACGAACAGCTGACGTCGCAAATGTCATGTCGCACATCTCGCTACCAAAGAGTGCTCGCCTCTCGCTGGATACACACCTCTTTGATCTGAATCGTGGAGGGGAGATCAAGCGCCAGATCCCCACACTCCACGACATCTTGCCACCTCACACGATGTCGGGCATGCAGTTTATGTCAAACGCGCGGCACGTCGTGATATGGGCCTCCTCCTACGACGAGATACTCGGCATCTGTGCAGATGAACAGCGCACGTCGTTCTGGGAGTCTCAGCCCTGGCGCCATCCGTCACTTGAGGGATGGCCCGAGAGCGCCCAAAATGTCCCGGAGCCACCGTCGCTCTACGTGGTGTACGACTTGTCACTGTTCACCGACCCAAACAATGAATTGGACGAGTGGCTCCTTGATCAAGTCCTGCGTGGAATTGGAAACTCCTTCGACCCCTCCGTGGAAAGCCTCGTCATACACGGGTGCACCGACCCGACGTATATCGAAACGGGTACCTGGACGGGGCTGCTCAATACCTTCCCTCAGCTCATCCACCTCGACATCATCACAGACGACTCCGACATAAGTGCCTTCCCTTCTGCTCTCACACCGACCGACTTGGAGGCCGGGGTCCCATGCGCAGGTTTGCGCGAGCTTTATCTGCACTTCGATCCTATCGACAACGGTGGATGGGCGACGCTCAGTGGTCTCGTCGCGGCGTTGCAGAAACGCGCGGAACGTGGCTCCCGCTTGGAGAGCCTGAGTCTCGTGGTTAACAATACCCGTGACGAGCAGTCCCCCTTCACGTCTGCCGGCGATCGCTTGCCAACGAGCGAGGATTTCGGCTTTGAGGAAATTCAAACAACTTTGGAATCTTTGGTCGGGTCGCTCTCGGTGCAGATCGTCCTTAATCGATGGTTGTCCCATTGACAACTTTGAACGCGCTGCTTGTGTATAGTACCACATCAAGTCCACCTCCTTCTTCCGTGGCGGTCTCTCCGTGTGGGCGGTTTTTGATCTTCAATTGCCGCCGTTGCTGTACACCACGAATGCTGTGCGACGCGCTTCGATACATGCACTTACTCAGATCGATGAAGTAAGTGCCAGTGGATGTTCTGTTACTTAGCATGCCAGTAATGGGTCACTGGGTGTCGACGAGCCTAGGCTTGCCGAATCACACGTTGAAGCCTCATCGAAAGCAGACTTTGGCTCCGAACACTCAGTGCGTTCTACATGTAATTGTAATCGGCCGGCTTCTGTCTCACGGGCTAGGTCTCCATAGAACCTTATTCAAGTGGCATGCAGAGGACCACCGCCTCATGTCAGATCACATATATCTCCAGGACGCCTTGTCTGACCCTTCAAGCCTTCATCTTGAACGCGCACCATGGCTGCCACAGTCCCACACGAAGTTTATGCTCAACAGCTCGTCAAGTACGGGTGGGGCTATCCTCTCTGGGAACCTGAACCAGAGGAACCGTGGGACGAGATACTTATTGGCGATGTTGGTTATTTCGAACGTGGAGGATTTTGTCGCCTTTTCAACGCCATCGAGGACAGTGACGGTCACATACAGACCAGAAAATACCCTCCCGGAATCGAGCGATTCGATCCCGGCCCAGATCCATCGTCATCCGTGCGCCGAAAGACGAATGCCGTCAGCGAGGGTCCACACGCGAGTGCGACTGTCCGTCGTGTCGAGATTGGAGCTGGAGTTGGATCGTAAGCAGCGAGTCTTCATAGATAACGTTCCTTTACAAGCACTAACGTCAATATCATCGATACCACATAGGCAGGGGTTGAACATTGCATTGGGGTGGGAGTGCACAGATCGACAGGGTGCCTTGGTCATTCTGGACATTCCGGGAGTTCGCGAACTCTCGCAACAGGTTGCCAAGATGAGGACATATATGAAGGTGCATATAGATGCCTGGTGCCAATGGGCAACAGGCATTCTAGGCCTTGATATCGACATTGAAGATATCGTCTTTGTTCGAGGATATCTCAAGACCAGTCGGTGGGCTGTGGTTTCCTTGCATGGCGACATGAAACGGGCAACACTCACCTTCAAAGGTCACTCGCCAGGCATGCCTGTCGCCGCTGCGTTCCACTTGGACATTCAGCAGGGGACAAGCGGCATGTGCGAGCATCGCATAGGGCCGGATTACAGGCCCAAACTCGACTTGAATAAACACTTGGGATCGCAGTCGCCAGGAGACCATGTCATTCAAGCCCAAGGACTAGACGTACGAAGCAAAAAGAAGAAAGGCAAGGGTCGTGTGGACGGTGTTTCTCAACAAATTAAGAGAGAGGAGCAGTATCCCGCAGACCAGTATCCCGCAGACCAGTGTATGTTTCTGCACTACTTCAAGCTGAAGAAGCGCCGACTGCTGCCCTCGAAGATCGAAGCTGCCGCCGAACCGCAAGACCCGTCTATGGACCGTGATGCGGAGGATGCTATGGAGGTGATAGAAGAGATTCCTGCTCGAGTGACGGTAGGAGCACGTACATCATTCCTGTTATATGTCTCACGCATGTCTTGCTATTTCAGCCATACGACCCTGTTGTTTTTATTTTGGACTACATATTGGAGGTTAGTTCATGGTCCACTTCGAATTGATCGTATCTCACAATCGAACGCAGAACTCCAAAGCGGAGGTCGCGATCGCTAGTGATTTAGACCTGATATGCTTGTGTGAGGTCCGTCGTTCTTGATCGACTCTTGGTATCATTCACTCAGGGGAGACTACAGCGTCGACCGGACAGTGAATACCCAATCCCTGATGATATACCGCGGTTTTTGGAGCAAAAACAACCTCTCATTGAAATTAAGGATGGACGTGAGCCGCGTCAAGTAATGCTGCTTAGCTGATGTTGACTATGCGCTTCACAGTTGGCACACTGCTCTTCGATGAGGATACCGAGATGCACCTCGGCAGGCCGACCTCAGAAGAGAAGGAGGTCGCAGCGATCAGCTATGACATCGATATACCAGGAGACACCAAAGAACCCGCCAGCTCCGGAGCGAGCGGTAACAGAAGGGGGGCCCTTAGAGCAAGCGACCCCGACCCATTAATCCCTCCAAGTATCCATGGCGAGGATAAGTGGAAGCACTCCCCATCCGTGGGTAGTGAGATCGCCGCTGGGATCGGAAACAACATGGCACAGAATGGGAATACGGCACAGACGTATCCCGATGTGTATGTACCGCTTGATTCTCCCTTCGGCAATACATTTTCTACGACGTGAGCACCTCCTAACTCCTGCCGTCGCATCATCATACTTACTCACTGCCCGGCATACAGGGAACGACCCGTCTCGCCCGTCGCGGTGAACACAGCCGCGCCCGCGCCCGCGCCCACCATCTGCTTCTTCGGCGGACCGTGCCCTCACCCCGCGCCAGATGCTCTCCGCCAGACTCCGGTCCCTGCCAATGCGATGAAGCGCCACCTCGAAGAGTGCCACAACCTGACTCAGGACCGCACGGGTAGGTTCATCTGCGAGTGGGGCGACGCGGACAAGCCGGCGTGCGGGACGGACCTCAAAGGCTTGGGTGCACTCGCGAAGCACATCGCAACGGTGCATTTGCGGTCGTCCCAGGTCCGCTGTAAGCGATGTGGGATGCTGTTCTCGAGGCGGGACAGCGAGAGGCATAAGGAGGACAGCAGGTGTTCACTTCGTTGAGAGCCCCCACGTTTCTGTGTTCGTTCCGTGAGTCAAGTATGAGTACTAGTACTTGAATGACGGTTTTATGAGTGAAGGATTCGTGGACAAATACTTACCGGTAAGCTGTCTTACTTTTGCGCGACTTAGACAGCTCTCCCCGTGGATCGGACTTTCTGGCTTGGAGAGCCTGATGCCCTGAGCCCCGCGGTGAACGCTACCCGTGACGAGATGACACCCTTCACGTGCGCCGGGGATCGCTTGCCCAGCAGCGAGCGAGGGACTTGGCTTTGAGGAGGTCCCAACGACCTTGAGATTGTTGGTAGAATCGCTCATGGTGCTGATCATCGCGAATCCAAGCTGTCGGTTTGCATGTACACGATTGTCCTGCGCACTGACGATGAACTCACTACTGACGCTGAACCGGTAATGCAATTTGGTACAGTAGTGCAAAATGTCCGATTTCCGTGTTGCACGTAGGATCACTGCACACAGAAAAACTACATGGTATTGCCACATACTGCCTTACTATGCTCCCAGATGCACTAAGAGCTACCTGCTCTCTGCACCTCAGGAAAAATCGTAAGGTGCATTTAGGGCGCCTATTTTGCCGCGCCAGTTTTGGCGGGCGAAAGCAGTCGCTCGTTTGCAGGTGTACAGACAGCATGTTCCCGTCCTCCGTCTGGCCTTGAGATATTTGATAGTGTGCTCAAGATGTATAAAAGTGAATGTAGCGGGCCGAAACCTGAAATTTCTTTGTGTCGCGGGTGCAGGACAGTAATGCAAACGCGTTTGCATTACCGGTTCAGCGTCAGTACAGGTTTCTCCCAGCCACGTATGCACTCGACATCCCGCCGATGGGCCGTCAGTCTACTTCGATTGGAAATTGGAATCAACATCGCCGTCGCGACGTGCTCCGAGGTATTTATAGCTGAACTCGGCGGCGAATATTTCTCAGCAGCCGTGCAGGCACTCGTCATATGCGGAGATGTCGACGGCAACAGCTGGTGTCGACTGCTCGCCGCCTTCCCACATCTCGAGCATCTCGAGGTCGTGGTGAATGTTTGTGGCATATGCACCCGAGTCCCACCTGCTCTCGCGCCGATCCTAGCTGGTGTTCCCTGCGCGCGGCTGCGCGCGTCGACGTCGATGGTCGGACCATGCTCGATGCTCTCCGTGCGGTGCTGCGAGAACGTACCGAGGCTGAACTTGCAGGGGGCTGTCGCCGCTTGCAGACCCTTCGCCTTGTAGTGGAACCCCCGAAACCAACTTCGCGGGTAGACGGAAACTCTGTTTTTGACGCGGCTTCGTCTACGACAGATGCCAACTATAGGTTGCCCGATGACTTTGAGGAGATCAAGATGGATCTAGAGTCTCTCATGTAAGGACCGTATCAATGTCGTCCAGTGGTGACGATGCTCTAACCGGCCCGCAGCATGTGTCAGGCGTAGCGCATGCCAGCCTGTGTTCCGCGTCAACGGAGGTTCAAGACAGATTGAAACGATTCATTCTCACCGGAAAACGACACCGAGATCACGTTTTCCGAGTCGCCACATTGTCATCTTCAAAGGGTTCGTCTGGCACTCGAGTGCCAGAAAACGCGACGCGGAACGAACTGTACATCGGTCACTGACTCACTGCACAAGCTTTGCAGCTACATATACGTATACGCTAGGCGGTGGAGAGCACACCAGTGGCACGGTATAGCATGCACGTCTTCGTCAATAGCAAGCGCTTGAGGGACTGGTGAGTCTTCATCCGGCTCTTAAACCACTCCGTACCCACCGGACTTAGCATTCGAACCAGTGCCTCATCAGGCGAGAGGATGCCTTCGCTGTTGTCGCTGCCAGCAGACATTCAATTGTCTCTCCCTTTCTACCTTCGCGACATCGAGGGCTTCATCAACCTCGCTGCAACGTGTCGCCCTCTCCACGAACTGTCCCTACATACCTCGCTTCGGACCATCCTTCACCTGCCTGGCTGTTGCGGCATCGAGGATCTTCTTCCGGCCCGACCCACGCTTCCTTGCAGCCGCTACGGCCCGTCAAGTCGGCGAATGGGCCTCCCTCTCGTCCGCCAACACCGCCGAGCTCCGTCTCGCCTTCCGCAAGGGCTTCGAAGGCCTCCACTCGAGCACGCGGGCCTCACGCAGGAGCGCATCCGCGAGCTCTACGAGATGCGCTTCTCGACGATCAATCCCGTGACGGACCTCATCGACAAGTGCATCGGCGTGCAGTGGTGGTCCACGCCCAATTTCTGGGAAGGCGCCGTCGACGACGCGTGGACGATCGACGTCGACGCGCCCGACATCCTCTTCTACCTCGTCACGTACGGCGAGCTGTTCGCACCCGCGTTCGACGCCTTTCTCGATACGGGCGTGGTGCCGGAGACGCTCGACGTCGCTACGAGGCTAGAATTCATCAAGTACTGCGTGCCGGATTGGCGCTGCTGGGAGTTGCAGCATCCGCGTAGTCCGCATTGGGGCGTTGTGGTGGATGCGCGCAGGGCTGTCGAGTCCGTCGGGCCCTACACCCCTAACGCGGACGGCATCGCGGGCAACATTTCCACGGAAGTCGCAAACCGCCCGAACCAGTGGGGGCTCAGGCACCTGCTGCGTAGCTCGCGATGGAACCCCTCGTGGTCCGGAGTGCGCGCGGCCGTAGGGGGCGATTTCGAGGTGGGGTGGAAGCAGGACTTGTGGTGGGCCATCGTGATGTGCCAGGGCCTCGAGGGCCTCAAGATGATCAGACCAGGAGACCTCGGGCCGTGAAGGGAACGATTGGCTGCCTGGAGAGCTAGAATCGCGGCAATGCCGGCGAGTCAGAGGCCCGACAAGGTCAAGGTTCATGAGTGGGAAACCTACGTATTCCCTGACCTCATCAAGGATGTGGATATCACAACGGGCAGGGTGAGACCTGTTGCGTGAATTCAGAACATAGACCGACGGGTTTGAGTGCAGTGTACTGAGAGGTCAGGTTAGATTAGATGTTTTGCAGAAGATCTTGAGCTCCTTCGTACACTTGTGTACAAATCAGCCACCGCATGAATGAACTGCATGCCATCCCCAAGGATGTCTGAAGCCTGTGAGAGCGTGACAGTATCCCGCCGATGAGTACAGCTAATAGTCATAGTGACTCGGCATTTCAGTCGATCACTTTGACCACGTACATGGCTCGGCCAAGCAAACACGACGTGCGATAGTGGCCTTCGGTGTGTTGGCAGATATCTGTGCATATGATACAACACTGCCTGACTACTGGTGGCAACACTTGTACGCCCACTGCACAAATGCTCACTCTCGGGCTTGGCCCGATGACTGACCGATGATAATGCCATGCCAGTGCTATCGCAGACGCAGCGTATACGCACATTTTGTGATTTGCACAGCAAAAGAAGCAGGTAGGCCCATCTTCGCCTCGTGGGCACGTAGGGGTCGAGAGGCTTCCGCTCCAAGAGCGGGTGCTCAGCCGGGATCATCCCGAGGTCCAGCTGAAGCCAGCTGAGTCCTCTCCATGATGAGGCGCTAACGAGTTACCCAACGAGTGTCTTGCCGTCAACACTCTCCAATTCTGTGAGGGGAGGCCAGGTACTCGCGCCGCTCGAGGCCATCCGATACCTGTGTGCGCTTCGCCCAAGCTTCGCCAGACTGCTTCGTTTGCTGTGCCCGATTGAGCGGATCAACGTCAGTCTATATTGTTCATCCTCTCACCGGACAGCCACGCTACTTACGAGCATTGAATAAATGGTGGATCCGACTCCGAGATAATACTTCAGTCAAATCCCCGACTGCAGACATACGACGAGTCACTGGTGCGTCTTGGCTAAATTTAGTATCTGCCCACTAACCTGATGAGACTCACCTCGCCAGTTCATAGGAGAAAGCATGGCCGCTCAACCTTCTCTATCGTCACTCCCGGCAGATATCCATCTGTCTCTGCCTCTCTACCTTCGCGACATTGAAGACTTCATCAACCTCGCCGCGACGTGCCGTCTGCATCACGAGTTGTCCCTACAAGCCTCGCCTCGAACGATCCTCCACCTCGCGGCTGCCGCGTCGCGGGTATTCTTCCGACCTGACCCACACTTCCTCGTCACTGCCACGGCCCGTCAAGTGAGCGAATGGGCGTCCCTCTCGTCCGAGCACACCGCCGAGCTCCGTACCGCCTTCCGCAAGGGCATGGAAGGCCTCTTAGAGCTCGCCCTCAAGCACGCGGGCTTGACGATGGAGCGCATCCGCGAGCTGCACGAAATGCGCTTCTCGACGATCAACCCCGTCGTAGACCTCATCGACAAGTGCGTCGGCGAGCAGTGGTACAACACGCCGAACTTCTGGAACGGCGGCGTCGACGACGCGTGGACGATCGACGCGGACCCGCCCGAGACCTTCTTCCACCTCGTCACGTACGGCGAGCTCTTCGCGCCCGCGTTCGACGCGTTCCTCGAGACCGGCGCGGTGCCCGAGGCGATGGACGTCGACACGCGCCTCGAGTTCGTCAAGTACTGCATTCCAGACTGGGCGTGCTATCATTGTCAGGAATCTGCGGACGGGAGCACTGTCGACCCGCGCCGGGCTGTTGAGGCTGTCGGGGTTTATGCACCCTTCCTGGACGAAAACTCGGGCCAAAAGTTCCAAGAGCACATGAACCAACTTGGGCTTGCACATCTCTTGAGAAGCACGAGATGGAACCCTTCTTGGACGGAGGTGCGCGCGGCGGCTGGAGGAGACTTCGAGGAGGAGTGGAAGCAGGATTTGTGGTGGGCCATTGTGATGTGCCAGGGCTTCGATGGCATGGCGATGATCAAGCCGGGAGGCCAAGCACGGTCGAGGGAGCGTTTGGCTGCGTGGAGAGCAAGGATAGAAGGCCTGGTTGTTGACTCGGAGCCTGGCAAGATCAGAGTTGGGCGGCAAGTAACGTATGTGTTCCCCGACCTGAAGGGCGATCTGAACATCTTGACTAGTGGGTATGTTTCTGGTACATAGCGGTGTACATACGCTCCAGTTCCAGACGTTAAAAGACGTGGTGTGTAAGAGCAAGAACGAGATGGATTCAGCAGCGGCTGAAGGGTTTGTCGCGGTCACATGACTGGGCGCCAGCACGACCATGAATGTACCCGCACTTGCCTCTTGCTTGCCACAGCCGCCCATCCACGCATAGGTTCGACCCAAACCTCTCACGCGGTAAACCCTCGTAAAAATCACTCGCTATCCATTGTCACCCGCTATGCCCAAGTGCGCGAACCCGCTCTTCCTGCGATGGGTGAAAGCCTTCCACGACGAGAAGGACTACCGAAAGCGCGGCGGCCCCCCACGCGCGACGGGCTACGAAAACGCGATTCGTGCGCTCGAGGTGTGCACGCAGAGGTTTGAGCACCCTGTCGACATGCGCGGGAAGGTCACCGGTGTGGGCCCGACGACGATCGAGAGGTTGTCCCTACCGCCGTGGGTACTATATGCGCGCTGACTGCTTTGTCTTCTCGTTGTGTGTTTGGGCAGGCTAACAGAGAAGCTGGAGGAGTACTGTGACAGGAAGGGTTTGCCTATGCCAGAGCCGGCACCGAAACGTACGACACCCGCATATATCCCATATTCGATCAGCCCGCCCAGCTGTATGCTTACGCTTGTCGTTTGTACAGCTGTTCGCGGCCGTAAAGCAGCGGCTGCCAAACCTAAGGCCCCTTCCAAAGCTAAAGCCGAGAAGAAAGTCGACACAGACGACGAAGACTTCGCGCCTGCCTCGGGTTCGACAAAGAGGAAACGGGCACCGCGCAAGGCAGCCGCGCCGAAGCCGAAGGTCAAGGCCGAAGAAGACGATGAGCACGACTCCGACTCCGACTTCGAGGACGACGTGATAGTGGTTTCGCCGCCGCCCAAGAAGCGTGCTAGGCGGACGTCGAAGAAGGCGCAGCCCGACGTCGAAATTGAGATTCGCGAGGTCGACTCGGATTATTGAATCCCACTTACTGCGTAATCCCCTTGCAGGAGGTGGTGTTGTTTTCTTTCTGGCTGTACTCGTGTTTCGATGAAAGCGTATTGTTCTGGTCATCTCTAGATGCTTCATGTACCAAACAGTCTCGTATCTGAGTAGTTGCCGTTCGTATATTTGCAGATGTGCATATTGGTCCGGTGCTTGTCATGTACCTCACAAACGATCTCTAAAACCATCCCGATCTGCTAGGGCAGACAAGTCGTCATACAAGCATACTATCGACGGTCGCGTAACATCGTAGACCGGTACTCAGCGTACCAACGCCAACACTCGAGGATCGAAGAATATTTGGCACACCACCCGAGCTATCTGCGAAACGACCTCCATGACATTTGTTCTCGTCTAAGAATAAGTGATAGTAGTGTAGTATGATCAGTATACACGATGCGTGGATGGCTACGATAGACATGTGAAGGCCGAAAGCGTGACGAACTAAACCAGATGCGTGAGCAAATATAAGCAGGAGCAATGCAATAACAGACGGCAAACGGTGCAGGGATGAGGGGTGAGTGTCAGTAAAGCAAAAGCCGCAAAGCGCGAGACGCAAGCACAGAAAGCGGGAGCCCGATCACGAGAAGAAGTAGAGCGACTGCTTGATCGTGTGCACGTCGAAGTCGCCCCGCTTCGGGACAGGCGGGAGCACGCTGCCGAGGTCGAGGAGCTTCGCCTCCAGCGGGCCCACCTCGCTCGACTGCTGCAGCACCTCTCTGGCGAACTTGTCCTTCAGCCGGCGCAGCGATTTCTCTTTCGCCGGCTCCACCGCTCCCTCCGTCGCGTCCTCGTCCTTGTCCTCGCTGAGCTCCACGCAGTCAGCAGCCTCGTTTGCGTCCTCCACCGCGGCCTCATCTGCGTCCTCCGTCGCAGCCTCTTCAGATTTCTCTACAGCCGCGGCGACGTCCGCAGCGTCGGCGGACTCCATGAAGCTATGCGGGAAGGTCTTGACCTTGATATTGCCGGGCGTGACACCGTACCTCTGAAGGACCTTGCCCCACTTGAGAGCACTGAACGGAACCACATAGCCCTTGTAGCGCTCGAGGAACTAGCCTCTAAGTCAGCGACGAGCTCAGAGCCATTTCCGCGCCGAATACGCACCTCATTGTATAGCCGCTCCAAGACGTTCGAGGAATGCAGCGCGATGAACGTGTCCCTGATGACCGTGGACATTTGATCGATCGTGCCGGCGTGCGTCCAATACGAGTCGTGAACGGACGCGAATGTCAGCCCTTGTGACTGCAAGTAGTGTTAGCAATTAAGGCTCATCGGAAGGGAATGAGCATATAACTTACCCGACACTCCAGGGCAGTCAACATCATGTGCGTAGCGTCCAGACTATGGATGAAGTTCGGCGGGAACGCGGACGCTTGCTTCGTCGCGTTCACTGTGGACGGAGGATCAGTAAACGCCACATAGCACACTGAGAGCCAACGTACCAGCTGTAGGGATGTTGGGATCGGAGATGTAGACACTCTGCATAGACGTGATGATCTGCTTGCGCTTCGTCGCCCTGTACGGCTGCACGATGGGCAGACCGAGCGGCGTCGTCCAGATCACGCTCGTCATCTGCTCCTTCTTGAGCTTGACCAGCTCGGCGTCGCGGATCTCCTTCGTCATCGACGACATCGACGACTTGAGGTTCCGCACCGAGTCATCGACTCGCTCTGGGGGAATAGACTTTGCGATCAGACGAGCACAGATGTTCAACCATTCCTGGATGTCCTTCGCGCCCTTGAACAGATCGCCGATGCATCCGAGGACCTGGCGAAGACGTATGTCAGCCTCAGCCATGATGATCACACACAGGTTGACTCACCAGCTTCGCCAAGTAGGAAGCTGCTAGCCAGCACTCCTCGGGAGCGATATCTCCCCTCTCCTTCAACTGTTTCTCGATCTGATCGCGAGCACCGACGAACGTCACACCGTATACGGTGGTCATAACCTACCACCACACGCATCAGCGACAAGGCCCACGACGCTCCAAGACCACTTACCGTTTGCTTGACCACCTTTCGCGAGACCTTGCCCTTGAGCATGACCGCATACTTATGCCCCGCCTCGATGCCCTCGTCAATCTGCACCCCGACCATGTTCGCGACGTACGTATACACGTCCGACGGCCGATCCGTCACGCCGAGGTTCACCTGGTTCGCGCCCGCCGCGTCCCCGCCGAGCGCCGCGTAGTGCTGCAGCCCGTTGCACGTCCCGTCCTGGTGCACGGGCAGCGCGCACTCGTACGCGAGCGGGTCGGACGCGTCCAGCGCATTCCGGAGCTCCATGCACGTCGCGAGACATTGCCAGGGGTCGTCGGCCTTCGTCCACCACCGCCGGCCCTTCATTCCGAGGTCAGCGAGCCTGTCTGCGAACGACGCAGAGACGGACTTACAGCAATTGGATTCTCGGCACTGTCGTAGATCTCATCGAGACGTTCGTGCACCCACTGCACCCGCTCGTCAAAGTTCGCCTTGTCGTAGCCATACAGACCGGCCAAGTGAATCTTGAGCCATCGCAATCCCGACTCGCCAAGCGGCTTCTTATCGGCGAACAAAAGCAGGCCACGACTCAAATCGTCGCCGATGTGGCTGAGATGGGGAGGTAGGGGGTATGCACGCCCACGGAAGTCGACGTTGTGCGGGAAATAAATCGTATCGCCCAGGAACTGTAGAAGCAAGAGTCAGCATCAGCGCGGCGAATATGCCGGATCGACACTTACCGTACGCGCGATTTCGATCTTGTAGTTGACATCGCACCGCTTGGAGTGGTTGTTCGCCTTGTCGACCGTGTGCGCCTTCAGCCTCGTCAGGTACGCGACGCGAGCCTTCGGGTCGGTCTCCACGTTTGGCGGCCTCTCAGGCTCGGGCGTGTCGTGGATGACTGGAGGAATCTTACAGAAGCGTTCACCTGAGTTCCACACTTCAAGTACGACGTCGAAAACTTGGCGGTTGATCTGCCAAGGCGTGCTCCCGAGGATGTCAAGACTCGTATACAGAAGCTCGAGGTTGCCCAGACTCGACGCGCGGCGGAGGTAGCTCTGCTGCTCCTGGCTATCCTTGAATCGCATCGCCCATGCTGTCATGAGATATCAGGTCCCAGCTCAGCTGCGATTTACGAAACCAGAAACACTTACTCTTGTTGTAGACGTAGCCGCCCTGGTCTGGGCCGAGCCACTGTTTGGGCTTGACGAGCATAGGTAAGTGACGCGGATGCAGGGTCTCCCGGATGGAGTCCTTCGCCATCTTCTCGGCGATGGCCGGGTTCAGCTTGATGACGCCGAGCTTGGTTCCGCGCAGGTATTCGTAGGAGTGGAAGAACGCAGGCTGCTCCTCGGAGCTAGCACGCGGAGTCCAATCAGCAGCTCATACATCCCAATTGTCCAGATCTACTCACTAGACCTCCCCTGTATCCTTGTCCTTCTTCGTCCGCACAACGGTGGCGATGTCCATCAAGCAGTCCACGAGGAAACTGCCGATCTTGACCCGCACGACCTGTGTCCACTCCGACGCCCAATCTTCGGAATCTTGAACGTACTTGTGCGCCGCGAGTCGCTGCGCATGCAGATCGCGGTACCCGAGGCTGGTGAAGAACCCGTGCGACGGTGCGCGGCCGGACGTGGGGATGGAGACGTTGTGCTTCTTGCACATCTCCGCTTTGTGCTCGAGCTCGACCGCCTTGCCGACAGACAGCAGAGCCCGCGCCGTCTTCATGCCCATATTGACGCCGCCCGTGCCTTGCATGTGCATAAGCTCGAGGATCGTGATTAACGACAGCTTTTCAGGAGTTAACAGAGACAGAAACGGGCTCAAGCCGATCATCTTGCGCGTCTCAGCTAACACAATGTCAGACATACTGTGTATACATCGCCAGAAAGGTCACGTACAAAGTTTCATCTCTGCGTTCGCCTTAAGTCTCTGCTCCTGTACGGCGATGTTCTCAATCTCCGCCTTCAACCGCTCCTTCAACAACGCATGCCATTGCCACATCAACTGTTGCAGGTCATTCGTCTTCAGCGCTGAGTTTGATAGCCCCAACACCTCAAGCTTCTCCGTCGTGTGCTTGAGGCGCTCCACAGCGACGTCGTACACCGACTCCTCGAGCAGCTTTTGACGTGCTGCGATGTCTTCGGGGAGCACCCGGCGGGCGAAGATAACCTTCGCTAGGTGTTTCCGCAGTGTGTCGAGGTTGAATGGCACGTCCGGCTCGGGCACGCCTACATCGTCGCTGACGTGAACGTCGACGACGCTGCCATCCTCAGCGTGCATCATACGAACGTCCGCCTCTTTCTTTTTGAGTTGTCGTTTGACGGGAACCGCCTCGGGAACGTTCTCCAAAGGATCGTCTTCTTGACGACCGAGTGAGTCCGCCATACCTAGCTCGTTGACCACGTTCGACAGGCCCATCTCCACCGCAGCCTTCGACAGCAGCTGGATCGCCTCTGCCGCCTCGTCGGACGACGCGAACGCACGGTCAGCTACCACCATCGTCGGCAACACCTGGTGGTCCATCATACTCCGGAGTAGCATCGCCGGATCCCACTGTCTCTCCGAGTACATCGGCTGCGCAGACTCCGGCCCATGTCGAATCCAGGCGGCCAGCATGTAAGCGTACGTATTGGCCGTCGGCTGGATTTGCGCACTTCCGTCCTCCACCACACCATACAGTGCCCACGCCTCGTCGATCCACATCTCCGGGTCGGTAGCGTCCTTCGCGCGAGCCATCTCGAGGTAGGCGTCCAGCATAGAGTTGTACATGCGCACGTCGAGAAGCGAGCTTTTGTCAGAGTTGCGGAGGTCGTCGAAGATAGACTTGGCACGGGGCACGTCGTAGAGGTTGTGCAGGCACGCACCGACAACCGCAATCAGGTCCTGGGTGGGCGTATCCGTGAAGAGGATGGTGCGCAGGTCTTTTGCGGTGGCATTTAGCGGTGGGGTAGGGAGGATAGTGTACGGTGTCCGGCGTCGCAGGAAGTCTTCCATGTCGTGCTGCGAGTGAGCGCTGCTGGAGGGCATGTAGGCCGGGAAGGGCTCTGGGGGCGCAGAGGCGGTCGCAAGAGCGGGTGCGTTGGCCCGTTTTGAGGGAGTCGAGTAGAGTCGGGCAGGCCGGGGGAGGCTCTGCCTAGAGCACGACAGCAAAGTCGTCTCCACCTTTCTGGCTGAGCGGGAGATCATGGCGGCAGCGCTGCTGGTCCAGGGATGCAGGAGGGAGACAGCGGACGAGGAGGTCGTCGCCCGATTGGTGATTTGAGTTGCCGATCTCCTTTCTCCCCGAAAAATTCAGCCACCGGCAGTAAATGCGATCTCACGGAGTCTCACGTGCCTCTCCCTTCCGCCAGCACGACCTCTTCCGACAACGGTGCAGTTGCATGGCTTCGCAGCTGCGACCGTCGTATATCGCAATTCGTAGTCGAAAGCTGTATGTCATTTTGATGCACAAGAATGCATCGACACAAGATCCAAGTTCCCAGTGTCAGCGGTCGAAGTCCACCACGATTCCCCTCTCACTTGCAGACAGGGCCATCCCTGCAGGCTAGGCAGGTCCGACCTGCATACTATCCGAACCACCGCACCCTGCACGGTGTTCGCATCATGATGTTAGTTTTAGGCCTGCGAGGAATAGGGCCCCTCGGTCTCCCAATTCAGGAAGCAACGGCGAGGCGGCGACGAAGATATGGACTCCGGCTTTGTAGCAGCGTGCCTTAGCTGTTTGTTGGTCGAAGCCAACGGCTCGCATGCTATGCGACTACGAGGGCGACCAAGCTGAGGCGGACCATTCATGGACGGGGCCCTACACCTGGTAGGCCGAATCGCAGGAGCGCAAATCTCGCCGCTCCGATCGTAGTCTTGTCTTGTCTTTCTTCTGATGACGTCGAGTCTCTTCGAGGAACAAACCATCAACGTTTTAATCACCTCGTATGCATGTACAGATGAGTACTAGAGCTAAACCGTTCGTTCGTGCAAATCACGACTGAGGTATCGATGAAGAGTTAAATACTCCAGTGCCACAGCGGAAACCAGTGACGGCGCCCGAAGACACCTCTATTGCGATGAATCAGACGGCAGTAGCGCACCAGACGAAGATATAATTCAAACCTGGGTTCAACTCCTGTGCCGTTGCCCTGCGTCACTTCTACATCTCTGCATCGTGGTAGTTCGATGACCAAAGTGTCCGTTGACCTGTAGATACGTCCTGGTGCACGTGTCGAAGATGTCCTCCAGGGCTCCTAGACAGATTTGTGACTGTGCTTCCGAGTCCACGCCAACGTGAACACCTCTCATTAGGCGTTCCTGCTCGCACTGCGCCTGAACCTGGTTGACGATCAGTCCGGATGACCCTTGGACAAACCGAGACGCGGGTTGGGGCTGGACTCTTGGAAGGGTGCCCTCGGCATGTGCACCTGTAACTGCTGAAATTAGTAGTTTTCACGGACAAGCCAACCCCGCCAAGCTGACCTGCAAGACACGGGTGGGAGTGGTCAGGCGCGGAAGCGGGTTATCCTGCTGAGGACCTGCACGCGCTGCTTTGGCGGTAATGGCGACCATGCCGCTGTTGGCAGGCCTTCTTCTCTTCGTTGGGAACAACCTCGACAGCGGCTGTCACCTGCCCATTGAGGCCAGCTACGCGTATACCCTCGCGCAGACAGGAATGCCACACGGCTCAGTACGCAAACTGGCGAAGACGCGTAGAGGAGTGTATGTACCTTCGCGAGCTGTTGGATTCCTGTTGTAACGACTCAGTATGTATATTATAATCTAGTACATGAATGTATATTTTGCATTCATCTCGAACCGTAGAGAACTCGCTGGAACTTACGACGTTCGTCTAGTAGCTACAAGGCATCGCCTCGTACAGGCTGTGCCAGGCGCTAAGGCGATCCTTATACGAGTATATAAGGAAGAAGAGTTCTTGAGGTTCGACACGCTTTGCTGGCCAAAGTTCCTTCCCGTTTCCTTTCCTCTCACTCTCACTCTCTCCTCCTCTCGCACACCCTCTCGTGTTACTGCTAGTTACGTTAACTTAGCCAGTAATACAACCCGTTCTACCGAACTCAACCAGACAGACTGATCACCTGTCACGTGAGTGTACCTTGAGTGACCGAACCCCTCCCAGTAGCAAGTCCGGTAACCCGTCTTGTTACAATTTGGTGGACATTCAGTCTCCTCAAACCACACTCTTTCCCCCTTCCGACGTCGACTCCGCTGTCCCCGACAGTACCCTACTTGACGCTCTGTGCTCAAGTACCCAGGTGTACCCACTCACCCCGCGGCCGCCACACACCCCTCACGCTACCCTTTCAACAAACCTCTTCGACTTCCCCCTTTTTTCGCAACTGGCATGTCCTCCCTAGACTCTGCCTCCACTGCCCAAGGCCAGATCGCACCCTCACTCCGATCCGGCCCACACAGCACACGACCCCAGAACGCGCCACACGCATCCTCTCTCGGGTCCGACGACGAGCTCCCTGAGATGGTTGACGCATACACCCAAACTGACCAGCGGACGTCTGACGATTCAGTCACTCCCTCGTCGCTGGACGCCAACATCTCCTCGGTGAGTATTTCGTCCTCTGACCGCGCCGCACGGCTACCTTCGCCCGCCTTTGTGCACGACCAACGCCATCTTCCCGCGGACGCGTCGTTACGCGACACTCTACACCACTTGGTTGGTGGACAACGCCTCGCTTTGGAGACAACAAATGTCTTCAACGAGATAGCTACTGCGACTAAACGCGACATCGCGTACGTTTTTAAGAACACTCACGCCATCCTCTCACAACTGGAGTCCCTTGCTGACCAGGTGGCACAGCACCACTCGTCAATCGCCGAACACATTCAGCGCGCGCTCGACACCGAGACTCGCCACTCCGAAGAACTCGGGTCCGACCACCACGAGTTACGCTGCCGCCTGGACGACATACAGCATACCGTAGACGACCTACGGGACAACGGCAACTCTCGCTCGTCCCATCGACACACTACCTCGCACACGGGTGATGCGGCCGACGTATCAGCCACGAACCCCGCGACTGCGCGAGATACAGGGTGCATCTCGTCTTCGCCTCGGCCAGGCTATGCAGGGATGCAAGCCGATTTAGCGCAGGAGGCGCCGGGATGTCTCTGTAAGTGCAACTGTACTGAGAACACAGATGTCATCAGACGCGATATCTACAGGTTGTCAGACATCTGCGTCAACCTCCCAACACGGCCCACGATGGCCCAGGAGATCAGCGCATGCATGTCCGAGTTGCGTGATGACTTGACAGAAGCAGTTGCACTGGTACGTTCTGAACTACTATCAGCGATACAGCAATCCCACGTACAATCGCAGGTACCACAGACGCTGCGGACGCCGCACGTCTCGTTCGCATCGCCTCTTACTGCCGACTCACCACTATCCGCGCACACCCCGACTTACCAACAGCCACCCCACTTCCAGCAGTCTCGCCCACAACAGCCGCCGCCGCCTCCATCACCGCCACTTCCACAACCGACACGGCACGGGCCATCGGCACCGTTCCCGTCCTCGATCTCTGGCGCGTTAGCCGGTGGTATACCACTAGCAGCTCATGTACCGACATCAGGAATGCATACTACACCTCAGTCAATACCCTCGGGGTTTGAACCCTACTCGTATGCACCCACAGCACCGTACACAGCGTTATCAGGTGCGAGTAGCTCGCACACTGAGAAAAATAAGCTGAAACATAGTGATCTGCCGAAATTTTTCGGAAACGACGGCGACGACGTAGATGACTGGATTAGTCAGATCTCTAACATTGTACGATACACCGGCGTAGAGGACACCGTGATTCTGCGTTGTCTGCCTCTCATACTACGCGGTCCAGCGTTCAAGTGGTTCAATACCCTGTCACAACCCGACTTGGCGAACCTGATGAATTGGACGGACTGGCAAGCGATCTTACGTCGCGAATTCAGGAAGGCTAATTATGACGTCAATATGGCTGAACAGCTCCGCATGCGCCGGTGGCATAAGGGCGAAACATTTTCACAATACTTTACTGACCGGCGGAAATTGCAGAATGCCGTTCTAGGGGAATCTGCAAGCTCCCAGACTCTGATCAGCGACCTCCTGCTCGGCATACCGGCGAGTATGCACGCACTAATCAAAGCAGGCACGGGGTACAACGCTAACCCGACGATTGCTCTGGCCGATTTCAAACGGTACGTGATGGATATGGAATTGGGCCTTTTATCACAATATGGACAGTTCCGATCTAACCCTCCGAGTAACGCTCCTAGCTATGCCAATGGCTCGGCCTCTTCAGGTCCTTGGAGACCAAGGAACCAGCCTTCAAGAGGGGGTAACTACTCCCAGAACAATGCAAACAACGGGAATACAAACCAACCACGATGGCAGAATCGCGATCGCGACTGGTCCAATAACAATACCAGTACGTCTCAATCGAAAGGCACGAATCATAACCCTACCTCTGGGTATCGACCGTCTAACCCATCTGATAGTAACAGTCAGAGACCAACTCCTCGTACCGGGTTCAGCCAAAATACAACAAATTCGAATCAAAACCAGTGGAAGCGGAACACGCCAATAAACTCGAAACCGAACCAGAACTGGCGTGCGAAGACTAACACAGCGGAACCCAAGGAGTCTGATGGAAGAGACACTGAAGAACTGGCACTCACCGAAGACGAGCAACCAGAAGACGAAGCAGAAACATCATACGATCAGTATGATTCAGAGGAAGAAGGGGACGCTACGAGCCTTTCGGCAAATGCGTACCTAGTGGCCGATACAAACACCATCATGACTCGACGAATGGTTCGCGATGTCACGGATTCCTCAGCAGGTCAGTCGCTCAAGACTAGTATTCCTATACAAGGCACTACTCCCAAAAGGAGAGTCCTGAAGAAGAAGCCGCCGACAAAGCGCACCTTATCAGATCAGAAGAAGACGACTCATAAACAAACTCTTCCAGAAGTCGTAAGCGGAAATGAAGACACAGGGCCGGACGCTTCCGCGTTTATGAGTAAGACACCAGCTTTTATACAGGTTGCGATCGACGGGTCTAACTCTGACCGGGCTTTTCGGGCTCTGGTAGACACAGGATCGTCAATATCGCTGATTGATCGTTCGATACTCCAGAAGTTTCTACCGCAGGCAGTGAGACAACAATGCCCGCTTATAGAACTACATGGCGTTTCCGGTAACAGCTTTATCACTTCGTACGTCTCTCTCAATCTCACTTTTACGGATCTAAAGGGACAGAACCATATTCTCCCCACGAAGCTGTACATGAATCCTGCTCAGGACTCTCGAATCATACTAGGTAACGACTTTTTGGATTTCTACAATGCAGTCGTTAACCTGCAAAACCAGCAGCTGGCCCTCCGTGCTGAGGGCGGGAAGAATATAATTATTAGTATGGTCTGCCGTAAACAGCAAATAACGACGATGCGAGTTGCAGAGACGTTCACGGTGAGAGCGTTCCACTCTGCCCAGATCCCTGCCAGAATAATAGGACCGATCCCAGCACCGCTATACTACCTAGAACCAGAACCCTTGAAAGATGGATTCAAGGCAATCTCGGCAGCGAACAGTATAGGTAAGTCTTCTTCGCCTCAACATCATGTACAGGTTGTCAATATGGAGCCATTTCCGATGACGCTGTACATCGGAGATATCCTCGGCACTGTTCATCCGTTAGTAGACATCAGCAAGACGCCTCGAATGAGCGAGTCCAACACTGTCAGTATAGCTGATAAGAATGACCTACAGGAGTTTCGCCGAGCACTAACTGATATAGATCTGAACCCGAGCCTGACTCCCAAAGAGCGGGAACAGGTCCTCGCAGTCTTGACTCGGCATCGACACGCGTTCGCATACGGATCACGGAAGTTGGGCAACACTACAGTGGGTGAAGTTCGGCTTGAAACAGGTGACTCACCTCCAATCTCGACAGCTCCGTATCACGCATCTCCTAAAGGACGGCAGATCATCGAAGAAACTGTGGCCAAGCTTCTCGCGGATAATGTTATCGAAGAATCGGAGTCGCCTTGGGCGTCGAATGTCGTGCTCATTGCACAAAAGGACAAGGTCAGATTCTGCATCGACTTTCGAAAGCTGAATGCAGTAACGAAGCCAGATCAATATCCGCTTCCACGGATTGACGACTACCTTAATCAGTTCGAAGGTAAACGCTTCTTCTCCACTTTCGACGCTAACTCTGGCTTTCACCAGATAGGTATTCCCGACGAGGCGGATCGTGAGAAGACCGCGTTTCGCACTCATCAAGGTCTGTACCAATACAAACGGATGCCATTTGGCATACGGAACGGACCGTCGATCTTCCAACGGGCTATGGACAAAGTCTTAGGGAAGATTAAGTGGAAATTTGCTGTAGTTTATATCGATGACATAGTTGTTTATTCTGCCGATTTCGAGCATCACCTCAAGCATCTTGAGCAAGTACTGGACCGAATTCGAGCATCCGGTTTCACGCTTTCATTGACTAAATCTCATGTGTGCTACCAAGAAATACACGCCTTGGGACATCATGTCAGTCGCTTGGGCATCGGCATGAAGGAAGAAAATGTCCGTGCAATCCTTCAGTTTCCGGCCCCAAAAACGGTCAAGGACGTACAGATCTTCTTGGGCATGACTGGGTATTATCGGCGCTTCATTCGCGACTATGCTAAGATAGCACGTCCCCTGACAGCATTGCTGTCGAAGGAGACGCCATTCATATGGTCGGCGCTATGCCAAGAAGCTTTCGAGACGCTGCGTGGAAGGCTGGCAGAAGAGCCCATACTTGCCCATCCAAACTACGAGCAACCATTCCTGATATACACCGATGGATCCAAGATCGGCATTGGTGGTGTATTAGCTCAGATAGGAAAGGACGGCAAGGAGCACATGGTCGCCGCCATCTCTCGCCAGTTATCTGCAGCAGAGGAGGGTTACAGTGCGACTGAGCTGGAATGTCTGGCAGTGGTCTGGGCCTTACGAAAGTTTCATCCATACATAGATGGGACATCTGAGCTTAAAATCGTTACAGATCATATTGCATTGCAATGGATCTGGAATTACAAAGGGACCAATAGTCGTCTTAAACGATGGTCGCTCGAATTACTTCCATACCAACATTCCGCGAGAATTGAACATCGGCCAGGACGAACTCACTCGAACGTCGATGCACTTTCGCGTGCACCGATACCCGGCTCCGCACCACAAGCCGACGCGGAGATGTTAACTGCTACCACGATGTTACCAAAATCCGCCTTTCTGAAGGAAATACGAGACGGATATCTGCAGGATGAATACTTCGCACCAATATTGGAATTATTTGAGCAAGACAAACCACGGGCTCACCTTCAGCACTATGAAGTTGAGGATGGCCTACTGTTCCGTCGACACTCCTCCGGGAAGGGTCGCGTCCTATGCATTCCGCGACATAAGGACCTGCGACTCGATATTCTACATGACTTCCATGATGCCGAACTATCGGGCCATGCGGGTGCCGACAGAACACTGAATGCGGTTAGTCATACGTACTATTGGCCCCGACTCAGCAAGGACGTACGTTCTTACGTTCGTTCCTGTGAGTCCTGTCAGCTAAACAAATCATCGAATCAGAAGACCGCTGGGTTGCTACTGCCCCACATGATTGCGCCGGGCAGATGGCACACCGTCACTATGGACTTCGCAGGTCCATTTGCAGTAACATCTAATGGACTCGATATGATCATGATCGTGGTGGATAAACTGACAAAACATACTCACTTTATTCCAGTCAAGAGATCGGACACAGCCGAAGACACTGCACAGGCGTTTTTTCGCGAGGTCGTAAGGCTACATGGCTTACCTCAGGTGATAATATCCGACAGGGATTCAAAATTTACCTCACGATTTTGGCGCACGCTGTTCAAGCGTCTTGGCACGAAACTTGCCATGTCTACTGCGAATCATCCTCAAACAGACGGCCAGTCTGAACGCATGGTGCGTGTGTTGAAGGATATGCTTCGTCACTATATCAAGTATGACCAGAAGAATTGGATTGACTTACTGCCCGTTTTGGAGATCGCCTACAACCGGGGTGTAAACGCCTCGACTGGGTTCAGTCCGTTTGAATTGGACTACGGATTTGCGCCGCGTTTTCTCCATAATATCACCGACAACGATGGTGACCATTTGCCCGCGGTTGACGACTTCCTTGAGCATGTTCATGCTCAGGTTCGATCTGCAGAAGACGCAATCAGCAGGGCCCAAGAGAATCAAGCAAACATTTTAACTCTCAGCGTCGTGAGATCATATTCGAGGTCGGCGAGTTGGTCAAGCTTTCAACAAAACATTTGAACCCTCCATGGCAGAAGAAGCGCAAAACACGTAAGTTACTGCCAAAATGGATTGGCCCGTTTCGTGTCAAGGAGAAGCTGAACAACAATTCCTATATACTGGACCTACCACCGCAGTTTGATATACACGACGCTATAAATGCTGAATATCTTGAGAAATATGTGGACTCGCCGGACGAGTTTTCGAAACGCAAGCGAACCATACCACCACCAATCGTGGTGGACGGCGAGGATAATCACTACGAAATTGATCAGATAGTTGACTATGATCGACGCACCGACCGTCGGACAGGAAACGATGTTCACTGGTATCTGGTGAATTTCGTGGGGATGCCGGAACACGAGCGGGAATGGTTGACTCGCGATGAGTTGCTCGTCGGGGCATCTCGTTTGGTCCGACAATACGAGACGAAGCATCAACTCACAATTTAGTGCGTTCATTTCCGAAGGAAGCACAAGGGAGCTCCACACAGACTTGTAAGAAGACGGAGATGAATATTGAAACCGACTCACTGCGCTAAATCATTACTGGCAAGCAGATTCCAATGTCAAGGAACAAGGTACTGCTCGTCTTGCAGACACAGTTTACCAGTCACGTCTATTGAATTTCAGTCGTCACGCACATGCGAGATATAAAGACGCGAGGGAACTCACTGCAATCCCCACTCCTGGTCTCACCAGAAGTTTGCCGTTCGCTCCTCCCCTTTCGCTCTTCGCTCTTCGCTCCTCTCCCCTTTGCTCTTTGCCAACCTACACTTTTCGTCTCCTCTTCACTTCCCTTCCTCTTCGACATGGCTACGCCTCTTCTCGACAACCTCGTTCTGGCCATCAACTCGGCCGCGTCGTCTGCTAGTCCGTCCGCCGTGCCTACGATCCCTAGCGCGACTTCAGTACGAGACGACGTCGTTAACGAAGTTCGTTCACCTTTCACTCGCCCCAACTCGCCCGCCCCTTCCTTAATGTCGTTCTCTTCGATGCCGCCTCTTGTGTCGTTACCCGAGTCCGACAGCGAGCCTGGCGAGGTCGATGAAGATACCCCACTGCTCTTGAAGCCGGAACGCGTCGCAGGCGACGCGTCTGTCAGGCCGACGGGACACAGTGAGTTGACCTGATGGTACAACGAGAATCATGGTGCTCACTCTTTTCGTCCCAGTGCTTGACGCGTCGGACACCACTTCGGTCTTGACCTCGTCGGACGGACAGGCCAACCTGGCCGATCGCTCCGCCTCCGCGTCTCTGCAGGCACGCGACGGGAGCGACGCTGATGTCCCCATGGACGGTGACGTTGTCCTAGCGGCGCGGCGGAGCACACCACCGCCGTCGTACGCCGCGGTCTTGCGTCAAGAGTTCCTGCGAGCCAGTCGACCTATCGGACGTACGGAGCGCGCTGTCAACCATCCGTCTTCCACGATCGCCTCGGGACAGCCAAGAGTCTCGATCGCCGATCGTCCATGGCGCCTACGCACCCCGATATTGAACGCCTTCTCCCTTTCGCCGCAGAACCTCCACGACATCCTCTACTTCCTCTCCCTTAACCAGCTCGGCGTCGCACGCGCCCTCGAGGAGATCAAGCCATATGAGCTCAGCTCGCTCAAGGCCGGTCTTACCGCTCTGCATGATCAATTCCTCTTTGGACGCCGCTCCGCTCCCGTTCCGCCTCGACTCGCGATCAACTGGGTTCACAAGCACGTTGTTCACCGGCACGGTATCGATTACTGTGTCAACAACAACCGCGAATGGCTCCGCGACGTCGACATCCCGCTTTACGCCAACGGGTTACGCGCAGTTGAGCGTTACTGGCATGGCAGCGCCCGTCGAGGACGCCCCTACCTCTTCGTGCACCAGATCGACGAGTTGCGCGTCTGTGCTCCGCAATACCACGGGAATGCGGGCGCGTTTCTCGATCACATCAAGAAGGTGGACGGAGAAAGGATAGGGTCCCGTCAGTGAGGATTGAACTGATTGTTTGAATACTGTGCATCTTAGTTATGCCTCACGTTCTTTACGCGTCATGATACACTGATATCTCGTTACCTGCTTTCCCTCGACTCGGAGACCTCGCTTTCTTTGTGAGGGGGGTAATTGTAACGACTCAGTATGTATATTATAATCTAGTACATGAATGTATATTTTGCATTCATCTCGAACCGTAGAGAACTCGCTGGAACTTACGACGTTCGTCTAGTAGCTACAAGGCATCGCCTCGTACAGGCTGTGCCAGGCGCTAAGGCGATCCTTATACGAGTATATAAGGAAGAAGAGTTCTTGAGGTTCGACACGCTTTGCTGGCCAAAGTTCCTTCCCGTTTCCTTTCCTCTCACTCTCACTCTCTCCTCCTCTCGCACACCCTCTCGTGTTACTGCTAGTTACGTTAACTTAGCCAGTAATACAACCCGTTCTACCGAACTCAACCAGACAGACTGATCACCTGTCACGTGAGTGTACCTTGAGTGACCGAACCCCTCCCAGTAGCAAGTCCGGTAACCCGTCTTGTTACACCTGTGCACTTGAAACGCGGAGGGTGTTCTAGGTCAGTAGGTGGGTGTTCAGTGTGGAACAAAACGCGCTACAGACTAAGGCTCGACTCGGATAGGGGGTCGGGTCTTGGTATCCCGCAGACGGAGGAGCAGTGCGGCACAGGCGGTAACATGGTACGGGTGGTCAGGAAGTCGGATGCAGGGATGGGGAGCGAGAGATGAACGGGGACGCACGCCTTCTATACGTTCCGCGAACAAACAGCTACTGCAGCCCATAACGCACGGTCCAATCTGTTTGACTGCTCGCCTGGACGCAGAGAGTGGCGTACAGAGGCCTGAGCGATGTCACCACGGATTTGATAACCGAACACAGGCGCTGATCTCATGGCCCGACGTGTGGCTGTCGAGATGTTGGTCGAGCGGATCCGTCGGCGGGACGCCTGGCAAGCACTCATCGACGTCGACCGCTTCGTCTGAAGATTGCGATCTGATAGTAACCCAAATTCGAATTAGAAAGGCGGATACGAGTCGAAGACTCAGACTGTCCTCACCGATAGCATACACCTACATCTTATCACGGACGAGTGATCAAACGACTGACCAAGCACGCACGTCTAAAGACTAAAGGATAACTTGCAGCTCTGAAGAGCCTAGAGCGGCAAGCCCGTTCGAGGGATGAAAAGCATATCACTTAATACTGAACATACGAAGCCATCAATCATACAGCAGTACAATTACACAGCAAAGACATATCAAGCATCGGTTCGGCAGCAGCGCAATGGCCAGGAGGCGTGAAAGGACAAAAAATATAGGTTTATTGCGCGCCCTCCGCCTTCTTCTGCTTGCCCGCGGTGAGACTCTTGTGGATGAACGGCAGGACACCTGAGATGAAAGGGTGAGTGGCGATAAGTAGCCATAGGTAGAAAGGGCGACTGACCTCCGCCTGCGATGGTCGCGCGAACGAGGGTGTCAAGTTCTTCGTCGCCACGGATGGCAAGCTGGAGGTGGCGCGGGGTTATACGCTTCACGCGCAGGTCCTTGGATGCGTTCCCTGTGCGGTAAATAGGGGAATACATGAGTCATCGTGTATCGCAGCACCGACCAGGAGGCCGCGCACGGCCTCTGCCATAGTTTTACACGCACCTGCGAGTTCCAAAACCTCCGCCGTCAGGTACTCCAGGATTGCAGACGTATACACAGCCGCCTTCGCCCCTATACGCACGTTGTGCTGCGTCCGCTGCTTCAGGTAACGATGTATACGGCCAACAGGGAACTACACAAATCGTCAGGCCCATGTCAGTCCCAATGTCGTCGTCTATGGGACCCGTTCACTCGATGGACTTGTACGAACCTGCAATCCAGCTTTTTGACTACGCGTGTGCAGCACCCTCTGCTGCGTCCCTGGGGCCGCCTCCCCTCCAGCAGCCGACGCAGGCGCAGCTGCCTTCGAATTTCCTCCTGCGGACTTGGGCTTCTTCGGGGACGGCATGTCGCTCGAAAACGCGATTATACGCTAGCTAAAGATAAAACACTCGGACGCGTCGGGAGTGGGAGGCGCTGTACGGCAAGCGCGCGGATGGGCGAGCGGCGATACGAGGTTGGGCACGGCGAGCGTGCGCGGGTGAGTGCGGTCGGTGGCGCGGATACGGAAAGGCAAGGATCGCGCAGTGTGGCGAGTCAGGGGAGATGGTGGTCGCAAAGAAAGGAGGCGGCGCGCATTCAACGCGAAAGCACGACCACGATCACGTGCGAGGCGTTATTTGCGCGGACCAAACATCAGGGTGGCTGAAGCTTTCCTGACAGCTGCCTGCCAGCTTCCAACCCAATCGTAGAGGTATCTGCAACCAGTAACGCCAGGCACTGCGGGGGCGGGCGGGGATGTTTGCTGATGTGACAAGATTTGGTGAGTGTCATTTCTTGCGAAGACAGACAACGGACCAGGGCGTCGTGACGCAGACGGGGCCCACAACTTTTTGAGCCTTTCGAGTTCGAGTTCGTGACCGCTGATGCATGATGTACCACATACTCACTCACATTGCCTTTCCTCTGTTCTACATGACGCAAGCACCGGATGTGTTGTCGCAGAATACAAAATGTGGTATACAAATTAATTATACAGTGTACGTGAGTCCGCCGTCCATGCTACAATTCCAGAGATGTTGACTTCAATCGTGGGGAGCACGAGTTTCTCCCGTAACTGCACCCTTGCCGCCTGCCTCGCGGAGCTCTCCCTTCTCATGCAAGTCAGCGTTCTTCATGGCCTTTCCGGCAACCTGTACCAACCATTAATCTGGTTACTGACGTACGCGACGTCGAACTTACCTTCTGGGTCTTGCCCACCAGCTTATCGGTGAACTTGGCCTTGCCCTCAGGGACATCACTGTGTCCGTCGACTGCAACTCCGCCTACAAGACGGATGAACATATGCACGGCTACACGGAAGGGCGACACGTACCCTCCGATGTCGGCTGCACGTTCATGGGCCTGTCTTCGGTGTATGCGTTATGGCCCGACTCAACGCCGGGCGACGCAGCAGACTGATGCTGAGCACCGCCCATGACGGCGCGGTCGTCGGTGCCTGCGCCGAACTGGCGCTGGTTGTTGTCTTGCCAGACACGGTCGTTGTTCGTTACGTCTGCGTCGTAGTTGGCCGCAGGTGCGGCGCCGCGGGCACCGGGGAGGGTTTCTGAGTCACGGTGGATGTGGTGCTCCGGCGGGCGTTGGGTGGCGTAGGCAGACATGGTGGATAATTCGTCAGTGGGATGTGGGATGTATGCGCTGGTCGTGACGGTGTCGTTCCGAGGATTGGTGAGGGCAGGGCGGTAAGCCCGACCCATTCTTATAGCTGAGCGAGCGCCCGCCGAGTACACAGTTCGGTTGCGAGGACGTGTGGTGCAGCGGTGCGGAGGAGCGGGGAGTGCACCACGCCGCCCCAGCGGAGCTAGCAAATGACGATGCCTACGTCACTCACAAAAAGGGAAGGTCATTTACCATTCCATCAAGGGAAGTAGAATTGGCGCACCTGTCAAGCTCAACATGAGCGCGAGCGGAGTGATTTTTCTCCTCTTTGGATGTCGCTGAGGACAGTACTATAACTTACGTAATTACATACATATGTACCATCCCTGGCCTCGAAGCCTCTTCCGCCGACGCCGTCGTAGTTGTCGCGTGGCATGCTGTCCATCCACCGAGTGTACAACAGCTCAACCACCGATACCATAATCCTACTCCGCGTTAGTAGACCCCCTCCGACTGTCCTTCCTGACTTTATCATCGCCCTCTCCGCCAGATGTTGCCACCAAGCAGCTCGTCTCGTGAATGTATCAAGAAAAGGGCTGCATAGTGTTCAGTGAGCTGAGCAGGTCCTTCAACGACCGCGCTGAAGGATCCGGGGGGCCTCAAAGACGCAGAACTCCTGCGCATACGTTTCTTGTATGGTACTAAGTTAAGTATATGGTAAAACGGATATACCAGTGTACAAGCGCTCCCTGACGACGACAACTGTATCTCACTCACGCGCATATGACGTAGGAAGAGTTGGGCACACTCACAGTCGTAGTAGTGCCAGTCGGCCTTGTCGGGCTGCATAAATCAACAGCATGGCGAGAGCAGACTTGCAGAGGTGGTGTCGGCATCCCGTTCCAACCAACTCCAGGGAAGAAAAGCAAAGCGATACAACCGTTATACGTACATCCACCGTGACGCACACTTCTGATACAAAGCCCGACTCTAGAACAAACCCAACAGATCCTCCTGCCCCGACTGCTGCGTCGGCGGAGACGCCGCCTGCAACACCGACGGCGTCTGCGGCGGCATCGGCGACATCGCACCCCCGCCGAACCCGAACCCTCCGAGCGGCGCTGCGCTCTGCGGCTGCGCCGTGGGCACGCTGAGGCTCGCGCTCCCGAATATCGACACGAGGTCGTCGAGCGGGTTGCTCGACGTGCCCGCCAGCAGGTTCGCCGCGGCCGGTGTCGACGTGAGCATTGTCGTCGCGGCGAGACCCGACGGTTGCTGCCCGTCATCGGCGCCGTCCGCGTCGAAGTCGAGCAGGTTCTCGGCTTGCTGGCCGATCGCCACGGTTTGGAGCGCTTTTTGTGCCGCGGCGCGATCGTCGGCGAGGCTGTCACTGGTGTCAGTCATTTGGTGAGTAAGGAGCTACGGGACGAAACGCACTCGGCCCCTTTGCGCTGTACAGTATCGATGCCGATACGCCCCGCCCGACGAAGGTCTCTTCCGGTTTGTGGTACACGCTCGCAAGGCTGGATACTTCGCCCAGGAGCTCTTCCAGAAGTTGCGGGGAGACTGTCGTCCTTGGCAGTGAGATCGGAGGTCGATGTGCGAGGACCACGGCCTGAATACCAAGGATCAGCCACGGGATGTTAGTTCTGACGGAGCAGCATGGGCACCTTCGCTGCACCCGGGTCTGTCGACAATAGTCGCCAGTAGATGTATGCGCGATCACGGACGTCCGGCGAATCGCAGTCTTTCGTAGCAGTGTTCAACACTCGCTGGACGAGCCCCTGCGACCCGTCCGGCTTCTGCAGGAAGAGTTTGACGACTGCTGTCAGTGTCTGCAGTTGTACCTAAAGGGGATACAGTCAGCGAAGCATGGAGGCGAAGGTGCAAACAAAAGCGAACCGGGTATGACTCTTCTGTGAACGTGTCTACGAAGATGCCGAGGAGCTCGTCTGCGTTGTCGATCTTCTTAGCATACTCGCCGATAATCCAGATGAGAGACGCCTTTGCATCTGGTTCGTCAAGCTCGTCCAGGTTTGCACAAAGGGTGGGGATCACACCCTCATACGTCGAGGGGTATTTTCGGAAGATGTCCTGTGCATGGGGAGTAAGACTTTCGTATGACGCGCCGGTCTATGGGATCACCTTCATGACGACAACACCCTCCTGTACCACATAGCTGACGCGTGTGCCGATGAGCTCCAGTAACACGTTCACACACCGCTCTGCCGCAGCGTCGATCTTGATCGCGGTCTGGCCGATGGCCTTGATGCTCCTCCGCACGAAGTCGACGTCGACTTCCGAAGCGTACCTGTACGAAAGTAAACGGCCTACTCTGTACGATACCTGGACCTCACTCACTCCTTCAGCTCGCTGAGAAGCGCATCCACGTTGCTGTCGCCAGCGAGGCGGACCATAATATCGAGCTTCTCGACCTTGACGTAGAGCGGGTCGTTGTACTTGCAGAAGAACACGCGCATCTCGTTCTGCAGCAGGTCGGGCCGCTTCTGCAGCAGGAGGTTGATGTTGCGGAGCGCAACCCACTGCACCTCGGGCGGGTTGGAGAGCAACGTCACGAGTGGCGGGGCCATTTTACGGATCATCTGCTTGTTGACGTTCTCTGACTTTACGCCGCGCATGTGGATCATGATGACCTGGAGGAATGCGTTGAGTGCAGTTCGAGTGCAGCGTAAGAGTCCCGCACCTTGACGGCTGCGAGAACGACACTCGCGTTCGCATGTTGGAACTGCGGCACGACACGCTCACAGATGTGCTCGCTTTCTCGGTCGTCTGCGGTCTCGTAGCGGGCAAGTGCGTTCAGGATTTCCACCCGGCCCCATTCCGAGCACTCGTTCAAGGCAACCAGGAGCCGGTTGAGGATGGTGGAGCTGATGTGGAAGGTGTCGCTTGACGAACCGGCCTGGATCGCGGCTGCGTGGATGTCCGACAATGACGCGACAGTATTCGCGACGACCTGATCACGTTGAGTTCTCTTGAGCTGGGAGAAGCACAGGCGCACGCACCATGGGGTTGCTGTCCGCGATCATGTCCTGCAGCGTCTCCAGAAACCCATTTTGAATGACCAGCTCCGGCTTGAGGTCGTATAGCTTCGCGACACAGAGTGCGGCCGTCTTGCGCACGTACGGGTTATCGTCGCGCAGACACTTCGTGAGTGGGTCGCAGATGTAGTCCAGGATCTTCTCCGCGCGCAGCATGCCCATCGTCCGGATGGCGAGGGCGCGTACGAGCGGGTTCGAGTCGTCGGTGTCCTTGACGAAGGTGTTCACGGCGAGGATGACGAGTTCCGGTTGCGTCTTCGCGTAGTTCATCAGGTAGAGGTACACGAGCTTCTTCTGCTCGAGATCATCGGTCTGCATGTTCTTCAGGACGTCCGGGAAGAGGCCGCTGACGTCTACGCGCGCACGGCTTCAGTCGGACAGCATCAGTGCGGACAGGCAGCACGTACCCTTCTGCACGGTCATGTTAGCAATGACCTTCTTGATGGCATCTTTCCGCTTCTCCTTGTACTCACTGTTGAGGTCGGCGCTGAGCTCGTAGTTCTCGCCCTTGCGAGGAGGGCCGCGGAAGCCAGACATGAGACCAGACGGAGAGTGCTAGTACCAGAGCAGTTGCTCAGAGCTTGGAAAGAGAGGACCGATGTGCGGGGCCGGTTCCCGCAGAGCTTGGGTATGGTCGCTGACGCTGTCTGTAGCCTGTTGGTGAACGTCCGAGTCGATGGCCGTACCGCTTCTGGACTCACGGGCGCTAACTGAGTGTGGACCTCTGTAACTCAAAGTTACGAACTCTATCCTCGGCCGTTGCTTTCCGTCCACTCTGGTCTCAGATTTTTCCACATCTCCATACGGTGAGTGATTTTCACTATCAACCACCTAGATGCGTTCACACATCTGCTTGTGTCCGGACAGACGAGGTGAGCGTAGCTCAGACTAAATTCAACTCTAAGCCACCTATACATATGTACTGGTGCACTTTCGAAGCCACAAGAGCGTATGACAACGACGCACATTATGTACCAGAAACATATCCACTGGCCGTAATGCTCAGATCACCCTTTAGGTCCGGGAATACGTACGTCCTCTGCCTTCCTACCCTGACCTTGTCAGGGCTCTCCTCCAATGCCGCAATCCTTTCCCTCCAAGCAGCCAAGCGTTCTCGCCACGAAACCAGGTTGCCTGGCCTGATCATCGCCATACCGTCGAGACCTTGGCACATCACGATAGCCCACCACAAATCCTGCCTCCACTCCTCATCGAAGTCTCCCCCGACCGCCGCGCGCACTTCGGACCAGGAAGGGTTCCACCTCGTGCTATTGAGGAGGTGTCCAAGCCCAACCTGATTCCCGTGCTCAGTGAATCCTATAGGATTGCCAGCTTCTCTACTCCCGAAGGGAGCATAAACACCGACAGCCTCGACAGCCCTGCGCGGGTCGATGCTCCCGTCCGGAAGTTTCATGTCACCGGCATATTTTTGGCACTTGTAGCACACCCAGTCTGGGATGCAGTACTTGACGAACTCGAGGCGCGTATTGACGTTCATCGCCTCGGGCACCGCGCCAGTTTCTAGGTACGCGTCGAATGCGGGTGCGAAGAGCTCGCCGTAGGTGGCGAGGTGGAAGAAGGACTCGGGTGGGTCCACGTCGACCGTGTATGCATCGTCGACGCCGCCGTTCCAGAAGTTGGGCGTGGCATACCACTGCGCGCCGACACACCTGTCGATGAGGTCTACGATGGGGTTGATCGTCGAGAAGCGCATCTCGTATAACTCGCGGATGCGCTCCATCGTCAAGCCCGCGTGCTCGAGCGCGAGATCTAAGACGCCTCTCATCCCGCTGCGGACGGCAACGCGAAGCTGGTTGGCATTGGCAGGGGTTAGGGATGCCCATGCCCCGACTTGACGTGCGGTCGCGGCGACCAGGAAGTGAGGGTCCGGGCGGAAGAATGTCCTCGACGCGGCGGCCGCAAGGTGGAGGATGGTTCGAGGTGAGGTGTGTAGGGACAATTCATGAAGAAGACGACACGTCGCGGCTAGGCTGATGAAATCTTCTATGTCACGAAGGTAGCAGGGGAGAGACAGCAGGATGTCTTCCGGGAGTGATAGTAGAGCTGCGGGCGGGGAAGGACCAGCGGTTCCAGCCATGGGTGTCGTCTACTAATGAATGCGCGGGCAGGTGCACACACTTAGCAACAACCAGCTGAAGGCCCGAACCCGGTGGACGCACCAGCAACTATCCTGTGTGATGCAGATTCAACCTGTAGGTGCGCTGTAAGTAACGTACCGAGATACGGCTGTTGTGGTTTGGGCGTATTGCCACTTAGGCGCTGGTCACTGGGTCCGGTCACGGTTCGTTATATCGTTCTGTCATCAATCGATCTTGCTACTCAGGATCCCTTTCAGCAGCGACGCTCGCTCATCGTCGAGTACCTAGGGCCATGCCTTCATACGCAACCCGATCTCCTAGCAAGAGGGGCAAGGTCGGTACGCCCGTGTCTGCGCCGCGGGCAACTTGGTCTCAGGGAGCTCGATCGTCCCCGAAGAGCGCTCCGAAGGTGATAACGAAGGCATACACTCGAGCCGTGAGCGCGACGCCAGTCAACTCGGACTCGGAGGTACATGACCGTGCTGGCGCCGCCGGATTGACCCCAGATGAGGAAACGCTCTTGGCGCTATTGCTCAAGAAGCGTTCGACGGAGCAGGCGGTGCGGGGCAAGTACATTTCGTGTTAGTGCAGAGATATTATACTTAACCGGGATTTCAGCCGAGCGTAAAAGGACGGCCCCGTCGACTGTTGCGACGGATGAAGGGGACCAGCCGTTGCGCAAGAAAGCGAAGAATGTCTACGACGCAGAGTCCAGCACAGAGGAAGGGGAAGATGATGCGCGCGTCGACAGAGAGCTGCAGTTGAGCGATGATGATACGCAGAGTGATGCTTCGGACAAGTGGTACGACAACAATGACACCAGTAGCGACAATTCGGACGACGTCGTGGTGAGTTCCTTTACCTGAAACGTCAGACTGTTGTTAAGTATAGGTGTCCAGGTTCCTGGACTGCGCACGAAGGGGATCGGGTTTTACTCGAGGATCAGTCGCATCAATGCTACCGAGCTGCCTGCAGATCTCAAGCCCCTTGTGACCGCGGCGCGGCATCACTTACTCCTCCGGCTTGCATTTCAGACCGCTTGGATCTCTGACGGAAGAGTGGTCAGCTCGCGGCTATCCAGTAATCGTGATCTTGTGGCTTCTGCACTCAAGGACACTGGTAATACACTTGGCAAGGATGACAAGATCAAGAAGGGGTATCATATGTTACAGCGAGGCAAGCCAAGTGACAGGCAGGAACTTCAGATGAAGGTGAATGGATTGGTGAGTGGGCAACCTTTTTTCGAGTGTTTTGCTGTATGATTGTCCACAGATTTGGTCAGCATCTGTACATATGCACAACGACATCAAGAATAAGGCCCAGAAGGTGGTGCGACAGCTCTATGGCCTTACTGCTTTGTCTGTCCAGCGACAGAAGCTTGCAGCCCAATGGCTTCTCAGGACTCACTTCATCAAGGGCCAGGGCTGTAAATATGAAGTTCCCAAGTTTGTCTTTGGTGAAATCAATATGGTCTGGTACAAGGAGACACTGGATACTAAAGTTAGCATTGAATCACTGTGCTGACTTGCATATTTATTGGAACCTTTCTTAGAACAGCCATGTCAAGCTGGAGCTACCATTCAGACACCCAGCCATTCCAGCTATCATCCAGAGGCTGATCCAGAGGTGTGCCTGTGATTTGGGGCAGTGGAGCAAGGTTCCAGATAACTTGATTTCCTTTGCCTGTAATGCTGTCAGTTTCATTGTCTATCATTCAGGCACAAATGCTTACAACATTAATGCTGACTATAGATTGAAGTAGTCCTGATGGAGATAGCCATTGGCCGTCGGGTCCCATTTGCAAACACACGATTTGTACCCAAGTGAGTTCTAGTCTACTTAGAGTTAATAATCTAGTGAATTGCTGGAACATCTACAGATGGGACAACCTGATGTCAACACTGAATGCAACAAATAACAATGCCCCTGAATATTATAAGGACACAAAGAACTTCCTGTGGAATTCCATCAGGCAAGGGCTCTGCCTTTCATGTATATTGGTGCTTTAGTGACCCTGCATAGTGTTGATATCAGAGGTCATTCAGAAGGGTCATCTGATACTGCAGATGTCATATTTTGGTCCAAGCTGAAATAGACTGCTAGGAAAAGACCAGGTACTGAACCTTTGACTTATCATAGAAAGAAGTGGCATGGATTAACAATTTTTGACCTCAGGCCAGTCTGCTCTAGGTGTGCTCACAGTCTATACAAGTCTACTGTGTTGCTTAGTGTTGTGTGCTGCAGCCACCCGTTGACCAAAGCATCTTGGCGAACAATGGCACACATGAACAGCACCATTCACAGTGCAGACTCCAATATGCAATCTCTTCTCGTAGTCAGTCGTGTCTTGCGAAGATACTCATATGATGTACACGTAGCCATAAATTTCAACTCCAGCACTCCTCAATTAGCCTGCCTTCCCTCTCCAACAGAGCAATGAACTCATGTGCCTCTTCTTCCGTCTTCGCCGCTTCAGTCTCGCCGCTTCGCGGATCGCCTGCCGCACGCCAGCGGGCATCTTGTTCGCAGAGCTGTGACGATTGCTCAGATGACCATACATTCGAAAATGTGTATTTTACTCACCCCGAGATTAGCAGCCAGCCGCCCTCTACGCCGAGCAGCCTCCATATACTCCGCGAGTCCTCGCGCATGACGTCCTGCACATACCTTCGCGGTGTGCCTTCTGGGACATCCTGCGAGAACGCCGTGCGGTATGTCAGAGAGCCGCTCTCTTCGTATGCGTGCCATTCGGCCGCGTAGTGCTGGTCCTTCGACTCGCAACGGCACCCGAAGTACAAGGTGTTGTCTGAAGTAAACCAACCGTCAAATTACTTTCCATGCATGCATAGAGAAAAGTACGCACTGTAGAACCGTCATACGTTCTGTCTTCAATAATCGAACGCATGGGCGCAACACCTGTACCAGGTCCGACGCAGACGATGGGTGTCGCACCGTCTTGAGGTAGGCTGAATAGGCCTTTCATGAGGCCGATAGGCAACTTATCGCCTAGGTAGATGTGTCAATCATTTACTCGAAGGATACAACGTACGCGAGCTCGCTTACCTGGCTGCAACCGCGACATGTAATCAGTGCAGAGCCCCAGCCGAGGTATTCGGAGCATAGTTTTGTATGAACAATCGCTACGCAGAGATCGACTTGCCGCGGATGACGCTATTGAGTATCCGTATAAGAGAACGAGAACGCTTGACATGAAACAGTGCGTACCTTAACTGAGCTCGCAATGGAGAACTGTCGAGGTCGTATAGGGGAATAGGTCGAATATGTATTCACGAGGGATGTCTGCGGATCGAAACTCCTCCAGGACTTCGCGGATCATCCTTCGCGGTCTTTGACAATATTCGTACAGTTCGTCCTGTGGGCCCGGATGAGGCGCCCCATTCCAATCGAAGACCACAATAACTGTAACAGACATACCGCGCCTTCCTCGCTGAGGAATTCATCTAGCCTCTCGGCTTCAAGCTCATCGGACACAAACTGTCTAAGCAATGCGAAGAATGATCTACGGGGAACAGCGCTGATATCTAGATGTTTCGTGAACAGCGTCCTGAGAGTGGTCGTAGGCGGGAGGAACTGAGGTAACGATTGGTCTGGTCAAATTCGTCAGTCAGGACATTGCCCACACGTGTGTTAGGCGACTGAGTCACCTGAAGTATATGCGTGATAGTGATGGGGTCGTCAGCTGTGCTATCAAATCCGACAGACACAAGGAGGCGTCTACGTCTGCAGGCTGAGCTTCTGGGTGGACGACTGCTACGTCGCCTGGTTCATATCTCGATGCAATATATCAGTCATGCCCGTGGAACGTCGATACGTACTACATACCGGATGTCTTGATCGAAGTTGAGCTCAAAATGCCGGACGTCCTGATACCAGTCTTCAGCTGTTATGCGGCGATTGCAGGAGACAGTCGCAGTGTAGTGCTGAGGATCGTCATCGAGAGGATTTGGACATGCAGTCAGCGTCTGTGCACCAGCGTCTGTGATCGACACTCGGGCGGGAGGTAGACCATCCGCGGATTGCACTTTCACGCTAGGTGGCAAGGGGTATAACTCTAGGATTGCTTCGCTCAGTTTGTGAAGCCACGGCTCGAATGCCCCGTCTATCCTGAGCAGGCACGTCAGTGACCAACATACCCGTCTTCACGAGCGACAAGGACGAACCCGAGATGATGTTGGTCGTCGCCCTCACCACGTGCGCATATTTCTCCCGCTCCGAGGCCTACGAGCCTTCGAGACAGCAACTTCGCAGGCCAGCAGAACTTCTCGTACGCAGAATCGCCGAGGCCAAATACGGCAAATGAGAGGTCTTCGAAGAGATCTCGTGGCAGATCTGAGCGCAGAAGCAAGTTCCATAGGGGCGTGAGGGCCCTCGGCTCACGACCTGACCCGGTCGTTGCAACGGAGAAGAGGACGAGGTCCTCAGAGATGAGGTTGTCCTGATTTTTTGTTGCCGTCTTAGCAAGGCGAATTTGAATGATCTAACACGTTAACGCACCGGTGTGTATGTCTCCAGGTTATGCACCCGAGCTCGTACGTGGATGCGACGACACTGCGCAGCAATTCTGTCCGCAACTGTCCCTGTCTCCGTGGCATAGAGAACGGTCACCGAGCGTTCATGCCCGTCCTCAGCGACGGGCGCGGGCGAAGAAGACATTGCTGACCAGATGCGGCCCATCTCTGTCAGGGAAGTTATCTGATAATTCTCGCTTACTTCGGGGTTTTATCTTATCTTGAACAGGATCACGTGCTAAGTAGATCGCGCCTCCAACCTGCACGGTCCCCGCGTTGGGAGCCTTGAGGCTTGGAAGCCCTTGCCCTCTCGCCAACCATCATCCGCCTGTCTGTCGTGGGGACAAATGCGTTAGAAATGATTTGGCCATGGACCGTGCGGCAGGAGGCTCCTTCTCGCAACAAGCCTGAAACAAAGCCGCCTGAAATTGACAACCTCGACGATGTAGCTGCTGTGATCCGGGAGCTGAAGGCGAGGACACTCTCCCTTCCCGTCGATATACTCCTGCTCTCGGCATTTGTCGCAGGCTCAGCTACCGCAGCTGGAAGTATAGGCATATATAGACGGTATTGGCGACGGCTACCTAGTGCAGACTGGATTACTCCGGACATTCTAGCGAAGGGGCGTTGGGTCAAGGGATACGTGACCAGGTCAGCATCGAGGCTTCGTCCCGTGCATTATCCACCCCTGCAAACCTTACTCACCGCAGAAATGGCTCAGCGTAGGCGATGCGGACAACTTCCGCCTGTATCATACGCCAGGTATTGGCTGGCGATGGCCGCTGAAGTTCAGGGCCGTACCATCAACACGAATAGGTGAGATAGAGCGTATTCACTCCCTGGAGTTCTGGATGTAACGATATAAGGCAGATCTCAAAGACCGGACGATACATATACGGTTAGCGGGGATTGACGCTCCCGAGGTGCGCTATCAATTGTAACTTTCCCGTGTCTAGGTGCTCGGAGTGACAAGAAGCACAGGCCGCACACTTCGGCAAACCAGCCCAAGAATTCGCGCAAGAAAGTCTTGCTTGGCTCAAGACTTACATTGAAGGACGCATGGTGTACTGCCAGCTATGCCGGAAAGACCAGTATGGGCGCATCGTCAGTTCACTCGGTCAGGGATGGACCAGAAACTGACCTCGGAACATCTCATACCGCAGGTAGCACACGTGCATTGGAAGCCGCGCATCCTCCCGGGTTCACTCGCTACAGGAAGTCAGTGCAGCTGGAAATGCTGCAACAAGGCTGGCCGAAGTGTACGAGCAGTGGGGCGCAGAGCATGGGAATTTGGGTATTGATGAATTCCTGCGAGCTCAGGGCGAAGCTCAGTAAGTCGCTCACGTCGTCGACCTTGAGACGCGTTCTGACACCGATCGCAGGGTCAAGCGGCGTGGTATCTGGAAGCACGGCCTCGTGCGCGAGTCGGCCGCTGAATACAAAAGGCGACATGCTTCCGGCGACACAGATTCGGTGCTCGTCAAAACAAAGAGCAAGGATCAAACAGAAGGGGCCACAGGGGGTGAAGGTACTGCGAAGGCAGGCGGTATTTTTCGTGCGCTGTTCCGATTACTGGCTGGTCGGTCAGCTTGAATGGATGTCCGATTACTTTTGGGATACGGGATGCTCATCATTTGCTCATGCAATCGCCTTTGTGTTCTGTCCCAGACCCTTGCATCCTCTGACACAGATGTAACTTATGTGCATGTGTATTTTTTGCGACACCACTTTGTTCCGTTAGTTGGAGTGTCTTAGCCGACAGCGTCATACTACTAGATGTATTCTGTCGCCTGCGAACTACGCGAGTTGTAACCGTACCAAAGTGGTACCAATTTGCCACCGGCGCCACTGCTTCGCGCGAACCGGCCGACCATTTCTGTCGCGTCGCGCTCAAGCGCCTATATCAACCCGCCACAGACGCGACTGCGCCCCCATTCCACTCTTCTACCATCACGACCGACATTCTCAGTCGCGTCGCCCTTCTCTACAGCGACAATGGGTGTCGCGCAACAAGAACAACCTCCTAAAGCGCCTGCACGCGCGTCGCGACTGCTGGCGGCGCTGGACAATCCAGCTTTCTTCACGAATCAAGCGCAACTACTTCCACCGGGAACACCGACGGGCACAGGTGCCAAGCGATCCTTGAACACCCCTGGTGCATCAGGGAGCGGATCTCAGAAGAGATTGAGGCGGCTTGAAGACGAAAGGGATGGTAGTCCGGCCCCCTTTGATAGTCAGTGGTCTGAGCTAGCAACGGCCTGGGGCTAGACTGATTCGCCTCGAAGACTCTGCAGTGTTAAGGCAGATGTCTCAGCTGGTAGGATCGCAAGCGGGTGGATTTGCCTTGAATTACGACCGAGAGAGCGCGATCTTACCCTTCGATCGTGGAGGCGACGATCAGCAAATGCGGTTCGTAACAGCGCTCTGTCCTCTATATATGCAGCTCATATTTCACTCAGATTGGCTGAATTTGTGACGCGGTCCATCGACAACGCGGGTGGCGGCGTTTCTGTGAAGGCTGCGATGGAGAAGCTCGGACTACGCAAGTGTGTTTTCAAAGTGGCGCGTTGCTAATGGAGAGGCTAATCGTTGTCCAGTAACCGAGACTTGCTTCCAGGTATGGAGGTGCGCTTGCTCCCGCACCAGATCTTGGGAGTAGCTTGGTACGTCTGTCGCCTACGCCCATATGCCGACTCACAGTCTGTAGGATGGTGCATCAAGAACGTGTAGGCCCGCATAAGGGGGGTATCTTGGCGTATGTACACTATGCAGTCTTTTATGTCTGCATTCATGACCTACGATCCCAGCGACGAGATGGGTCTCGGCAAGACTGTGCAGATGATCGCGACCATGGCCATCAACCTTCCGGAACCCGAGGAGAGCCACCGCACAACACTGATTGTTGTACCCGCAGCACTACTACTGCAGTGGAAAGACGAACTCCAGACGAAGACGAACGGCATGTTCTCGGTGCACATACACCACGGCAGGGACAAGCTGAAGAGCACCTCCGCGCTCTCGAAGAAAGACGTCATAATCACCACGTACCAAACCCTCTGCCAAGACTTCGCGATCCCATCCGACATTGAGAGTGAAGACGAGATGGATTATCTGCTGGACAACGGGTATGCCGCTCGTCTCTTGAGCTTCGGTCTTCTGCTTCAGATCACTGATTGATGTGTCCTCTGCAGAGGCTTGATGTCGCGAATGAAGTGGTATCGGGTAATCCTTGACGAGTCGCAGTTCGTCCGCAATAGGTACATTTTCCAAGGAATCCGCATACATCCCACTACTGACGCATGAAACACAGACGAACAAGGTCGAGCAAGGCCGTGGCCATGCTCCGCGCCAAATACAGGTGGTGTCTCACCGGCACACCGGTCACAAACTCATTGTAGGCGTGCCCCAACCACTACGCTTTAGGTATAGCTGAGGGCATTCATATAGGGCCGATCTATACGGTTTCCTTCGCTTCGGACGATTTCGCCCTTGGAAGTGCGTTCATGTGGCTTGTCAAAGTCCGATATCCTCCAACTCATTGTATCTTTCAGCGATTGGCAAGATTTTGATGCGTACGTTGCCAAGGTGCAGCTCGAAGACGCGCCGCTTGCTGGTAAGTAGCCTAATTCAGCCCACAGTGAAGAATGCTCAGCGAGGCTGCCGCTGGACAGGTCTGCGCGCACAGGAAATTCTTAAGCCTCTCCTTCTTCGACGCACCAAAGATGCTGAAATCGTATGTGTTGATTCCTGCACCTGGGCTTCCACTGAGACGACCATGCGGCTCGCTAGGAAGGAGAGCCGTTGTTGCAGCTCCCTGAGAAACATGTCGATCTCGAGTTCCTGGAGTTTTCTGATGAAGAGAGACAGGTATGCGCACACGGAGACTACGCTCAGCAGGAATTGCGCTCATTCTCTGCATAGATATATGACTCCTTCGAGAAGCGTGCGCAGATGCAAATCAACCGGTATATCAGAGACAACACACTTGTTAAGAAGTACGTAATTGAGCGTACACTCAAATACCACAAGCTGATCAGTGTGGCGTTACAGTAATCCAGCTGTCCTCGTAAGCAATCTGATAAATGTACCTGTGACGAAGTTGACACTGTAGCCGTGATAGGTCATGATCCTTCGTCTCAGGCAGCTATCTTGTCATCCTCATCTCATCCTCGTCTGTTCATGTTTCTCTCCTTAGCCTGCCAGTGCTGACGGGCTTTGTAGGATCAAGCGCGAGGGTTCGAAGATCCGACTATGCTTGTTGCCGGCGAAGCTGAGAAAGAGGTCGGGCGGGCCCACAAGCTCATGGGCGCCGAGTGGGTTACTCAGGTATGTCTATTCAAATCAAGATGACTTCTGAATGGTGTTAATACGCGTCTCGACTCGTCTAGGTCAAGAAGAGGTATGGTCCTATGATGCTGTCCGGGGCGTGTTCTCAATCGTGATAGATTCATGGCTCGTGCACAAATGGCTCAGCTAGACTTCTCAGACGATATGGAGCAAGATGAGGAAGCGACTTGCCCCAAGTGCGGAGACCGTAAGTGGCGAAAACTGTAAACCTTTCAGTTGTTGACGCTGGCACACAGTCTTCATGGAGAGGTAGCGGCAGATTGCTTGCTTGCAGCCATGAAATCTGCAACGGTACGTACCTGCGGAGTCGCTGTAGTGGTTTTCTGATTCGCTGTCGATTCTAGACTGTCTCTTGGTCCTACGCACCGAGCCCATAGAAGTGAATGGGGAATTGTACGTCAATTGCTCGTTGTGAACGACCGTTGTCTGACATCCGGCCTATTTCCAGTGGCAACGGCGACGAAAAAGAGAACCTACGTATAGAGAAGGACTTCGAAGCGGCCGCTGACAAGGGCTTGCGTCCTTGTACGTCGTCATCTAGCATTTCACACTAAACATGTTACTCAACTCTGCAGGCCCCACTTGTAAGAAGATGCAGAACCTCACTCCCGCGCACGTGTTCTGTCGCAGGCCTTCGAGCCTTCTCGCGACGATGTACGCTCCGCGCTTCGCCGCTCTCAGGCCGCGCGCAAACCTGCGAAACCGAGCGTCGCAAAGATGGAACCTATCAGCGTTGACAGTGACATAGAGATGAGTTCCAGCTCGGACGAAGATATGCCGGACCTCTCGGAGTTGCTCGCCGGCGTTGCATCTTCATCGCAGTCTGGCTCAGAGAAGAAGCCGAAGGAGAGCAAGACCAAGGTCAAGGTCAAGGGCAGGACGGTTGTGTCAGACGAAGAGGACTCGTCCGTGGACGAGGTTCGTCCTTAGCTCCGTGGTTCGCCGAGGTGCTGACCCATCGGTGTTAGGATAACGACCTCCATCGTGCCATGAACGACATCCGGGGCAAGCGACAGACACAGGCCAAGAAGGCCAAGGCTTCCTCTGATGACAGCGACAATGCCGGCCCGCGCGCGGTGCCGGAGTACATGGTGAAAACGTGGAGGCGGGGCGGCGACAACATGGAGCCCAGCACGAAGATGATGGCCTTGATTGGCTACCTGCACGAGTGGGAGGTGACCGGCGACAAGACGATCGTCTTCTCCCAATGTGCGTTCCTGCGCAAGTCTCGTCTGGCTCACCTAACCGCGATGCGCCCTAGGGACGTCGATGCTCGACCTGATCGAGACACTGTTCAGCCGATATGGCATACGCAGCCTGCGCTATGATGGACGGATGTCGCGCGAGGCGCGAGAGATGGTCCTGGCTGAGTTTAGGCAGCAGGGTGGCCCGAAAGTCATACTCATCAGGTACGATACGTTTGGCTGCTGTTCACAAGGCTGAGATTGATCGCTTTCTCGCAGCACGAAGTGCGGTGGCGTGGGCCTCAATCTAGTGTCTGCGAATCGCATCATCAAGTGAGTAGTGCGGGTTTCGCTGTTGCAGTTGATACTGAAAGAGACGCCCAGCATGGACCTTTCGTGGAACTACGCGTCGGAGTCTCAGGCGTACGACCGTGTGCACCGTCTTGGCCAGGAGAAGGAGGTGTTCGTCAAGCGACTTGTCGTCAAGAATACCATTGAGGAGCGGTGAGCTGGGATGATTGATGACTGCGCGTCGAGTTGTTGTTGAAACAATACCTTCAGGATGCTGAAATTGCAGGATACCAAGACTGGTGCGTAGTAGCTTGGAGTATGCGGGCGCGTACTGTATTCATTCTCGATTCGCAGGTCTCGCGGAAGCTGCATTGGGTGAAGGAAGCGGAGTCAAACTGCACAAGCTCAGTGTGAAGGAGCTTAGAGACGTACGTTCATCCACCCCAGTCGTTGATCCGCGATCATGCACTTACCTACTTGTCCCCAGCTGTTCGGCATGAACAAGGACAAACACCCGGCTGCAGGTCAACAAGTTCTGGACAATTCCGTTCAACAGTAAAGTGAGCGGCGGACCGAGATGCGTCGGACGTGGCTCTCCCTAATGGTACATTATCGAATAACTTGCGCTTCTCGGAATACACTCGACCCACACCTGGGTCAGCTAGTGGTACTGATAGATCTTGCTTATTGAGTCTATAGTAAGCTCTTCGTCATTCATCACGTCGTGTAATTCGTATACCGGACTATCATAATCTGCTCACTCCTCCCAAACTGCCCAGGCTCGAAACTATCCAAAATGAAGACCACTTGTCACTGTCATAGGAAGAGAGCTAGGGCACCGACGCCCACACCGACAGCCGCGTTCCAGCGATTCGCCTGTATCCCGACAGCGGCTGCCTTCGAGGGGCGCCGCACCGGCACGGCGATCGTCCGAGTCGCGACTGAGTACCTCGTCACGGTCGCGGTGGTATGTGCCCCGGTCGATATTGACCTGATCGTCGAGGTGGACAGCGACAGCGAGAAGGAGGTGCTGACGGATGCTGTGGTGGAGGAGAGGGCTGTCCCCGTCGCGTACCAGCGAAGCTGGTCGAGTGTGAGGTCCCTGGGGTGCCGGTGCCGGTGGGTAGCACCTGTGGAATGTGCGGATGCGTGGGTGGCCGTCTCCCCGGTTCTGCGATGGAAATTAATCAAGGTAAGATGAAGAACCATGAGTGCGTCTCGATCCTGGTACTGACCGGCGTTCCGTCGACGCGTTGTGGCGCGTGCGCGTTCTGTAGTACTGGCTGTGGCGGGATGCCGGCTGGG